TATGTAGTTATATACAGAACTAAGTATGTAGTTATATACAGAACTAAGTATGTAGTTATATACAGAACTAAGTATGTAGTTATATACAGAACTAGGTGTGTAGTTATATACAGAACTAGGTGTGTAGTTATATACAGAACTAAGTATGTAGTTATATACAGAACTAGGTATGTAGTTATATACAGAACTAGGTATGTAGTTATATACAGAACTAAGTATGTAGTTATATACAGAACTAGGTATGTAGTTATATACAGAACTAAGTATGTAGTTATATACAGAACTAAGTATGTAGTTATATACAGAACTAAGTATGTAGTTATATACAGAACTAAGTATGTAGTTATATACAGAACTAGGTATGTAGTTATATACAGAACTAGGTATGTAGTTATATACAGAACTAAGTATGTAGTTATATACAGAACTAGGTGTGTAGTTATATACAGAACTAAGTATGTAGTTATATACAGAACTAAGTATGTAGTTATATACAGAACTAGGTGTGTAGTTATATACAGAACTAGGTATGTAGTTATATACAGAACTAGGTATGTAGTTATATACAGAACTAGGTATGTAGTTATATACAGAACTAAGTATGTAGTTATATACAGAACTAAGTATGTAGTTATATACAGAACTAGGTATGTAGTTATATACAGAACTAGGTATGTAGTTATATACAGAACTAGGTATGTAGTTATATACAGAACTAAGTATGTAGTTATATACAGAACTAGGTATGTAGTTATATACAGAACTAAGTATGTAGTTATATACAGAACTAAGTATGTAGTTATATACAGAACTAAGTATGTAGTTATATACAGAACTAAGTATGTAGTTATATACAGAACTAAGTATGTAGTTATATACAGAACTAGGTGTGTAGTTATATACAGAACTAAGTATGTAGTTATATACAGAACTAAGTATGTAGTTATATACAGAACTAAGTATGTAGTTATATACAGAACTAAGTATGTAGTTATATACAGAACTAAGTATAATACTTGTAAAACCTACCAAAGAGTATTGATTTTGTCTGCTTTGATAGCATCATGTGACAAACAAACGATGTTTCATTCAGATATTTTCCAATATTGAATAAACCGATGAATGTGATGTATAGTAAAAATACCGCATTAGAAAAATACAATGTACCAGACAGTTTACACAAGTCCACACTGGACCGTTCCTGGTTCTATAACTTGACAGCTTGGGTTTAGTAACGTATACAGATACTATAATGGATATATTGATCAGTGGTTGCAGTAATATCATACAGCTATAGTTCGTGGATGTTGTTGCACTCTTTCAACACTATTGTACCACACCTGGATTGTGCAGGACATAAGATATATTTAAACATAAGATAAAGTAAGTGAAAAGCACTAAAAAGACATGGTGATAATGTACCTACCAAAGACAGAGCTGGAGTCTCATAAACAAAAGCTATCTGTATCTGTAGGTATATCCACTGAAATCTACTACCTATATTTGTAGGCCTCCCCTCTTAAACCTACTACCTATATCTGTAGACCTCCCGTCCTAAACCTTATACATGTATTTACAGTCCTCCACACCTTAACCTTCAACATGTACCTATATTTAAAGGACCTCTCCCTAAACCTACTACTGATATCTACAGGTTACCCCTTCTATACCTTGTTTATGTATCTGCAAGCCTCCAGACTTAACCATTTACTACCTATATCTATAGGCCTCTTCACCTTTGCCAACCTCTTCTATTTATCAGCCTTTCAACCTAAACTTGCTACCTACAGGTCTCAGCACATTCTTTCATCTATCACATATATCTTGGGCCTTTTCATGTCCACCTCCAACCTATTTGAGCAGGCTTCTCAATCAACCTGCAACATGTAATCCACATGCCTCTTCCCCTCCATTTACAATGCATAAAGGTCTTAGAGATTTCTGTCTGTTAGCTGTATTTTTACAGGACTCTCCACCTCTACAGACTATCTATTATTTCAGTCATAAGAGATACTGATAGGTCACCCTATCCCAATGTAATAGTACTTACTGGCACATATATCAACAAGTAAAACAGACACTGATAGGCTTGAGTCTCAACCTTCTACCTATATCAAACAAACTCCCAACCTCAACCTACTACCTATATCTACAGGTATTTCAGAATTTGATAAGCTTCCAACCTCAACCTTCTACCTATATCAAACAAGCTACCAACCTCAACCTACTACCTATATCTACAGGTATTTCAGAATTTGATAGGCTTCCAACCTCAACCTACATTTTACCTATATCAGCAAATTTATTAGCTCTGATAGGCTTGCACACTCGACTTATAACCTTTAAATTTTACAAAAAAATCTCAAATCTACAGGTGTAACAGACAACAGGATTTCTTACCTCAGTCTGCTACCTAAATGTACCTACATATCTATACCAGACACACACTGACAGTAACATGCCCATAGGGAGCTACAGTGGTAAGCACATTGAACATAGATTGTAATCAGCTGTATATTCTGAAGCTAGACTTAAATTCTTTCTTAAATCCGCAGACTTCAATTTAGATAATGATACTCTATGAAGTTTTATTCATGACATGTCTTTTCTTAGCAATAATAAAAAAAATGGAAGTAGAAGAAATGCCGAAAGCATTTACTGTATTTTTTTCACTTGCATTTTACAGTGTTTCTCTCCTCAACTTGAGAGCATTTGACCATTTATTTTGTATAAGTGTGATTCACTTCTGCAGACTTTTGTGACTGCAGAAGCTGAAATCAAATAAAAGGTTTAGCTTGCCCAACACCTAAGAGTCTCCCTAAACTATTGGGCCCTGCATCAACAGTTGGTTATTGATTCTGATGCTGACATTGATTTGGATTTGATATCCAGTGGTGATCGTTGTGTCGTAAAACCTGTCTATTGTGACCCCTGAGTGAATCAAGTCTCATCCTACAGCAACTCTGTTATTGGTTCTTTGGCAATAGTCATCTTAATTGATTATAAAATGTGGAATATCATCACCATAGGTCTTGAAGAACTCGAGTGAATGTATGTTTAATGGGTACAGAGGCTGCCCACAGCTCCATGTCACCCAAGGGGAAATTTCTATTCTCCAGCCATGTGTATTTTATGCCGTTTCTGACCTTGCCTCTGAAATACTCATTAATATGCATGATGACCTCTGGTTGACCATTGCATTGGTGGTCAGTGTGACTATTATAGGTATAAATCTGAAGAACTCTGCTGACCTTGAGGATTAAGGTCATCTGGTGCTGAACTAGTTAACTTATCCTGTTGATAGCACATCAGTCCACTAATAAGTTAGTATATAATTGACCAGCATTGTGTGTCAGTAGATGTGACATTATGTAAATATATACAGATATCTAGGCCAGTTTCTATCTAGAATACAAAAAGTCATTATGTAAATTAGGTGACCATTTATCCTTAGGTCAGCCTGACTGGGTACATCCAGTGTGAGGTCCACAGTTAATATGTTAATGTGACGGTAACATTGGTGTGATGACCATATATTCTGACCATGCACATTTAGTACACAGAGGTCCAGTAGATTATCAAATAATCCACATGTAATGGTTTATATTATTATGAAAGAATATTGATTAGTATTGTTCTGTAAATCTTCATCAGTATCACTTCTAAGTATGATAAAATAAAGGGAGGTAAATGTGATGATTTGCCAGTAAATATAAGATTTATTTAAAATTTTTGTTTTACATTATCATTAAAGAACATGAAAAAATAAACAGTCAGTCTTACTTGCAAGTATGATAAAGTAAAGGGAGATATTATGATTTATTAAAATTTTTTGTTAATTGTTAATTAAATGAATGTAACTGATCATTGTTCGACTCGATATGTCTCTTGAATATGCTCTCCACATGAAATTTGTAAAGGAGTGTTAAAGGAGATTTCCAACTGCAACTACAGTTACCAATTTGCATGACATCTGTCATAGTTGTAAGCCACAACAATGAGATAATCTGCCCAGCTTCCCCAATATAACCGTGGCACACTTTCTATATCACCTTTGTGCCTAAATACACTGATGTCCAATGTGAATGGTTTGAAAAGCAGTATTGTGTCTCAAGATTTTCAGTATAAACCCCGTGGGAACTACAACGAAAAAATTCAAATTGTCATTGGGACATTAGCAAGTGGTTTGTTTGATTAACATAAACAAGGGTCTGCTAATGAATTCCTGGCACACATCAGTCAGACTTTCAGGCTTGATTTATTCGATAAAGTGTTCTGTACAGAAGTGGAAGTATTGCTGGCTATAAATGGAAACGTGCATTGTTATGATGTATTAGAGTTATTAATAACCAATACGATCAGGGTTTGTAAAGCGATCCATCAATATGGCTTTACTGGTTCCTGTATCTGTGTTTAATCATTTCACCATACAAATTTAAATCTATACATTGCTGCATTCTAGTATCATGGCAGATACAAAGAGTTTGAAAATGTTTACACAGTTTTGAAAATGTTAAATGAGAAAAGGATATGATATTAATGTTGTATTGAACAGTATTCTTTAGCACTTGTTAATGATTTGTGTTATTCATGTTAGATTGAGAATAAACTTGAATTTGCTTTCACTATTCCCCCCCCCCCCACCAACATTTGATCAATTTCAATTAACTTTATAGTAATTTGATCACCAACACTCTGTAGATCCAATTTGCTTATAGTTGAGTAACAGGATCACACACCATATTAAAGATCTGAAGGACAATTAAAAATCTCTCTCTGTAATAAGGTGACACAATGTCTTTATCTTACGTTGTACTGGTATGTAGAATGAGACATTTAGGGAGAAATGTGTAAGTCAGTTCCAAACACTCGAACTTGTTCAATAGATACTGGTTTTACATATTATAATAGGAACTGATGTCCTTAAACACGCAACATATGTGTTACAACACTTCAACATCTTGAGCAGTAGCTAAGTATTGCTGTGTTATATATTTCAGGTGTCCAGTGGATTGCTGAGCAGGGTCTCTGTCGCAGATGAAAACTTTAACAAGGAAATGGAGTTCATCCCTAGAATTTCCCCGGAGTTTGAGCTCACTCTTGACAACAAATCTGTTCTCCATGCCATACAAACTATGAATTTTTTCCAAATGAAAGGTAGCCGTCTAATCTTTTTCAACAAGAGATATCTCCTTTTGTAGTGTATGGTTAATGGTATTCAAGATATAAAGAAGATATTAACAAAGTGTTTTAATATCATGGCATTGACTGAATAATTTCAAGTGTTAACACGTTAAAAACCTGTTTGTATATGATAATTCAGCTTACAATCAAAAGAATCTTGCCATTGGCAGCTACCTATTTTTTCCAGTGACTTAATCAGTGATAAACAAGCCTCCAGGTCCAGGTTTATTCGGGAGGAAGAGTCTAGGTCAGCAGGATGTTTTCAGGTCAAATTGTCGTTGACATTTCCGTTGGTTGTCTAATTTATCTTTCATTTACTTCCAGATGGAGGTTATTTGATATTCAAATAAGGGTTTATATCAAGACTTGACACTTTAAAAGATAACTTATGTATATTCTGTCCAAAATATTTCTATTTCAAACGTTTTCTCCAAAAGTTTTTATCAGTCAGAGATAAAAAAAGACATGTAGTGTTTTGTCATGGGATTGAAAGCCTCTGTATGTTAGAATATAGTTTGTAGAAACACTTCCATGTAATGAACCTGAGCATGCACAAGATGTGAGAGGTTTACACACTGTTTGGTGAATACAGAGCTATGAAATTTCTGTCTGTAAGTAGATAGACACAGAAGAATGATTAATGCACTGATGGTCTATTTAATATATTACTGAAACGAAGAAATTTCAACAGACATTCAATGTGATAATTAGTTTTCTATGGGAGGACATAACATGATTACTGTATGGATGGAAATGGGGCAGGGGTGATGGCAGATGATTGTAGCACATGGTACATATTATTCATCTCATGAATAACAGACATAATAGCTGTCTGTACTTTGTATCCAGATTTCCATACATTCATTATTGGCTGGCACTAAAAAGTCTGAGAAATCAAACTAAGTTAAGGTTAAGTATGTTAACTGCTTACAATTAGATACTGCTTAAAAAATTAGTCAGGACAGTAACAATGTATTATGTCTACAACTAGATCAGATAAACTAGACGTCCCTCCCCCTAGTAACAATGTCTACAACTAGATAAGATATACTAGATGTCCCTCCCCCTAGTAACAATGTCTACAACTAGATAAGATATACTAGACGTCCCTCCCCCTAGTAACAATGTCTACAACTAGATAAGATATACTAGATGTCCCTCCCCCTAGTAACAATGTCTACAACTAGATAAGATATACTAGACGTCCCTCCCCCTAGTAACAATGTCTATTGTCTACAACTAGATAAGATATACTAGACGTCCCTCCCCCTAGTAACAATGTCTACAACTAGATAAGATATACTAGACGTCCCTACCCCTAGTAACAATGTCTACAACTAGATAAGATATACTAGATGTCCCTCCCCCTAGTAACAAGGTCTACAACTAGATAAGATATACTAGATGTCCCTCCCCCTAGTAACAATGTCTACAACTAGATAAGATATACTAGACGTCCTTCCCCCTAGTAACAATGTCTACAACTAGATAAGATATACTAGACGTCCCTCCCCCTATTAACAATGTCTACAACTAGATAGATATAACAGATGTTCTTCCCCCTAGTAACAATGTCTACAACTAGATAAGATATACTAGATGTCCCTCCCCCTAGTAACAATGTCTACAACTAGATAGATATAACAGATGTCCTTCCCCCTAGTAACAATGTCTACAACTAGATAAGATATACTAGACGTCCCTCCCCCTAGTAACAATGTCTACAACTAGATAAGATATACTAGACGTCCTTCCCCCTAGTAACAATGTCTACAACTAGATAGATATAACAGATGTCCTTCCCCCTAGTAACAATGTCTACAACTAGATAAGATATACTAGATGTCCCTCCCCCTAGTAACAATGTCTACGACTAGATAAGATATACTAGACATCCTTCCCCCTCACCAAGTTACTTGCTACAGTAGCTGGATCACTTCACTTTACGTATCAATCATCAGTGTAGGTGACATAAATACTGGACCATTGTAATATTTTCAACTTGTCTTAAAGATTGAAATCACAAAATCTGTCATCATTTTAATTTATGTACTACTATAGGGACCAAAAGATACTGTTAGTTTAAAGTCACCAGAAATAAAAACAATGCAAACTTCAAAAATCAACCTGGAGCATGATGGTAGGCGTGTCCCATGTGATACATCACAAAAATCTGGTGCCCAGATAAAACAAATTGATGTAGGATGAAAGTTTGATTTACAGAAGTTGATGTACTGTTGGTGTATTATATGTTGATGACATTTAAGTATCATGTGTTTGTTTCTTGTTCTGTCATTAGAGGGTGTCGTTGGTAAGTTATTTTAAGGCATGCTTACAGTAACACAGTTCTAGATGGAACTCTTTCAGCCGTATTTTTTTGTTCATTCTGTGTTGTCTGCTATGCCATTTGTGTTTGCTGTCAACAACATCTTTATTCTAATTATTTCATTCTGTTATCTTTTCATTAAATGTTCTATTTCGAGGTAGGGAAAGTTGTTAATGGTACATGGCTCTAGGGGATTGCTTATGCTTGTTTTGACACTTTCTAAGATTATGTTGGATCTGCTGAAGATAATTCATCAAAAAGATGATTGGTGTGACCCTTACAACCGTATAAGTGTCATTCGACATGTCCACATCAATCACACAGACAGTCTACTCTGGATCTGTGGTTGAAAGGGTCAATAAAGAATCAGTTTTGTTTGGTAGTTTTGATATACCAGTTTAATAAATTTCTATATGGCCATGTGATGTGTAATGTCATGAATGTGTTATGTGTGACTAGCTACCCTAGAGATACTAACCCCACACCATGTGTGTCCTAGCCACCAATATCACAGGACATTTTATCACCATGTCATTGAGATTTTCAATCATCATAATTCAGTTAGAAATTTAATGCACAATTCTGATATCATAAGTAATGTGATGGCAATATATATTACACAAACTATTTCATGTTCATGGAATCCAGTGTATTAGATTGTTCTCCTTTGGTAGCCTGATGCTGGTACATCAGTCCTGTAATAATCTCAACAACTCACAGCAGGTCTGCTTTCTGATTTTTTTTTAGGGAATTTTTAAAATTTTGACAAACTGGGACTTTTTATCAGGTATGATGATTTTTCTGTCAGTGTGTACCATAAGGAAGGTAGAGAATTGATATTCAGCCATGGGAAGGCAGTTGGGACCATGAGTTATGATTTTGCTGTCAGTAATGCTAGACTGGTTATATCAGGTGGAGGACTGTGTAATCTTTGTACCCCTCATCAATCAACCAACTGCCACGTTTTTTTGTCTGTTTAGGTTTTCTGCTGTTTTGACATTTGACCCGAGGGTCTGATCTCTAAATTCAAGCTATTTCTCTGGTTGTTTTATTTTTACTTTTTATTTTACCTGTCGTCTTATCTATGTTTCAAACAAATAGCACACAGGACTTTTTATTATTTTTTTCTGTATAATTTGATGTTGTAAAAATATTATCCACTGGTCATCAGGAAAGCCAATGACATGAACCATTCTTAGCATCACCATTTGAGTTCCAGAGTGAGGGAAATTTGTCAAGTCCTAAACTTGTTTTTCCCACAGGAAATAAGTAATGACATCATTAACCTAGCTGTTTAGTTTTCATACCAATTAGGAATATTTTGTCATCATTATTACAGCTTATGTTTTATTCAGATCTACAAGTTCTGTGTATTAGCAGATTTGGACCAAATTATGCAAAGAAGCTATACTTCACACATATGTAAAACTATGAAAAGGATCCATCTTTGTTTTCAAATAGATGCAGCGGCAGGACGATGAAGCAGTTTTTTTTTTCAGATTTTAAGTCTGGAACACTTGTTTAAACAATTGTCTATAGTAGATCAGTACACACTCTGGCCCTTTATTGCTTTAAGATTGATTTCTTTGCTTTTATTGAGTTCAAATAAACTGCAGCAGACACCACAGAGGCTTACTGTTGCTGAGTGTACACCCCCTCCTGAACTGATTTCTCTTCTTAAAACCATATGTGGCATATTTCTGCTTGGTGATGAAAAAAGTATCTGGTACATGAAAGACATAAATTTACAAAGTAAATACAGATGACCATTTGTATTGTAGTCTCCTTCCAAAATATAAGACGACCTTGTTTGGCATCGTGATAATTATCCTTCCAAGACTTCACTCACAATTACCTATTTCAGGCAATTTGTCAGAAACTGGTAAATACCAATGTCATCTGACCCTGTTCATTGCCACATACTGTAGAGCAAGCATTCATTTTATCCCTGTTGCCTCAGAAAAACTACAAATGAAGTTATTGTCGATTAGGAAGAAGAAAAAAATTAAGGAAAAGGCTACTGGATTGATTGCTGAAGTCACATTCAACCATTTTTAGTGGGAAATTGGCTTCCATTGATTACTATTTACATACCCTCAAAGGCTTGAGACGTCTTCAGTCCAGCAAAGAGCAGACAGCAGGATATTGAATGATGGGAGACAATAAGAGCTACATACTAGAGTATTGTAATATTGTTTCTTGTAGGCATTCCAAACACATATGTCGGTATTACACATGGATAGCCAAGTATCAAAATAAGCCAAGAATATTTTATCTAATCTGTTAAGATGAAAGAAGCAGGTAGAATATTTCATGAATGCATGCAGCCATGTTTGCATGAAGCATGCAGAAATTTTAACATGGAAAACACAGACATTTGAGGTATGAATAGATTGATATTTCAGTAACAAATGTGATGAAGCTCCAGCATGCTCTTTTAATTGTGTTTATTCTACTAGAATTTTTAAGGTGACCCGTTCAGTGTCTGTGTAATATCAACTTTAAGAATGACACTTAAAGTCACTGCACCTGTGAAAAAGCTCAGCTGTGATATTACAAATTGAAGACAGACATATATGTATGATATCTTTATTTATTTGGCTATCCTTTTAGAAACGTGAAGCAATTTAGTTTTTGTAATCAATGTAAAGAAACACAATTTATCATTATTTACATTGTGTCTACAGAGGAGTCTGATTTCATTATAATCATTTGCACCTGTTAACAGCTCAGTTTGTGGCATTAAATTGCTAATAGAAAGCCATATAAAGTGTGCCAGTATTCTGTGTCAGCCAACCTCCCTTCTCTGGCTTTACTCAACCACTAAGTTTTGTCTGCATTTGAATTGGAAGAATTTAATTGCTGTGTCTATGATAGCAGCAGTAAATTGATCAAGGTTTGGATCTAAGGACACCAATGGAGATGGTTTATGTCAGTTTTATACCCTTTAAGCCAGTGTGTATAAACCCGGTATTTTTGGAAATCTTTTCATTGTCATGAGGATCGTGATAATGAAGTACTTGAGACATTCTGTCCTTTAAGATGAGAGAGTTCCAGGCATTATTTCAGTCAGGATTGTCATATCTAACAGCAATATTGTAAAACTTTGGCAAAGAGTCAGGGACATGTAATTATACTACCCATGCTGTTTATGATGCTTGAGCTCCTCCCAGGCATATTTTCATTTCATATGATGTTTTATCTCATTAAAGAAATGTCCAAATTGTCAGGAACTGAGAAGGGCCCTACATGCAAGGAATTTAGAAGGGTGATAGATGCAAAATTGTCAAGAACATAAGATATTTGTACCAAGTTGTCAGATACATACAGACAAATCTACAACCAAGTTGCCATATGCATGAACAAACACAGTATATACGCCTCATATCTGGTGAATCTGGAAGGGATAATATGTTATTATCAAAACCTTATTAGCAAGGTCATTTGTCCTAGTCACTTGTGTCAATTTCTTTGGAATATTGAAGAAATTTAGATATTGTTTCTTTATGTATACTCTATTGTTTGATATTGTTAACACAAAGTTGTAAACTGTCTTGGTAGTAACAGCTGTACATTTTTGAATAACAATACATTTTACAAAAGTACAGAAACCCAGATCAGATTCATTCATCATTTTCTGAAGAAAAAAAAAGTGATTTTTCTTGTCCAAAATAGACAGAAATTCTTCTGGAACATGTAATTTTTGGGAAGGAATTCATTATCAACACTAGCAGAAGTTAATAAGAAAGTGATTGAGACTATTTATCATCCAGTTATTATTACAGGAATTATAAACAGAGCCAAGTTGACAGTGGGTGGTGGAGTGTACTATTATTGTGCCCATTGTAATGTCACCATTGATACATGTTTTTTCTCTCCCCAGCGCCAAACAAACCTATGATCCTCCCAGGGAGCTGTAGTGCAGAGAACAACAGTGTGACCATCGCCTGGCAACCACACATCGGCAACGTTGTAGAGAATTATTCCCTGGAACTGGACGATGGCAATGGAGGGGACTTTAGGGTATGTTGTAGATACGACCACAATGGTTCATAACATTCACAAACTGGTGGGACTAAGGGATGCATTCAGAGTACAAAGCAGTAGCAAATATGCAGTGGGGGTGGGGGGACTAATGTACAAATTCAGAGGTCATAATAGTGACACACTTGGAAAAGGGGGACTATTACAGACAAATTAAATGTAACAAATGGTGAATGTCATGGAGTAGGGGTAGGAGGACTAAAGGACAAATTCAGAGTACATCACTGTGGAGACAAACTTATGTGATGGGTGAGGCACTTTTAGTGATGGGAGAGGCACTTTATGTGGTGGGTGTGGCACTTTTAGTGATGGGAGAGGCACTTTATGTGGTGGGTGTGGCACTTTATGTTGTGGATGAGGCACTTTTAGTGATGGGAGAGGCACTTTATGTGGTGGGTAAGTCACTTTATGTAGTGGGTGAGGCACTTTATGTAGTGGGTGAGGAACTTTTAGTGATGGGAGAGGCACTTTATGTAGTGGGTGTGGCACTTTATGTGGTGGGTGAGGCACTTTATGTAGTGGGTGAGGCACTTTATGTAGTGGGTGAGGCACTTTATGTAGTGGGTGAGGCACTTTATGTAGTGGGTGAGGCACTTTATGTAGTGGGTGAGGCACTTTATGTAGTGGGTGAGGCACTTTATGTAGTGGATGTGGTATTTATTTGGTGGTTGAGGTATTTTGTGGTGGATGGGAGGTACTTTTTGAGGTGAAGGGTATGTCAACTGACCTTCAATGATATCATGGAGATGTCCAAGTGGAAATTAACATTATTAAATCTATATTATTGCAGGTAACATTCATTTTACACAGTACACATACAGTTTACACTTTGTTACAGATTTCTTAATGAACAGTGCAATATATTTACAAAACACTGTACGGTAAAGCTATCCTTTAATGAACAATAAAGTTATACTGTACATTAAATTGATACAAACTGTACAATAATGCTATAATGTACAATGAAGTTATAAGTTATAACAAACGGTACAATAATGCTATACTGTACGATGAGATTATAAGTTTAACTACAATGCTATTTCTGAAACTGTAAGATGATAGCTGTACTGATTTGAACTTGGTACATGTCACTATATGTATACGCAGTACCTGAAACTTTAAAATTGGTACATGTGACATGTAAAATTTGTACAGATATCTTAAATTATAAAAAAGTACCTTCGTAAGATAGCTAGCTTCTCTGGTAAGGTCATTTGATAAAATTAAATACAAGATGGACTAACTATCCCTCAACTGTAAAAAAAACAGTGGAACTTTAATTGTTGCTTTCCATCTGTTTCAATTCAAGCGGACTGACCAGACTGAATCTTTACACACTGCTTTCTTATAAGGAATGCATGCTTGCAATTGCTTTGGGGTTGAAAGGTGAAATGTTAAGTTCACTTTTACTATAAATAGAAAACTGTTCAGAATTGCTGTTTATGGACAAAATAAAAGTTCCATTGGACAGATCAAAGTCAAACTCATGCTCCGATTTCTAATTAGGTAGTGCTTCTCTGGGATTGCTTATTTGGGCAAAAAGTCAAACATTAAGGTCACAATAAAACTGTGGTTATAAAAATTATTATTGAGTTACCTTGGACCAAACAAAGTATAATATCACACACTGCTTTCTTAAATAATGTTAAAATTTAGATGAAAACCTTTGTTGCTATGAAATAAATTCATTTGGATGCAGTAACTCAAGTTTGCTCAATAACTAGTCCCTGAACAATAAGCAGATTAGGGGGGATTAGCATCATTTTATCAAAACCTGAAGCCGAAAGTAGACGTAAAGGAAACATAAAGGAAATCTAATTGTTTGGGACATAACACTCTGAATGATTCCAAAACACTGATCTGTGAAGTGTGTTGTAATACAGTGTTGTTTAATGTTATCAGATTACCATAAATATACAGCAATGATAAGATACTTTATTTTGAGAAATCTAAACTTACAGCATGTAAAAACAATAGATGAGGTAAGGAAACGTGTGTGTAACCATTCAGAGATGTTATTTTGATGCTTTTAAAGTTTGGTTTTGAAAGTCTGTGTGAAATCATGATTGTTTGTTGGTACTTACATCAATTCTACTACAGAGCCATAACATTTTAATGGAATTGTCCGTGTTCGCAACTTATCTTCTGGATTGGAGTGTTCCAACTCTTAAACCAGAAAACCAAATCACTCGAAGGTGTAGCAATGTTGCTGTGTTGTTCATTTTTTTCTTTCTTTTATTGACTTTCCTTTCGTGTGCTGACTGCGATTGTTTTGCTGTCCTAAGTACCTTTGACGCCAAGCAAGTGTGAGCAATCTCAAGTGGCTTTTGGCAGCTGCCAAGGTCACAGTTCTGACATTGAAAACAATTTCTATTTTTTCAAGCCATACACCCCTTCATTGGGCAAGATAAGGCAGCTAGACTAGAATTATTGTAACATTTCTGTAACCATATTTGGAAGGATTACATGATATAATTGAAGGGAAACACCCAGAACACTTGGTGAAAGCTGTCCTCGTAACAAGATGGTGTTTGTCATTGTCGTCATTTAAATCCATCAGACATTCATTTTTACTTCAGTGCCCACCGTTAACCATCCCATCCTTCATACATTTTGATAAAACCTGTCAGCAGCCAGTACAAAATATGATGAGATTTGCTTGTTTGTTAGACTAATCTACACTCAGCTCCCAATAATGTCATTGGTCGGATCAGACTTTTGTTCAATTGAATTTCCCGTACAAGAATGGTGCATCAAATTTTCCTAGAAGATTGTCTCTGAGCCCAACCGTATTGGCCAAACTAGCTACATGTGTGGTGTGTGTGGACAATATTATTAAATTGGTCTTGAAACATAAAAAGTGAAACGGCCTTGAGTATGTTTCTAGGCTTAGCAATTTAATTAACCGAATTCCGTCATTAATTTAGAAATAGCTGAGAATTAAATGGTTAGCTGTTGATAGTGAAGCTGTCTTTTTAAAACCAAGTTTGTGTTTTTTCTTTTAATCATTTTGAAAAATAAAAAAAAAAAAAAAAATCTGAACAAATTTAGTATTACTATGCCCTAGTGTTTAGAAAAGCCAAATCATGCAAACTAAACTTTACATTTGTAGATTCTGAAACCTCGGGTATCGAGTAGTGAATTTAATTAAACATCTTCACTTTTCTCTTAAAGATCTGTGCTCATTCCTGATTCTGTAAACCTCCAGTATCGAGCAGTGAATTTAATTAAACATCTTCACTTTTCTCTTAAAGATCTGTGCTCATTCCTGATTCTGTAAACCTCCAGTATTGAGCAGTGAATTTAATTAAATGTCTTCACTTTGCTCTTAAAGATCTGTGCTCATTCCTTTGTAAACTCTATCAAAGTGAATTTAATTAAATGTCTTCACTTTGCTCTTAAAGATCTGTGCTCATTCCTGATCCTGTAAACCTTCAGTATCAAGCAGTGAATTTAATTAAATGTCTACACTTTGCTCTTAAAGATCTGTGCTCTTTCCTGATCCTGTAAACCTCAAGTAGCAGTTAATTTAATTAAATGTCTTCACTTTGCTCTTAAAGATCTGTGCTCATTCCTGATCCTGTAAACCTCCAGTATCAAGCAGTGAATTTAATTAAATGTCTTCACTTTGCTCTTAAAGATCTGTGCTCATTCCTGATCCTGTAAGCCTCCAGTATCGAGCAGATCTGTGCTCATTCCTAATCATAAATCCTAAAAGTGCATAAAATTTACACCTTAAAACCTGAAAATTATTACTGTAAATTTTCTTTATGATTCAGTTTGTATATAAGCTTGCAAAGTTGACTTTTGCACTACACGTATTTGATTCCTACAATAAAGTGTGTTTTTCAACCATTATATACAATCTCTGTTCTCAGCTTTGACCATTTTGCCGTTGCCCATACTAATCAATTCCTGTTTTCAAGTTTGGCCCATTTGTCATTGTTTGTGGTAAATAACCTCTTTGGACAATTTTAGCCTGTCTGTCTCTATATGTGACAAAGAAACCCTATTGAAATGGTTAGTCCTTCTGTTTCTGTTTGTGTTAATCAAACCCTATTGAAATGGTTAGTCCTTCTGTTTCTGTTTGTGGTAATCAAACCCTATTGAAATGGTTAGTCCTTCTGTTTCTGTTTGTGGTAATCAAACCCTATTGAAATGGTTAGTCCTTCTGTTTCTGTTTATGGTAATCAAACCCTATTGACAGGTCTAGTCCTTCTGTTTCTGTTTGTGTTAATCAAACCCTATTGAAATGGTTAGTCCTTCTGTTTCTGTTTGTGTTAATCAAACCCTATTGAAATGGTTAGTCCTTCTGTTTCTGTTTGTGGTAATCAAACCCTATTGAAATGGTTAGTCCTTCTGTTTCTGTTTGTGGTAATCAAACCCTATTGAAATGGTTAGTCCTTCTGTTTCTGTTTGTGGTAATCAAACCCTATTGACAGGTCTAGTCCTTCTGTTTCTGTTTGTGGTAATCAAACCCTATTGAAATGGTTAGTCCTTCTGTTTCTGTTTGTGGTAATCAAACCCTATTGAAATGGTTAGTCCTTCTGTTTCTGTTTGTGTTAATCAAACCCTATTGAAATGGTTAGTCCTTCTGTTTCTGTTTGTGGTAATCAAACCCTATTGAAATGGTTAGTCCTTCTGTTTCTGTTTGTGGTAATCAAACCCTATTGAAATGGTTAGTCCTTCTGTTTCTGTTTGTGGTAATCAAACCCTATTGAAATGGTTAGTCCTTCTGTTTCTGTTTGTGGTAATCAAACCCTATTGAAATGGTTAGTCCTTCCGTTTCTGTTTGTGGTAATCAAACCCTATTGAAATGGTTAGTCCTTCTTTTTCTGTTTGTGGTAATCAAACCCTATTGAAATGGTTAGTCCTTCTGTTTCTGTTTGTGGTAATCAAACCCTATTGAAATGGTTAGTCCTTCTGTTTCTGTTTGTGGTAATCAAACCCTATTGACAGATCTAGTCCTTCTGTCTCTATATGTGGTATATAAACCCTATTAACAGGTTTGGCCCTTTTGTTTTGGTCTGTTGTAACAACCTTTGTTGACAGGTTTGGCCCTTTTGTTTTGGTCTGTTGTAACAACCTTTGTTGACAGGTTCGGCCCTTTTGTTTTGGTCTGTTGTATACAACCTTTGTTGACAGGTTTGGCCCTTTTGTTTTGGTCTGTTGTATACAAATCCTGTTGACAGGTTTGGCCCTTTTGTTTTGGTCTGTTGTATACAAATCCTGTTGACAGGTTTGGCCCTTTTGTTTTGGTCTGTTGTAACAACCTTTGTTGACAGGTTTGGCCCTTTTGTTTTGGTCTGTTGTATACAACCTGTGTTGACAGATTTGGCCATTTTGTTTAGGTCTGTTGTATACAATCTCTGTTGACAGGTTTGGTCCTTTTGTTGGAACCTCTGTTGACATTAATATGTTTGACTTTTATGTCCTGGTCTCTGTTGACAGTGTTATAGCCTGTTAATCATGTCACTTGTTGAACCTGGTAGTTTTAGCCTAGTGGTCATTGTCACATTGCTGAGATGATGAAACTCATAGGGACATGATCTACTATTGATCATTATCCAAGTTGTGTATTTATGTCATGACATTAAGAACATGATGACCTTTCAAAGATTTCTGTTTCTGGTTACACCAGATTCTAAGAAACCTATAAGAGGATCCTTTAAGCCTTCAAACTAAATTCCCATAATTCTAAAGTGATTATCATTACATTGTACATGTCATACTGACCTGGTGCTCTGTAAATAGCCCATTGTATTAACTTCACCCTTCTTACCAACCACTTGTAATCGATTCTCTGGGACTCTGGAACACAAGGGGCTTTACCTGTTTCTGATCCTTCTGGTTGGACTGGTACAGATTGATAATGGTAGGTTGATACTGTAGGCTTTACCTTGCTCCATTACATGTTCAGAGCAGTCTGACCTATGAACATCCATATATAGGATACACATCAACTGGTCGTCGTTGGCTCCTTCTTGCATGTCTGTTGTAATAGAAGACATTACAAATTTAGACATTAGACAAGGAGGGTATTTATTTTTGCTCCATTACATTTTCTGGTCATTCCTGACAGACTCAATCTATAATGGAGCACTGCTAAGTTGACCACTCTTAATTTCCTGCTTGGTCAAACTGGTGAAGCCCTTTAATGGAAGGGAAGGATCTGACACTGAAGTTGCTATACACATCAGAACATAGTAACCCTTCATCTGTTTCATTGTTCTCCTAGCTGTTGTACTGGTTCTGTTTAACTTATCAATACTAAAACCATTCAGAACTATCCACAGACAGTGGACAGGAAGCCATCATTGTCTGTGGTCTCTCTCGGGCCATAATGCCCCTACTACCACTGTCAGGCTCCACATCCCTTACAATTGGTACAGCTGTTAACAGTGTCATTTATCTCTGGAATAGATATATAAGGAAAGTCTGTATGACTTATTAAAAGTATACCAAGTGTCAGTTCAAATTGTGATTTATTAATTATAGCCAAACATGAGACTGCCATTTTTAGGCTGTTTGGGATGACATTAACATGTGTTAAGAATTGTAATATTAAAAGACTGTCAAATAAATCTAAAAAGTCATTGATTAAAATTGCTCTCAATAAAAAAAAAATTCTTTTAAGATATTTATGTGAGAGGTCTTCTTACTGATGTAGAACTTTGATAATTCTGTAGATATCAATCTATAAGTAGATATCTAGATATACTGAATTCTTCCATCTGATATGTTATTCATTGCATTTAGTATTCATGCCTTGTCTTTAGCCACAAAAGCAATGACAGTTTCTGCACTACAAATATTTTGTGTTATACAGGACACATTATTTCAATATCAATTATTTGTTGTTGGTTAAAACATTTCTATCATTATAGAAAAATGTCCTGTTGATGAAACCGCTTGCCACACAATTTGTGCCTTGAGCAAGAAGAAAATATTGTTTGTCATACAGCTGTTGTGTGAATACTCAAAATGGAGATGGCACTGTGCATGCATACTTTCTGTTAAAGCTTTTAAGCAGATTTGTTATGTTATCAATCAACTTAATCTAAATTCTAGCACCAACATTTTCCTAAAACGCAACAAACGTGTCTAAAATATAAAGTATCTATATTGTTTGGAAAAATTCTTAATAGAATTTCAAGGAAAATTGTCTGTGTACGAGTGCTTAATGTGAAGAACAATTTGTAGGCTTCTAATCCGGAGTCGTTTTGTTGATGTGTAACTATATGATGTAAAAAGCGGTATAGATGTTTTTTGTGGTTTTTTGTGGTTTTTTTAATTTCAGTATAGGACGGTGAATTAGCATTGTTTTATCTGATTAGACATGAACAGTGGGATTGTTACCTGTCTTTGGTTTAATAATGGGTAAAGATTATGGGTTTTTTAACTGAGTTATGGGTAGTTTGACTTAATGGAGCTATTTTTTAGTCATTGTCATCATAACTTTATATTTTAGGTGGTGTATGTTGGAAGAGAAACAATCTGTACTGTCGATGGTCTCCACTTCAACAGTACATACTTCGCCCGTGTAAAGGCTAGCAACCATGCTGGTGACAGTGATTACAGTGAGCCAATCAGTTTACAGACAGCAGAAGGTAGGCTACTGTTTTGCATTATAAAGTGTTGCTAATCTCTTAGATGGGAAAATCCTATATACTTCTCATGTAGCTCTGACCTTTGACACGGCCATGAAGTAACATCACTGACCATAGATGTCCGTCCTCTGTATGGTGTATTTTACACCCCTCCATGTTATAGGCATTGTTCCCAGTGACAATCGTGGTGATGACAATACCTGTAAATAATCGGTACAAAAACAATCCTACCTTTGGGAAATCACTTTAATCTGGCAGAACTGTACAATTAATTACGAGATAATTTGATTTGTCTAGTGGTTTGTTCACAAATAATTAGCATTCTTATTAATGAAAACATGTACTTTTATCAGTTGTATTAGATTACTGTCAGTTTAACAAAGTTAATTTACTGATTTGAGTACATCTTACACATATGTCCTTTATTTGTGACTGGTACCGTTGTGAATCACTGTTAGTAAAACTTTGTCCAATATTCTTGTTTGTGGTCTAATGAGTTCCATGTCTGCATGACTTCCTATTATACACTCATGCTTTAACATCTAATGGTAATGCCAACCTCGTAACTTCAACATGACACGCCTTAATGTCATTTTCCTTAAATGGTGTGTCATTAAAATGGTAAAATGCATCAGAATGGATTTAAACAATCAGAATGACTTTCACAGTTGACCTTGACATCACAGACTTGGTGATAATAAGAGTCTTTACAGAATTCTATGAGATTCATACATTGAATGAGTGTAATTATAAGAATATAGATATTAATTATAATCAGTGTGCCCTCTGTTTTTACTGGAGTCTAGTAATACAAAACAGTATTAACCAACTGAAATTTGATGACACAGTAATATTTTTGCAGCATGATAACAATCTGGTAGTGTTGTTCATTTTATTTCTGTTTGATATTTATTCTTGTCCATGTTAATCAGAAATAAATCATAAAATTCTGTCACTTTCATTTGACCCGAATATGTTTCCATCCACAATGAAGAAGAACTAAACTCCTTACAGCCTTTGAACCAATGACATTGATGGATTAAAGTGAGTGAAAGAAGGAAGAGATTTTACCCCACATGCATTGTAGTAACTATGATGACTTTGTGGCCTACTAGACAAGGCATTGTTCCTGGGATAGGTCCCTCCTCATTTCCAGGGCCGTCATGGTAATCCATTACTCACAGCAGGCCAGGATTTTACAGCAATTTACACTCCTGACAAATTGCTGCAAATGTATCATTTATATGGGGGGAAAACCTGCAAGTAGCTCTAAATGTAGTTAAGAATGTTTCAAATTAATTTTAACACTGTTATGTATGGGGACATTCATTATGTTACATGTCCTCAGCATTTAGTTTAACATCAGTAGTTAACTTGGCAGCATCTTCATACAGAAGAAGCATGGATACCACAGAACTGGCCAATGGCATTTGTACAATTGTGTACCTGTGATATTGTAATAGAAGTGAATTAGGATGACATGCTCAGCAAGACCTTTGAGAGCAGGATATAAGTCTCCATTGTCATTTAAATCTATCATACATATTCATTTTCTTGCCAAATGTAATAGCCACTAATCATTTCAGCTACATTCCCACGGTAGGGACCAATCTGCTCTTTTTTCTCCTGACTGACAAGGTGGGCATCTTGCCACTGTGTCAGGTTGTCAATGTCCTAAGTAGGGGCTGTGACATCATAATGTGAAGGTCACAAAGATCATATACTGAATGCTATACTTCCTCAGTTTATTCTGCTGTACAAAGTCATCCCCTCCACATTTGAATTCCTGTATCCTTGATGAGATTTAGGGAGGATCTGCAATATCAGATATCAGCCTCCCCTTTCAGACAGATTCTCTAAAAGATTTGGCTGTGAGTTACTTTGTGTTTCAATTGATGCTTCTCTGTCCATGGTAGGTCTTGGCTGGAAAATTTATGTAATGGCATGTGGACTTCTCATATCTTTTCTAGTGTATTTAACTATATTTGTAAATTCCTCTACAGTTTGACCTTAGATTTGACTGATACGAGACAATTTGTAGGTCGAGGTTTAATTCTATTTAGTTTATGTTATCGAAAACAATAGACCTCAGCTGCATGTGTACTTTGAGCCTGCTTCTTCTGTTTGTCGATGTCATCATACTTCTTTTAATGTGATAAGAATGTGCTATCACAAACACATAAAATGAATGACTTGAGAGACTTGTAGAAATCATCACCATTTGTAAGATAAAACATTATATGTAAGACACAGTGTTAAGGATAAACCATTACATAGAGGCTACATCTTAGATACAGCATTAGGTTGTCGCTGATAACTAGATGTTCAGACAGATTACGCATTGTCTGCTTCATCAGTGACATCCACTGTGTATTTATCAAAGTATTCAACATTATGAAATGAGATGATTATAGTTATAGGTGGAAGGGTATGATTGAATAGAGATAGTACATCTGTAAGAACAACCGTTGCATAGGGTTTCTTTCATTCTGTTTTTAATGTACTTAACCACAGTGTAAAAGGATCACATATGTTACAGAAGTGTCTGATATGTTTTGTAATAATGGTAAGCTGCCTGTCTGGACACTGCTCTTTAACATTGTCCTTTTTACATCTGATGACAGACTGAATCAGACAAATCTCACCCTTACAGTACATGCCTGACAGACTTATTTAGATTACATACCCAGTACATGGATTCTTAGTTTACATGACAATAAATGCCTAGAATTATCTCCCTTGTTACTCTACACACTGTAAATCACATAGATTTCGTGAATGCATATATGTGCTTAATTTCAAAATCTTACCCCTTTAGATGTATTTTAGAAATGACTTTAAATTCACAAATAATGAGCTAGTAGAGACCTGGACTCTTCAAGGTAACCAAATCAGCATGAATGATATCCAGAGTTAGCAACTGACTCTCCTTACAAATTACTGGTAATGTGAAAATAGATCTCACACAACACATAATTGTTTAACAGTACATGGATTCTTCAATAGCATGATAATACATGTCTATGGTTATTATCTCCCTTTCATTTCAGGTGATAGATGATAGGTAAATGCCAAGGACTACTCCACCTAAACAATTATTATTATTCCCTTTCAGTGCTTGTGATTACATGTTCAACATATTTGATAGCTTTTACACACAAACAAGAACCATATTTTTGGAGGTCTTTATGCACTTCATGACCATTGTCTGATAAACTTCCTTTTTTTTTAGTTGCCTGGTTTCAGTTTGATCCATCTGCTTCACATCCAGACATCATTTTTTCCAATGAAAACTTGACTGCCACTTGTAACAGTTTTGACCACCGCGTCGTCCTTGGAAGTACAGGGTTCTCAAAAGGTGTCCACTACTGGGAGATTGTCATCGATCGTTACGACAACCACACAGATCCAGCTGTGGGCATTGCACGATTTGACATTGACAAAATGATGATGCTTGGTATGTTCTCTTTGAAAAAACTTTATCAGTTATAATGTTATTAAGATGTTTCTGTATTTCTGTATACAAAACTTTAAATACTGTGTCATAATTTCTAGAGAAGGAATTTTTTTTAATATAGATGTACACTTCTGAAATAGCAATTACTTCTCTAGTGTTCTGAAAAGAATTATGTGAACATTTCCTTTGTTAATTTCAAATTGACTAAAGATTATTGAAAGGTTAAAAGAACTTTTCAGAGCAACAGTTGGATGATCTCATTGGTCCCCAAGGGTCCAATCAGCGAGACTGAGACATTAGAAATAGATATCGAGGGACAGCGTTAACATGCTGGCACTGTTCACTCCGACCTATTCTATGAATAATTCATTCATTCTGTAACAGAACAAGTTAATCAGTTACAGTGGTAATAATAACCTTCATTACTGTATAGTTATCATAAACGAAGCTCTTAATGCTGAATCCCTTCTGCCAGTAATAAAACCAACTATATAAATAAGTCAGGTCTACTTGCTGGATTTAGGGTTGTAAGGTGCACTTGTCAAACTCTTATTTGTTACGCAACTTCCTTCATTCATATTCTCAGCCATTCTGCATCTGTAATGCAAGTGTAAAATAGAAGTATGCCTACTGTTATAACTAAGTCAGTGTTAGCCTGGATTCATTATCCTCACTCTCACCAACACATTGTTTTAATGATGCTCCTTCTTCGTTTTAAAATCCAATCAAAATGATTTTCCAAATGAAGTCTTCTTTAGAGAATTACATTCAACAAAGTGAGAATGCCACCTACAGAGAAGAAAAATGGCAGTGTCAGAATAATTACAACACTACATTACTTTGAGGCATGCATTATCAATTATCAATTACTCATCATATCCTATTGCTGTAGTCAGCACACACTTAGAAACAATTTCACCATTATGAGACTTAGAAACAATTTCACCATTACAAGGTTGCATATACTTTGAATTTCAATTTTTGAAATTTTCAATTAAGTAAAAGTAGGATAATTTCTTTTAATTTTCTGAAAATCCAATCAATTTTTACCTTTTGGTGTGCTATTTAAAAATGACGATGCCAGTGTATGAAAAATAAGAGAAAACAGAAAGGGAAACCCATGTTTTACTGTATAATGTAGTTCTGTTGTACAATGTTATGTTACTGTATCAGGGCTTTCATAGCACACATGTCTTAATTAGCAATTTATTCCTTTTTATCAATGTACCTTTATCTGCTGTGTGTATTTTGGAATTTTTCGGAGTAAATAAGTGGCTAATAATCTTGGTGTTGCCACAGATGGAAGTAAAGCCAGAGAGATTTCCTGTTACTTGTCATTACTTATCATTATCTTATGCTGAAAAAGTGAATGTTGACATTTGGGGGGAAAAAAATCAAATGTTTTAAAAAAAATATTCAAATGTCAATAGGCTATGAGATAATTGTTAGCTGATAACACATGTCCAAAACCATCTTCTGGAGATTTTTATCCCAAGAAAAACATGACACGCAGATCCTTAAGAGTCTTAAGGGAGAGGGAGAAATGTGAAGCAGTACAGCTAATTTGCGCTCTGCATCCATACCTCAGTAGAAGATCTAATGTACAGGGTATTTTTTCATGATGAAAAAGTGCACCAGCAAATGTTGATGCAGCAAAACTTGTGATAAATTAAGGTATAATTTATTAAATGAGCAGTGTCCTTTATGGCTTCTAGGTCTAGAGTGTGTGCTAATGAAACTGACTGTGATATGAGAAAAGGGAAAAGTGCTTGTTGTATATAGTCTTCCTTTAAGAAGAGGTTAGATTAGGATTAAAATGTAATCTCTCTCAGGGATAGGGGGTGGCTTGGCTGGGAGCTGATACTGTTAGCACTTTGTCTCAAAAAGAGGGGGTAGGATGATACTGTCAGTATATGGACTGTAACAGGGAGGTTGGATAATACTGACAGTATGAAGACCGTCACAGGAAGGTGTAATGATACTGACAGAATGTAGACTGTCACAGACAAGAGATAATACTGTCAGAATGTTGTGTGTGATGGGGAGGGAGGTGAAGGTGACATTGTTGGAATGTAATCTGTCTAAACACTGTATCGGGAAGAAGGTAACATCTGTCAAAGTAAGCAATTTAGTTCAAAATCAGTACATATGATGGGTGCTGCCTTTGATGTGAGGTGCAATGTTAGTGACCTTGAGTGGCTTCATACAGCACATCAAGACTGATACACAGAACCTGTAATGATATTTTATACAAGCAAACTTATCTTACAGTATAGCATGTTATTAGCAGAAATGTGGTTTTGATGATGGGAACAACATTGATTAATATAAGTCAAATGATAACACTAATACATCAGGCCCTAAATTTTGTAACAGAATGACTGGTTCATAGATACTTCATCTTAATTTAGAATTATTATACCTTTTTTATCCTCAAGTATCACTAGACTTTTTATTTTATCAAAACAAAACCCTTGAAAATAAACTTTGGGAGTTTCTCAGTGTTTTTTATTCATTCTTAAATTAAATAATAAGCTTTCCTATGATGGAATGCAGGAGCAGATTTCCTATGAAATGTTTTATTAGGGAGTAACATATTACATAAATTTGTAAATTGAGGCAATCCTCCATATAAAATGTTGAGTGATATGTACATGTCATTCCAAACATTCTCATCACTGTTAGTGGAACACATAATCATTCAAGCCTTACATTGCTTCCAACCATTTCTAGTCCACTGATAGCCAACATTTTATTAAAAACATATGAAAGCTAAGGCATAATTTAGAGGGATTATAATGCATGGATAGGGCTAGAATAGCCATGATTCCTGACTTAATTGTCTACCATGGGATAGCTGTACAGTCAGTAACTGAGAACAGGGTCATAGCTATACAGGATTCATTAAGTCTGGGACATCTTGTTTTCATTAGAAGCTCTAATTAGTTCTAACTTCCCTGATCTTATTTCAATTCCTGAAATTTATCTGAAGATCTGACTAGAAGTATGTCTGTAACACTATTTCAATTGACCATGTCAGAGAGTGGGGATGTGAAGCCGCATCTGGTTTGTGCAGACTCCTCAACTCTCTTGAAAATGGAGTGTGTTTTTGTTGTGTTTTATCTGGTTAAATAACATCATGTACATAAAGCATTAAGTGTTATACAGGCTTAAACTGTTCAATCAATAATGATACTTTCATCTGTCTGCATGATCACACTAATCCTGAAAACTACTGGATTTAAATCAGCCACACAGTGCAGCAAGGGCAGTTACCAGAACACTCTTTGTGATATAATGATTCAGTATAGCGTGCAGTTTACTGTCTCTCCCAGAATCAGTTATCACAATATCATTGTCACCATTTATTAGATATACATTTAGGTTTAGGTTATGTTGGGGACACAGAAATAAAAACTCCTTTCTATTACAGATATTGTGTTGGAATTTTCATGTTAAAGAAACCAGCATTCTCTCTATTTGCTTAGAATCAAATTTGCATTGTAAATAGATTCAAAAATTGAAACATGAATTCTTCACCATATGAAAGCACTGTAATAGCACAGGCTTTCTTACAGAATTGTGGCAGTTAATATGTTGAATATTAGGATGTTGATAATTCAAATTATCTGGCAGAATTCTATTGCAATAGAAATCAATCATGTATTGATATTTGACTAGCAGTGTGAAAGTCTTTACTATTTCATGTAAACTAAATTACCTGCATCACAAATTCCTGAACACAACATGTCAATTTGATAATTCCACCTTCAAATTTGCTATAGAAAGAATTAAAATCCAGAACATTCCTTATAAGTGAACTGCTTTGCTGTGGTGAGGTGAGGAAAGAATGACCAGATTTAGAATTAATGGGTTCTATTACACTGATGTTTTACTGTTCTCATCTCTCTAATACATTAATTCTGATTCCAGGAAAGGATGACAAGGGCTGGGGTATGTACATTGATGACAGCCGTAGCTGGTTCATGCATCATGATAGCCATAATGACCGAACAGAGGGTGGCATCAAATGTGGCAGTGTTATAGGTGTCTTACTTGACCTTGACAAACGCATGCTTAGTTACTTTGTTGATGAAGAACCTCACGGACCCATTGCTTTCACCAGTCTTCTTGGCGTCTTCTTCCCAGCAATCAGCATCAACAGAAATGTGCAGGTGACACTGCGGACTGGTATTGAACCCCCAGTCGAAAGTGACCACGAAGAAGATTCCTCATAGGTCATCAAGAATCTCGAAAACCTCATGATCTCCTTTCTCCGTCAAAAGTGCATGTCCTGTGACAAAATGTCTTTGAGGAAAAATTTACCAGCTTTTATCAAGGAATCAAAGTTACCGTGCTACTTAAAAGATTTCAGTTCAATCCTTGAGTTCTGTGATGGATGTGTTGATCAACCTAGGCCTTTGCTTGAACATTACTACTATGTTATTACATGCAGGAAATAGAAGATATATCAAAAATAGAGAACAAGAATCGTAGCAATAACCATCAGGTCTACATTTATTGTTCTACCAGACTTACTGACCTGTCAGATGTGTACTGACAACATGACAGAATCAAAGGCAGGAGGTTTTATGTATGTGACCTGAAGACATGATGGCTACCTTGTTAGTGCTTAACTAGTATAACACAATATTTCATGATAAAGGTAAAGGGAGATAACTGCAATAAGGAACAGCACAGACTTTTTGACTTAAAATCAACAGTTTTCTTTCAACAAACATTTTTCAGATGATTCATTTTTAATGTGTTTATCTTTGCAGTATTAGAAATATTCATCACTATGCAAAGACCTACACTCAGCATTCATGTACATTATTAAACAAACCAAATTTTTTTCATTTTTCTAGTCAACGTTTTTTCTGCATTTTTTTGTTTTTGTTTTTTGTTTTTTCCCTTTGAAATCCTTTATGTAGATTTTGCAACAAATATAAGTATAATATCTTTAAAAAAAAGATTTTGTTTGATACATTTTTGTGTTTGCTTTATTCAAACTTAATATTCATCTCACCAAATCTATTCATTGTCAAAATATTTTCTTTTGTAACCATGTTGGTTTTATACTATACAACTATAACTTATAATGTCTATTGTCAAAATGAAAAGTAGTAATTTAGTTTTATGTTTTAGAGTTTGATAATATGATTGATTTGACATTACCATAGTTCAATGCCAAATTAGGTGACAAGAATATTTACGTATTAATATTAATATCTTCTCCAAAATGTGTTTTAACTTTACTGCAATAATCAAATATCAGCCTTTTTATGAATTTTTACGTGAGTTCATACAGTATTGATGTTAGTACATATAACTGTAACCATTAAAAGTGTTTTACCACATACATTTACCATGGTAATTTTACATGGAAGAAAGTGTGTACTACTCAAAAATCTTGCTAGATAGTGACTGTTTCAGTCTATAACTTGGTATTTTTTGTAGCAAAAGAAAATGTATTTTTGTATTTTGACCAAATCTTTTGGCCAGGATTAAAAAGACAAGTACACTTTACTGCAGAAAAAATCATGCATTTGTAACCAAATTTGATTGGATAAATGGATGTTTTAGCATTAATATTATCCTGATATTTTATTAAACATAATTAGTTTGTGGTATATTTTTTAAAATACATTTTTTCAGACATCAGAAGCAATCCTAAAAGGATCTATTTTAGTGAAACTTTTATAGTATACGAGGTTGTGATTTACCAAGGATTTAATTGTCCACATTATCAAGTAAAATTTTAATAAATCAATTTTTTTTTGTAAATATGTGTTTATTTATTTTTGATTCATATTTTGGTTTAATAATAATATTACCATTTATTATTTGCTCATAATTTCTTCACATTTTCATTGTAAGCGTATTTTTCACTTCATATAACTGACAACTGCAGTTTATGGGGGAGTACAAGGGGAGATAATCTGCTGTGTGGTAGACAGACTTGTAGATACAAAAGCCACAAATATTAGAAAATAAAACTATAAAACACATGTTATTGTCTTGGTTTGTTTCTTATCACACAGAATTCCTATTCAAAAGCAAAATTTTGTTTGTAAAAACTTCTAGTGCTTTGGATTCTGCATTAAAAAATTGGATAGACTGCCTTGAAATCTCTACATTCTTGCTTTGAATTTGAGATGGTTGGCTGTTCAAATCACTGTGCCTATGAGTCACAAATCATTCTTATTGTCACAATTTCTATAGAAACATTTAACAAATAATTCTCTAATTCCGTATGTATGTTTCCCTTGGTCCCTTGTTGTGAACAGGCAGTTTTAAAACTGATCATAAAACGGGCAGGCATCTTTGTTATTGACAGTCAGTGTTTCTCGTGACCAGTTCTGGAGACATATTAAATGTATCACTTTCCAATTTTGTATACAGGTTCCCTTTAGTCCTTTGTTGTACTTAGATCATTTTGGGACGAATGGGGAAAAAATGGCTGTCAGGTGGCCATCTTGGATTTTAACAATGAAAGTTTATTCATGTATCTATTTCTTGAGAAATCATGGATGGATCTTTCTTAAATTTCATATGTAGGTGCTCTTTGGTCCCATACCATACAGCATCTTTTGACTTGACTTTCCTATGTCTTTGTAATGTGATGCAAAATTTATTCTTGTATACATCTTTTTGCAATGAATAAATGCTTTTAGCTATTTCATCACTTAAACCTATATTTCATCCAATTTACACCAGATTTGGTACATTTACAGAGTTACAGATCTTTCAAATCCTTAGAATAAGTTCCTTGTTTGTTTCTGTCAGATAACTATAATTTTCCTTGTCAGACTTGAACCAAACTTGTTTTATATTAGTGAGATGTCAAGGGAGTTCAGTATTGTCAAAATCTGTCAGAGCTACAGGACTTAAATTTAAATAAGTATATATAATAATACTAATGTAATTTTCATGTTCATGACTGTAGTGACTAAATAACTAATCTGAGCACATCAAGGCTTAATTATATGATCTGACAATGGAGAACATTGTACAAAGTTTACTTGTCAAAATATTTACAATTAAATTCAATTATCCTTAGTCCGTCAAGGCTGCCATATTATTGAAATGTTACATCATGCACTGAAGCATATCTGTGTTTGAAAGAGTCTGTAGTTCAAAGCTTAAAAATGACTCAGAAGTTATACAAAAAATTTTATCGACTAAGCTAAAACTGGATTATTTAAACTGTTGAATACCAAATCTTTACTGTACCAACAATGTTTCCCACCACACAGGTGTTTTTATGTTTCACCATGACCGCTGTATCGTGTGTCACCACACCCCTTGACCAGTATTAGAATACTTTACAGAAAATTATCATGTTTTAGCCACAGCTGCAGTTTTGATACACTATTATCTAAATACTTATTAACAGTAAGCTTGTAATGAAAATAATGGTGGAAAACCAGTAAAATAATAAGTTCCTTACTTCATTTAGCAGACATTAATGATTTGAACTGTTGTATTTCCTTTCCTTAACTTGTAGTATGTCCCATAGTCTCCATTATATTTACTGTTCAGATATTATCCCAAACTATCACAATAATGCCAGAAATCACAAGGGAGTGTCTCACTATGTGTAAGATTTATGTTTTTGTAAGAAACAGTCAGGCATTTCAGCCAATCAGTGTCCTCAGTTTGGTTGCTTTGAAAAAACAAATGCAGTTGGGTGCTTTGGAATAATGTTCAAATATTTAACCAATCAGAAGCCGTTTGGTTGCTATGGATGCCAACATAGATAACAACATCATTTGGAATCTGAATAGCTGCCGACCCACACAGATACTTATGCAAAGGAGTACAAGTAGTCCCGGAGGGAAATGTGTTACAGCAACTCATATACCATTGACAAGAAAATGCTGAGAAGTGGCCCCCGTGTCTTTGCGATGTATTTATTAATATGTTGCTCTCATGGCCCTTTTGTTCACTCAGGAGTGCAATGTGCTGAGAAAAAAGTTGATCCTCATATTGTTCTGATTGATGAACATTGTTCAGATCATAACTTTCAAATAGTTCTCTGAAACAATTAACAAATCCAACAGTCATTAACATACTACTATATCAAAATCAATTTGTAATTACAGGATTCATCATACAGAAATTATGATAATAGTGTTTAACATAATTTACATAAAAGGAAACACCCAAAGATTTATTCAGAATATTTTACTCTATCATACATTTATTTTTCTGTACAATACAATTGTATTATGTAAGTAAGCATGCACTCTGGGGAAGTATTGCCTGCAGATGTATACATCCACCAAACATCCTTGAGTGAACAAATTGCAATTGATAATAAATATTATACACAATCTATACATGACATTCTCTGGATTGTTTCTGTATAAAACAAGTATATCCTTCCTTTGTAAGGCCTTCAATCTTTTAACAGCAGTTTTTCTCACTTTTTTAGTCAATTTGAATATCCACAGATGTGTTGGGAACAAAATCATGTTCAAAATATAGATTGATTATCACAGTTTATCAAAAGAATGAAACAACTGGCTTGTTAGACTGATGAGTCCAATGATAATTTGATGAATTTCGGGTCACTGAGATGTAATCTAATCATCCTCATCTTCCTCCTCCTCTGCATCCTCCATCTCCTCAGCAGCCTCAGCAGCTTCCTGTTGTGCATGTCGGAGTGCATTCTCCTCCTCAACTGTTGGATCCTCAACTTCAGTAATCTCAGGACCACTTGGAAACTCGTCCTGAATGCCAGGGGTGGGCTGTGGACTGTAGTTGTCCTGGTTGTATTTGTGGCCAAATCCAAGGTAAACATTCTCAAACTTCCTGTAATTATAGATCAAAACATTACTCACTAAAGTATCCCAGGAGTTTCATAAAAAAAAGAACAATTATGAAAAAATAAGACAGATTTACCACCCATATATCATGTGATTTGTAACTTCTGACATTTAAGACAATTAAACAAAAGCACATCAATCTATAAATGCCACTTACTTTCCAGTGGCGAAAGCATGAGCTCCTGGCCAGAGATTGGAGTGAAGCACTGCTATGGCATACTGGGGGATGAGGTTTGATGACAGTTTAGCAGTCCATGGGGGCAAGTTCACTATCTCTGCATCCTCAGACAGAGGAGTTAATAAGGGTTGTCCTTGCTCTGGAGTCAGCTCATCGGGCTCCTCTCTTTCCTCTTCCTCTTCCTCATCCTCAAAGTCTTCCTCATTTTTCTGGATGGGGTTGTGCCACTGACACCGACCCTGTGGCAGGATGTATTGTACATGATGTACCCAGTGTTGTAGTGAAGAGTCTGTCAGGTCACGCAAGGGAAGACCCTCAAAGTCCAGGTTGGTCACAAAGTGATCACGTGCTGAATTAAGAATAAAGACATATTTCTGAAATACAAATCTTTTAAATTTGTTGTTTTTTTAAGTTTTTTCAACAGATGTTGTGTCTTCTAATTTCATACCACTTGCAAAGAATTTGCCATAATAGGTTAGCTTAAAGTATGACAACACTTCATCTATTAGGACTATGGTAAATCTAGAATAAGTGCAACCAGTGATTGCCAAGTTCACCAGCAGCAGCCATTGCAAAAAGTTTATAATAAACAAATTGGAAGAGTGTGAGGGGTATGCTGATATAATATGAACTGATCCACCTTTCAAAAACTTTTAAGTGAGTTTTGATATGAAAAAAGTAAAGTTCATAGCATGGCAAATTTTGCAAAACATGAAAAAACACATGCATGTACAAAACAAGAATTAAGTGTATGAGATGTAGTTTTTGTTATTTGTAACTGGTGAGTTAAAAACTGATGAGTTAGAACCGACTTACCCAGTATACTGTTAAAACAATTTTGCAATGTTGTTGTAAATAGGAGAAAATAGGTAAAGGAGAGTTTAAATCTTGCCTCATAAAATAGAAATTATATACATATTGCAAAGCTGCCCTAAGAGTCTTTTATCAAACTGCACAGAAACTCCTACTCCGCGTCATGTAACTATACACACCTTCTCCCTCCTCTTCTTCCTCTTCCTCTTCATCGAACTGGTAAAATCCAAGTGGTGAAACATGGGTTCCAGAGCTGATTCGAGCAATTTGAGCCCTAAGGTAGTTACACTCATTACCAGGAAATGGAGGATAACTGACAACCTATGGAAGATAAGTTTAGTTACAATCAAACACAGCAATTTCTACTGGTGAAAAGTATAAAAAAGAATACATCGCGTAACAAATGAGATTGTTCAACAAACCTTTCTTGTGGAACTTTTATTTTAATAGTGTATTAATAAGAACACTTACTGGTGCATCAAGACGACCAGTGAAAAATTTCTTGATATTCCTGCCTTGAGCGATTTGGGCAGGAGTTACTGGAGGAAGTTTGACCCATGGTTTTCCAGCTGTTAATGAAAAGATATAATTTTCCTTATAATGATATATTTCACTGTATAGCTATAGGATAAAAGATGCTAACATTCAAAACAAAATATCAAGTTAACTAAATTTTCCAATGTACATATAAAACTTACGATCATTGCACACGAAGTAGGTCTTTTTGTTAGTGCCTGTTCTGTTCTCTTCTTTGGGTATTTCTGGTGGGGGTTTGAAGTCTGACTTTGGTGTGTCGTCCTCCTCTTGTTCCTCTGTAACAATGATCAAACAAAAATTTGAAATTTAGTCCAATAATGTGTTGCTCAATATCTTTAAATTGTCACATGATATTGTTTCTCATTACCTGAAAATATTGGTAGATTTATGTACTAAAATTTTACAGTGGATGAAAAGTCAGTACCAAATTATTTTTCAAAAAGTCCACTAGAAATTACTTCTTTTGAAGAAATATGATCATATAATTTAGGTGCACAATAGTTACCTTCTTCTCCTTCTTCTTCATCTTTCTCTGCTGTCTCTTCTTCATTTTGTTCTTCAGGCTAAAATATTAAATCATCAAGTTAAATTTCAAAATCAGCATGTAAAGGCATAAAAATGAAGACATGAAAGTTGATATTACACTGATATTTGTGAGTCTCTGGTTTGTTATTATAAGTGCCATGAAACATACTTTTCAGTAGTAATCTAGTAACTTGGGTGGTGTTTGTAATTAATTAATTAAATCATGTGTGTGATATAGGTGTTCTGCATTGAGGTCTTTAGCATTATTTTGGGTGAGTCAAATCATTTTTACTTTTAGTCTATTAAAATTTCAATGCGTGTGGAATTTGAATGACTCAATATTAAAATATTAGCCTTATCATATTGTCTCAGATTTCCAAAACTAATTCACCTCTTCCTCTTCTTCCTCCTCTTCATCTCCTTCTCTGTATTCCACTTCAGCAACATAATAGTTCTGTTCTCTACCAAAGATTTTGCCCCAGAATCTTACATGTGCTAAAGTGTGACTGTCTACAAGATTTTTAAGAGCAAGCCATATTCTGATTACTTCTTCACGATTCAACCCAATTCCTGCTTGTTCAAAGAAAAAACACAGTTCCATAAGGTTTGGCAGTGGAGTTTCCACCTCATCATCTGCATCTTGATCCTGGTCTTCTCCATCTCCTTTCTGAAATCAACATTTTGTAATTTTTGTTTAAAGTGTATCTAAAAGTATGAAGTTGATTAACTGGTCCATTTATAATTTCATTCTCAGTCTGCTTAATTGAAATTTTGAAAATGGAAAGAAACTGTTCAAAGTACATCAACTATATAAACAAATTATAGCTACAGTGTACTTTAATTAAAAAATTATCAAAAACAGAATTAACGTCATGTGAGAAACAACCGAAAGACATCAATCTGTCTTTTTTAGGAAAACATAAAATCAAATTTTAAAAAAGCAAAAAATACTTACAGCAAACAACTTCCTCTGTACATGTGCTAAAGCTACTTCAGTGGACTTGTCTAACTTGTCTTGAACAGTGTCAACCTTTGAGGTGAATTTGGCTTTCTTGGTGTCTTTGCTGATATCTTCAAAAACATCAGCTACATTGCCAGGCCGTTCATCTAAAATCCTTGTCAGGACACCACTTAAATGGTCAAATCTGAAATACAAGTTAAAAAATATAATCTCTTACAATACTTACATATACATCTGTTGATAACATCCACTTTATACTGCTACTTGTTCAAGTCCATTCAACTTTAAATCACAGTGCATATGTGAAACTTTAAATATCAATGCCATTATCTATGGATCAATTTAAAATTTATTTTTCTGATATTGTCTAATAACAAATACCAATGACTGCTGATCTTGACCAACACAAAAATAAAAATGTAAATAGAGACATTTTGATCAGAGCCTTTTGAACAAGTGTCATACATTCAGGGACCTATAATGCAGAAGGGTAAGAAACTAGGCCCAGTGGAGACTTTTCTGGTTTTAGCTTTTGTGTTTGTTCACTGAGCTGTGAAGTCCCCTCTTCTTATTGCTGTTATCAAATCTCATCTACCTGTGCCTCGATGATGTAGTTACTGTGACTGGCATAACCAGAGCCATGTTGTTGGCCAGTCAGAAGTTAAGTTCATTTTCATAACAAAATAATACGATTGAATAAGACTGATGTATCACAATAATAACATCAGTCAATTGGAATATAACTCAGCTTGGTATGCCATTAATTTAAAGATGACTTCTACATATTTTCAGCAGAAGGTTGTATACAACGAAGGGAAGTTGTAAACAGGTTAAACATTTTGTTTTACAAATTTCAAAAGTTAACAGAATTTTTATGTCATAATAATAGTTAGCTCAATCAATTTGAAAATATAATGAGCTTTCTAAAACTGTCTATTTTGAAAAGAGTTGTTGTGAACTTTAGGAGAAAACTGGTTTATGAAAACAGCAAGGCTTGTTAACTTGAATTTCTTCGCTACAGCATTACACAGAGATATAGTCAGTTTCCCATCTCTTTGTATTATACGTTCCTGATATATTACGTCCCTGATATATTTCATACATGTAAATGAATGTATAACAAGTAGGGCAATATTAGTATGTATATATGATCATTTCTCCCAATCGGCAATAAAAGTGTAAATGGGAAAACAAACACTCGCATACCGTTGTCAACAACTAAAACGCATTGTACATGTTCAAGAATTATTAGTATAGAAACTCGCCTGTATAACACTAAAGTACATGTCTCCATTCAAAGATGGAATGTATGAAAAACAGTTTTACAAATCATAGCAACAATGGCTTCATACACAAACATGTGACTACTTACAAATTAAGTCCTGTGTCTGTGCTGGAAGTGAGAAGATATGATTTTGCATTGATATATTGCTGATCTTTCGGGTTAATATTGACATCCATGTTGACTGGTGTCTGTGGTTTATCGCTACTCATATCACAATGAGGTAACGATTCCCTCCCAGTCTTCTAATGAAGAATACTTGGTCTTGGTGCTTGCTTGTTGTTGCTAAACTACACACTGCAATCCTTACTGTGATGTTGCTAAGGAAAATACACACAATGGCGTCATGACGTAGCTTCCGGTGAAGAATCCGTGACGTAGTTCACATAGCGAGCACCTTGAAACATTTCCGGAAAGCAACTTAATTCGATTGTATTTGTCATTATCTGTGCCACGGAATGCTTCATAAAGGATGGAAATGTTTGGAGAGTATAGGGATATTGATGATGTATACAATCACAAGAAGTATGAGTTTCTAATGCAGATATCATATTTACAAAATAGGGCGGTGTCGTTGTATTGGAATTTCTTTGACCTGCCAGAGAATGTGCAGAATGCATGGATTTTTTCCCGATAAATAGGATAACAAAATCAATAAATTAACTAGGTTACATTGATAAACTAATTATCTTTTGTATATACAGAATAGTTTGCATCTGTTACTACATGTCTGAGGCGACTCTCAATGGTTCGTGAGCAACAGTTGGTCATTAGATCAACAAGTACAGGAAGACTGTTGACTGTGTTGATGGGAGTCTGACAGCTGCAGAACTCTCATCAAACTAATTCAATCAAAATGTTGCCAAAAAAGAAAGACTCTGCATCCGGAATAAATGATGGCATTGCTGGAAAATATGTCAAAAGAGACACTCCACCTATGTTGAGAAGTGAGTATGTAATGACTATGTTACTATTTATAGACAGAGTAAGTAATTCTGAATACTTGGTTGTTTACAGTCATTTCGGTAACAAATCGTTTCCGGAGAAACACAGCAGTCATTAGGGTACTTTACTGGGGTTGTTTCGGGACATATGAAAAAGTTGTTTCTCTACTTTAGTCATTGATTTTAATAATTGCAATGACTGACTCTAAAAGTATTTGTTTAAAACAGATACTTGGTACGGTAGACCGATGTTACATGATCACTGTCAAAGAACATTGAATTATTTTCAAGAGTATTGCCAGTATTTGCCTGATTTACATAATTAAATAGAGGCTTCGAATGAGATGAAACTTTTCCCATATACATTATTATTTTTTTATGATTATTCAAAAATTGTAAATTGTTACAATAATACATTTTTATACGTACACTTATTATTTCATTTTTAATTTTCAATAAAAACAATTGTTGATGTATTGTCATCTTGTGTTTTGCTCACATTTCCTTTTTCATTTTGAATTGATTAGTTTATGTAACAATAATTGATCAATATTAAATAAATATTTAGAAGCAACTGTCAATCCTACAAACCCTTGTGCTATTGCTGCAACAGCAGGTGACACTGTCAGACATATCATAATATTGAATGTAACCAAATCTTCAAGATTTGGTGACATCACAGAAAACCCCATTAATGAAATTAAAAAGGAAATCCAAGAAAATCAATTACGATAACATATTGTCAGATTCTATGGAGGTACCAAAACATCCTGGGCAAATCCTAAAAATCTCTTTCAAATCCTAAATCGTTTTTGGGACACCCAAAATGACTTGTTATCGAAATGACTCGCATTCAAAACAATATAGATATTAAAGGACATCTACATGAAATAAACAAATACGTCTGCTATCACCTACAGGTAACAGAATTCCACCTCTACTAAGATTTTACAGGTTCTGACTGTATCAATCATTTCATTTTTACCTTTTCAAGATAAAATCAGAAATAGATAGTCAGAATCCTTCAGACTACCAAGGTGTGTTTCAATGGTGAACAGCCTCATCATTTGTTTTATGTTTATGTGATACTCTCACAAATATACCAATTGCCAATTGACATTTTGTATCTGATGCTATTTATCATTAATCACATACATGTACAAGATGTACTAATACAGTTTCACAACATAAACTTTTACATGCATAATTTTATCAGCAATCACATTTTGACCCCAACTGACTAGTAGATCATGATCATGGTATAGCATCCATTATCTGCCAGCAACAACTTGTACAAGTTTTTTCATTTAAAAGCTTGGTTTAACAGAAGAGCTGTTTAGATCTTGACCAAAACTGTTGAGAAGAGTTATGACTAATAGTGAAGGAGACTTTAAACAGAGGGTGTGGTCATGTGTGGGCTGCATGAAAGCTTTCCATATTTCTGTGTGAGCTGATATTAGGATTTTAATCACAATATGTTCTGTTACTTAAAAGTATCATGGACCCAGGGGAATCAATTTCACATACTGGTATGCATTTGTACTTTGGCTCTTTTCTTGGTAGATGATCATGGGTAGGGAGTAGGGAAAAGACAATAAGTGTTGTCATTTAAATCATTATTGAATAGGATAATTGAAATGGGTCAATATTAGGGTCAGCAGCAAGATTCATTTTGCCGTTTGTTGATAACAAAAGTAATTGCTAAACACATATGTATGTGTGCAATGATATCTAATATCTATCTCTTGTTTGCAATTTTTTGTTCATCCATCTTTTTGCATCGTGAATCATCCGTTATTTCACTTGCATTTAAATCTTAGCTGTTAGTTAATAATAATAGATCTGAACAATATCTTTATTTTCTTAATTTCAAGAAACATTGACCTTTAGGCAACAGTACATTTATCTATGTAATCTGAACGAAATATATCCTGTGATTTTGTTGATTGAGAAACAAGTATAGCTATAATTGAAAATTCCATAGATGCCAAAAGTAAATAACTTTAATCTTTAAATGTTCCAAATGTTAAATAAAACTCTTGCAACAATGACTTAGTTGGGAAGATATGGTGATAACCATACATATATACAGATAGATAATGCTAATGGGTTAGTTTAGATTAATTGGAACTTCATTAATTTTGAAGGTTATTGATGTGAAATCCTTTTCTGTTTTGCTACAGCATGGAAGAGTAGGTGGATGGTACATGCCATTAGGATTTTTGGTATAATTAATAGGTAGCATTTATATATATTTACAGTTACCGTTGAAGTTGTTCTGTAACCTTTGCAATCTTCATTATCATTATACATGGTTAATGATGGTTTCTGTCACATAAGTAGTGAGATAAAAAATCATGTCTTAATAGAAATCTCACATCAAAAATTAATGCAAATATATCGATGATCATAGTAAATGAAATAACATGTTGATTACACCTAAAAACAATTAAGTAAATAACGAGGATTTTGAGACATGGAACCATGTTCTCTCATGATCAGTATCGTGTCCACTACTGCTTAGGCCTAGTCATATTTGGAAGATGAAACTGCCGTCAGCTGATCACAATCACAAACCTCATATTTTCTAGATGTCACAGATATTTATTTAATGTGTGTGGTACCAATGAGACACCTTGAGTGACATTTATTCTAAAATCACCAAATGTGCCAACAGAAACATCATCAGACTTGATTACAAAGCCAAAAACAAAAAACAATTTTCCAGTCTGTATACTGTGTAAAGCCAGTTTTACATTCATTACATGATAAACAATAGATTTACTTCATTTGTCTTATATATATCTGAACCAGGTGCATTGGTGTTAAATAGTAGCCTTACCGTCTGCATGTAACTTCCTCTAGACGTGACATGTAGCCACTACTTCATCTGATATTGTTACATTTATATAAACACAGCTGTATAAAGTAGAGGAGACCTGAGGTTTAAGTCCTTGTATGGTCAGTGTAGGTGGGAAAGGACAATTTGTAATATGTTCATTTCTGAATTTATTGATAAAAGATACATTATATTTGTTTCCTCTAAGTTTTTCTGTCATTACGTACATTACCACTGTGTAATGACTATGTGATCCCTGGTCTAATTATAGTAAAGTTGTGCATGCATTATCTACTTTAACTCCATTAGTGGTATGTACTTAAAATTCCATGTAGGAGGGTGTCATTTCCTCCTTTTAGACTATCATTTTAGTAAGTTGGGATGTACAGTTAACATGTTGAAATTTCCTTCATTAATCTTGTCTCAAACAATGGACTTCAACCGTGACTGGGATACTTTTTTAAAAAGTCATCTGGATTCCTTGTTCAGGAAAAAAGATTTCCAAGTTTGTGATGAACATTTTAGCTTTAATGAGATTTTCAACACTATGTCTCTAGGTAACTATCATTGTTATTGTTAGTACAGCCTTAAACATAACTGTTTATCCAATATTTCATGGCAATGAAAACATGAATACATACTATCTAGATATCATGTTCAAAGATAATTAGATTTTATTATAAGCTGATATACTGTCAAAGTGATATTCCAATTTAACTGATTACCTGTATTATGTAGTGCACCACAAGCAGGTATTACAGGTGTCACAATTTATTATCAATTAAGTCATTCAAGAGAAATTGATTTGTTTACAATCCTAAACAAAAATACTATTTTACATTTTTGAGAGTACCAGGGTATGCCTCAATGATATGCTGCTGTTTATCAATACGGTCACTCAGTAGACCTATATATGTAGTTTATGTAAATAAAATTACAATGTCAGTGTGTTTGAACATGAAATAATTTATTCATTTGATATCAGAATTTTTTTAAGCATTCTCAAGAAGTTGCTGTTTGTTTCAAATAATTAAATGAAATAATAAGCTATTTTTTTATGAAGGAGTTTTTCAATATAAGTGTTCATTGTGAAAATTTCACAATAGCTGCCTTTATTACTTTTATTAAATTCTTATAAAAGTGAAAATGAAATCATTGGTACCAGTTTTATGAAATGTGAAATTTTCTTCTTTGTATGCCATCTTGTTTGCTTTCTAACCTTGGTTGTGTTAAACAATAATGAATTTGATGTAATTAAGCAATTGTTTTTACAGATTACCATACTCCAGTGAGACAGACACCAAACTTTCAGAGGAGGAGTTCAAAAACACCAGCATTTTATGTACCTCAACAACCCATCATCCGCCCACCTGTGTCACGCTCTGTCCTGCCGACATCACAGATGACTTTCACTAACACAAGCAGCTCATATGAACGCCAAGTACAGTCTCATATTAACAAGTCACAGCCACAAAAACTGCCTCTCAGCAAACCAGTACAGATGCCGGTGTCCCAGCTCACACATGGATTACAGAACATGCACATAACTGGTCAGAGTGGCGAACAGTTTCATAAACCCAATGTTAATCTGTCTCAACCAGGGAGTTTTCCTTACCAACCTGCTAATACAGGGTCAAACAGCTCCTTAAGCACTCAGGGGTCAACATCTAGTCGTACAACCACTGGGTCCTCTGGGTACCAAAGTGGTGGATCAGGTGTTCAGCATTTCATCCAGGAGGTGAAACCAGCACAGGTGTCACAGTCAAATAGACTCGGTAGTTTGGGAGCCATCAGAGAAGGTAAGTGCAAAGCGTTTCATAATTATAAAGTTGCACAATTGCAAGTTTTAAAGATTCAGAAAACATTGTCACAGAATAGAAGATTTTATAACACAACCAGTGGAAGATTAGAGTTTGACATTTCAATGACTACACAGTCACCTTCATCAGACATTGATTTTCTGGTAAAGGTGACTAATCATCGAAACGTCACATTCAAATATTCTACTGGTTGTGTTACAAGAACATACATTCTATTGAAATTATTTGTGCCAACCTGAAGAAAATGTTCTGAAATATCGTTATTCTGTTGATGATCTTATTTCTAACATGTACTGGAAGAAGCTGTATTGAAAATAAATTTTATTTTCGGTCTGTGAATTACATGAATTTAAAGACAATTTTGCAATGAATATCAGTGAAAGCATTCAGTTGAACCTTGAAATTTGGCAATTTCAGAAGTCAAATCACAAATCTGAAGGTCAAAACATATTTGAAATAGGCTTGTTTCTTCACACTCAAGAGTCAAAATACAATTTTGAGATTTAAACACAGTAACTACTGAATGCCCTGCCTATGAAATGACATGTAATCAGCATTATAAAGTTATATTGTCTTGGAATCTTACAGACAACAAGGATGACATATCTGGTCATTATCACAGTAATTTTGACTACCACAGTCAATATGATGAAAATTACCAAATCCAGCAGTATCACCAAGAAATACGTAAACACTACGCCCAGCAGAATCCTGGGGGACAAATCGTAAAGCAAAGTCTACATGCCACCACACAGAAGGAAATCCAGACAAACGTCCCTTCCTCTGGTTGTAAGTTGGTTAGATTAAGTATCAATGACAAGTAAGGCATACAATGTAATGTTAAGGATTAAAACAAATGGGATGATTTACCTGTCACCAAGTCCAAATGCTCTGGTTTTATTCTGATTGCAGTGTTCTTGCTATCCCAGTATTTAAAATAAGATGACTGTTGATAAACAAAACTGATGTTAATAGGTTTACAGCATTGAAAGGTTATTATGCTAAGCTTATTACTGTTAATTAATGTTTATAGCATCGAGTGGATTCCCTGGTCAGGATGAGATGGCCTTACCAACAGGGTGGTCAATAGACTGGACAGTGAGAGGGCGAAAATATTACATTGACCACAACACCCAGACTACCCATTGGAGTCACCCATTTGAAAAGGAGAGTCTTCCGATGGGATGGGAGAGGATTGAGTCCAAGGAATTTGGAGTCTATTATGTCAAGTAAAATGTTTTTTTGATAAAAATAAAATTTCAGAGATATTTTCAGCTTTTGTCAATTATGGCTTTTGAATCATATTTACAATCACTAATGATCAGTATATTGTATTTACGCACATATATTTAAGTACATTTGTTATTTACAGTCACTTCATGAAGATAGCACAGTATCAGCATCCCTGTGCTCCAACCATGCCACAGTTTAGCCTTGCCTTCCAGTTCCCTCAGCGACCTGGGCTCCCACAACAGATAGAGTACCGGCCAGCTCGTCAGACGAATGTCCTAGTACCTGCAAATCCTTACTTATATACAGGTACAAATCTCTTCCTTACATAGAGGTGCACATCCTGATTTATATTCTTACTTATATAGTTACAAAACCTTACTTTCATACAGAAGTGTCATTACTGATATACAGGTACAAATTCTTACTTATATATACAGGTTCAAATCATTACTTAAATACAGGTGTAAGTTCATACTTATGTATACAAATAAAAATTCTTACTTATATATACAGGTACAAATTCTTACTTATATATACAGGTACAAATTCCTACTTTGAGATAGGTACAAATTTTTATTTGGATTTTTACAACAATATTTCTGGTAACGTAAAAATGAAGACAATTTATGACCATGGCATGTCCTAGAATGAAAGAAGAGGGCCTAAGAAAGTGATGTGTTCAAATGTTAATTTTCATGTTTGTGTATTGGTTTTGATAGCTCACTCTATTGACCATGTTAGTATTAAGGTTAACAATTTTCTGATGGGTTTTGGATGTTAACGCATACTTTATTTCATTATTGTGGAACTTACTTTAAAATTCACCTGAAAGAATTTACTGGTTTTTTGGCATTTGATGACTACCAGTAGTGTTTCTAACTTGATGATGTACTTGTCATATTTTAAGAAATCCCTCAGTGGCTGAGTGTGTACTCCAGAGGTGCACCAGAGCACGACCACAAATTAAAGGTAAGCATTATGGAACGTAATACCCTATACAGTACCAGATATTGTTCTGAATGTAGAAGGCATAGGTTTAATTAACTTCTTCAGTGAACATTTAAATATCTTTTTTGAAAAAGGGTGATAATGCACGTTAAAATTTGTTTTTGATTGGACAGATTTCTGTCAGATCAAAATAAGTTATTGAGTAAGTCCCTTTTCCCATCTAGCTCTTCAATTCTTAATTACTTTATAGCAAACAGTGTATGAATCCAGCAAAGTAATACTACTCTATGCCCCCATGTTTACACTGTATACAGTCAATACTACTTCTCTTTGACAAATGATGGACATTGAATCCAAGTCAGAACTACTTCTCATGTGATATGATTTGTGTTGCAGTGGGACCTGTTCACTGTCAGTCAACTGGAACACTACGATGCTATGCTCATGAGATTACATAAGCAAGAACTGGAACAAATTGTGATGAGTTATGAAAGTTATCGTATTGCCCTGAACCGTGCAATGGATAATCATAAAAAGGAACCACAGACCCCTCAATTACCAATGCAGTTAGCGTTACCCCAGAATCTCGAACATCATGATCTGTTACAGCGACAGTTACCAGCCTTACAAGAGGCACTACAGAAAAAGATGATGGCACAGAACAGTGGCAACCAAAATAAAGGTCACTGGCACCAAATAGAACCATCAGGAAAACAACCTGTGTTAAAACAACAACAACAACAGATACCAAAACAACAGCATCAGCTACATCAACACATGCAACATCACCAGCAACAGCTTCATCTTCAGCAGCAGCAGCAGGAACTTCACCTTCAACAGCAGTATTTACAGCATCAACAACAACAGTTACGTCAAAAGGAGCTACAGTTGCAACAGCAACAGTTCCAACAACAGCATATACAACAACAATTACCACAGCAACAATTACCACAGCAACAGTCTCAGCAACAACAGCCTCAACAATCTCAACAGTCTCAACAGCAGAACAGATTACTGACTCAAAACATAGAAACAAAAGTATGACCGTGGCTTTTATTAAATGTCAGGGCACCAATGTTTGGCTGTGCAGTTTTCAAATCCTGCCAAACATGTCCACTCATTTTTACTTGTGTTTCAAACAGACAGCATATTTTGCTAGTCCAAACTAGTGAGAGCTGCAGTCCAATGGATGATTTTACTGTGATTTAGGTACTGCTGGCTGGGGTACTTATTGTAAAACTAAAGGGATGATTATCTCAGAATGTTATGTATATTGTAGTGAAATGGTGTCAGTCTGAATAGATTATGTAGTATTATATCAATCCATTATATCATTTCATTCATCCTGTCATGGAAGCCCTCATACACAACATTACATTTTTTTGTGCTACAAAGGACAAGAAATGAGACAAAATGTGATATGGTGCTCTGTTTATCATGTATAATATTATGTATCGACTGCTGTGAGTTGTGTGGAATATTACCATCAGTATAACCTTTTCGTTTCATTGATGATATTTTATTTGCACCAAAAATGTAAATATCCTTAGGGGTATAGAGCCAACGCCATTCTTTCCGCAAAGAATGCAAATAGGTACCATCGACTGATATTAGTAAATTCTCCCCAAAATCAGATGATGATTTAATGATCAGTTTCATTTTTAACAGATAAGTGACAGCATGGAATATGTAACTTTGTGACCGATGTGATTAAACGTATTTGGAATGTGAACAAATGATCAGTTTGTTTAAACTACCTAGGAACCACCATACAAATGTATATGTTGAACATATATTTAAGTATGTGCCATAAAAATATTATTTTAGAGTCATCACCTCTCTGGTGTTTTATGAAGGGATCTTAAATAGTCCAGGTTGTTGACTACCTAATGGTGGAAGGTTTAATTGTAAGTTGGACACTGGCCTTTTATATATGTGTTCAATAGCTACTGGTCCTCATGGTGTATAGCTACATGAAAATGAAACACTGGCCTTATTACTGACTTCTATGGTGAGGTGATATTAATGCATTTTAGCAATAATTATGTTAGGTTGTAAAGGGATGGAGCAGTATGTGTGGAATGTTTGGGAGTGATCAGCTGTTTATAATACAACCATTTTACTAGAAATTAGTGAAAGTTTACAGTCAAAGTATATTTTTATGATTTTATCAGATCGATAATGATGAAGTATCTTGAAAATCTTTTTAAAATTCAAGAATTTTCAGTTTCACATTAGTGTGATGCCGACGTGATGTCCACCATGCAGGGGAGCCTGTGACCTGTGGTACTCCTGTGTACTGTGGGATAATGTGTGGCTTAACTTTATATGTTAATTTGTCTGATGATTGGTCTTGTTCTGATGATACAACACAGTCCTAGTTACATGGTGTCTCTTGTCTTCCTTAAACAACTCATTATAACACAGGTTAAGTTGATAATAACCATTATATGGATTTATATACCATATTATTTACAACTAACCCACATTTTCACACATGCACTTATTTGTTACCTCCCTTTGTTAATTTTTTCAAATTTGTAGGAAATCAAATTTCACCTAGTATCATGCTTTTATACTTGTAATAGAGATACTTTTTTACTGTATTTTTATATTGATTGTTGAGGCTTGTGAAGATTTTCAATTTCTATGACGATTTTAAATTGGTATGTGTAAGTTTGTAGGCCCTCATAGTGTTAAACAATGTTAAATGTTCCTCCATGCTGTGCATCTGATGTAGCAATTTTTCTGTCAACAAGATCAGGATATCCCCATATCAGACAGTGCATGGAAATCTTACCCTTGAGTCTTGGTCACTTCTTACATGAAAGAACTGTTCAGTGATCAAAGAAGAGTAGAAAAGGAAGACCTACACAAACCAACCCTAGGGTAGGTTTTCCCTTAACTTCTACAAATAGGATTGAAGGAAACTGTAAATTTTTTCATTGTGTTCTTTACACTGTACTGCAATATATACACACTGAATGATATACATATATTTATATATATTTTTTTTTTCAAAAAAATTTGTGATCAAATCCTGTAATTCAAAATGGCGCAAAGAAAGAATGAACTAAAAATGTGAATCTATATTTTAGTTGGTTTTCAGTTCTACATAACAGTATGAAAATACATTTATCAGTAATCTTTGTTCTTTTATGTATTGGAAGCATTGTGCTAAAAATGATAGCACTAAGTGCAAATTGTTGATGTTTTCTGTGGTAAAATATTGTGAGTGATCCCATTCACTGATGTAGTAGAATTGTATAATGTGCTAAAATTTCAAATGTGCCTTAATAAGTGCATTCATTTAACTCCTTTATTAAAGTACCAGGAAATAGTTTCCATCAGAATGGCGCCCCAAGATAAATCGTATAAATAGATAGGGAGTAGTCAGAGATTCCTCTGATACTGTAAGAGTAAGTAGTCACTGACAGGTGTGAGTTGTGTAGTGTTGGTGGTCATGAAGACAGGTTCTCAGACTCTAGTAAGAAATATTAGGTGTGATTGAAGTGGGAATGGCTGTCATGAAGAAATGTTCTAATATATTCTTGTGGGAAGTTGCCACAAATAGGTGTGAGTTGCTTGGTGTTGGTTTTTATGGAAACATGTTCTGGTACTGACTCATTTGAATGGTGTTCGAGGAAGAGCCACCCACATGTGTGATTATTGTGGGAAACAAGAGCAACCCACATGTGAGAGTGATGTGGGAAACAAGAGCAACCCACATGTCTGAGTGGTGTGGGGAGAAGGAGCCACCAATACATGTGAGAGGTGTGGGGAGAAGGAGCCACCCACATGTGTGAGAGGTGTGGGGAGAAGGAGCAACCCACGTGTGAGTGGTGTGGGAAGAAGGAGCCACCCACATGTGTGAGAGGTGTGGGGAGAAGGAGCAACCCACGTGTGAGTGGTGTGGGGAGAAGGAGCAACCCACGTGTGAGTGGTGTGGGGAGAAGGAGCCACCCACATGTGTGAGTGGTGTGGGGAGAAGGAGCAACCCACATGTGAGTGGTGTGGGGAGAAGGAGCCACCCACATGTGTGAGTGGTGTGGGAAATGAGCAACCCACATGTCTGAGTGGTATGGGGAGGGGGAGCCACCCACATGTCTGAGTGTTATGGGGAGGAGGAGCCACCCACATGTCTGAGTGGTATGGGAAGGAGGAGCCACAAGTACATGCGAGTGGTGTGGGTTCAGCTATAATGGATACTATCACTTGATGTCTCATACTGTAGTACAGGTAATTTATTTATTGTCATTACTTGACAGACCTAGATTGTCATCTGTTTTTCAATGATCTCCATAGAAATGTGATTCTGCTCATCATTTCTTGTTTTAGTATGAAATGTGTTTTATTTATAACAAAGATATTTACAGGTGAAGATTATATTATTTTAATTCTTCTCTTAAACCAGTGGTGATCATCACCTATGCATGGTGCACAATCTGTGAGTATTTTGTGTTGGTCGTCAGCAGTAGCTACCAGCTGTATTGTGTGAATTTACAAATTTGTACTGATAAGTCTGGGTCCAATTTTGCTACCATACCATACAAATGGTCCTTGTACTTGATTGGTTGGTCAGTAAATGATTAATTAGTCCAAGATAAATGGTTTTCAGGCATTGAATATTGATCTTCTGGTAAACAGAATGTAAAATTGAGTTATGAACTATATTTTTTTAAATTTTAGGTGAACTCTTATTATCAGCAATCTTGAGATCATCAATATTTGGACTCCAGACAAAACAGTAAATAGATTTCTGAACCATAGGCAAAATGGAAAAGAGAGTTTTGAACTTTTGCCCAATGGTAATCAGATTTTTGGACAATGTGCCAAATATTGAACAGCCTTTTTGACTGTTGCTCAAAAGATAAACAGACTCTTGGACAGGTCAAATGGTAAACAGACTTAGGAATAATGGTTGCCTTACTCACTTGGACCACAAGATTAATGGTAAATAGATTTTTACACTCCAGGTTTTAACAGATTTTATAACACTGGATCAAATAGTTATCTGCCTTTGAGTTTGACATCTATACTCTGCATTTGTAGTAAAAAAAAATAACATTCTTTTAGACATCAAACCTTACTGGTGTACTCTTTAATGGCTGGTGTGTGTGTTCATAGACTTACAAAAAACAGACCGATTGTCTCAAATTTTGTATACGGTATATTTATACAAATGTGTTTGTAGTTGTCAAGTCATATATCTATTTACTTAAAGTCATCTAAAACCTTTTGTTTTTAACAGATTATTCATGCCTGTTCCCTTGTATTTTCAGTGTTCATCTGACTTCTATATCTCCCTGATTATGTAAATTACTAGAGCACATAAAACTAAAAAAATAAAAACAAAAAGATGTGCTACCATTACTACTAATACAGGTTTGTCCATCTGTGTACATTATTTCTGTGGTACAACACAGTAGCAGTACAGGTGTACACAGCTGTGTACACTATTTCTGTGGTACATTACAGTAGCAGTACAGGTGTGTACATCTGTGTACATTATTTCTGTGGTACATCACAATATTAGTACAGGTCAGTCCATCTGTGTACACTGTTTCTGTGGTACATCACAATAGCAGTACAGGTGTATACATCTGTGTACACTATTTCTGTGGTACATCACAAAAGCAGTACAGGTGTACACATCTATGTACACTATTTCTGTGGTACATCACAGTAGCAGTACAGGTGTGTACATCTGTGTACACTGTTTCTGTGGTACACAATTATTGATAGTATGTATTCCTTTTTGAGATCAAGTAGTACCAGAAACTAGATATCTATGCGAAGTAAATTTCAGTTTTTACTTTTTGTGTGTGGAATGACAATTGGAAATCCTGTCATATGGTGTTCATTAAGAATTATGATGTACCCTTTATCTTTATTTATTACATGATGACATTTCTGTTTTGTTTACATAAAGGTTGTTCAAGTTGTTAGCTGACAATGTAGTCCGAAGTCTGTATACTGTTTGTGATGCAAGTTCGTGTTCATGAAAAACACAAAAAACAAATATTTAAGTGCAATTGGTAGATAAGACTGTATTAGTCCCTGTTTGTACTTGTATATCAGTGTTTTGTTATCAACAAACAATGTAATCTATTATGTAAATAATATTTATGTGTGATTACACATAGGTCAACATTTGATACATAATTTTGTCATTGTATATTATACCACGCAGTAAAAGCCATTCCTTCCAAACATTATCTCTCTGTTGTCACTGCCACAAGAAGCAAACTCACAGACTTATATGGAAAAACAGTTTATACCAGTAGTTTATGATTTATACCTTAAACACACAAATCTATAGTTAAAAAAACAGTATTTTTGCCGCTAACTCCCAAATTTACATAAACATCTACTAGTAGTACATGATTTCAGCCTAAAAAGTTATAGATCTATTTATTGTGAGAAAGAAGAAGTAAAAGAAGAATTTCTGCCCGTCACTCACAAATCAATGTATAAAATACAGAATTTCTGCCCGTCACTCACAAATCAATGTATAAAATACAGAATTTCTGCCCGTCACTCACAAATCGATATAGTATAAAAATACAGAATTTCTGCCCGTCACTCACAAATCGATATAGTATAAAAATACAGAATTCCTGCCCGTCACTCACAAATCGATATAGTATAAAAATACAGAATTCCTGCCCGTCACTCACAAATCGATATAGTATAAAAATACAGAATTCCTGCCCGTCACTCACAAATCAATATAGTATAAAAATACAGAATTCCTGCCCGTCACTCACAAATCAACATAGTATTAAAATACAGAATTTCTGCCCGTCACTCACAAATCAATGTAGTATAAAATACAGAATTTCTGCCCGTCACTCACAAATCAATGTAGTATAAAATACAGAATTTTTGCCCGTCACTCACAAATCAATGTAGTATAAAATACAGAATTCCTGCCCTTCATTCACAACTCAATGTAGTATAAAAATACAGAATTTCTGCCCATCGCTCACAAATCAATGTAGTATAAAATACAGAATTTCTGCCCGTCACTCACAAATCAACGTAGTATAAAATACAGAATTTCTGCCCGTCACTCACAAATCAATGTAGTATAAAATACAGAATTTCTGCCCGTCACTCACAAATCAACGTAGTATAAAATACAGAATTTTTGCCCGTCACTCACAAATCAACCCAGTATTAAATACAGAATTTATGTCCGTCGCTCACAAATCAATATAGTATAAAATACAGAATTTCTGCCCGTCACTCACAAATCAACATAGTATAAAATACAGAATTTCTGCCCGTTGCTCACAAATCAATGCAGTTATAAATACAGAATTTCTGCCTGTCGCTCACAAATCAATGTTGTATAAAATACAGAATTTTTGCCCGTCACTCACAAATCAATATTGTTCCAGATAATCGTTGCATCTGTAAAAAGTTTTTCAAATAGTCAGTATAGGTGTGAGCTTGTAATTCAGAGGTACAGCACAGATATGATGTAGTGTCCCAGATAGTAAAACCATCCAAAATCAGTACAGGTTTGGCTGTCTTAGGTAGTCAGTACAGGTTTAATCTTATTTTCCACATGTTTAATACAGGTTTTAACTAATGCCCAAGGGGTCGGTGTAAGTGTGACTTAAGTCCTAGTTGGTCAACTTGGGTGTGACCCTGTGTCCAGATAATCAGTTCAGATGCGACCATGTAGCCATGATAATCAGTGCAGGTGAGGCCCAGTGTCCTAGATGGTCAATACAGGTGTGACTTAGTGCCTCAGGGGGGTCAGTACAAGTGTGATTTAGAGTCCAAGATGGTCAATTTGGGTATGACCTTGTGTACCAGATAATCGGTTTAGGCGTAACATATTGTCCAAGATGATCGGTACAGGTTTGACCTAGTGACCAAGAAAGTCAGTGCAGATATAGGTGACATCTTGTCCCAGACGGTTAGTACAGGTGTGACCTAGTGTCCCAGACGGTAAGTACAGGTGTGGCCGAGTGTTCTATAAGGTCAGTACAGGTGTGACCTCTTGTCCCACACAGTGAGTACAGGTGTGGCGGAGTGTTCCATAAGGTCAGTACAGGTGTGACCTAGTGTCCCAAATTAGTACAGGTGTGACCTAGTGTCCCAGACGGTTAGTACAGGTGTGACCTAGTGTCCCAGTCAGTTAGTACAGGTGTGGCATAGTGTTCCATAAGGTCAGTACAGGTGTGACCTAGTGTCCCAGACGGTTAGTACAGGTGTGACCTAGTGTCCCAGATGGTTAGTACAGGTGTGACCTAGTGTCCCAAATTAGTACAGGTGTGGCCGAGTGTTCCATAAGGTCAGTACAGGTGTGACCTAGCGTCCCAGTCAGTTAGTACAGGTGTGGCATAGTGTTCCATAAGGTCAGTACAGGTGTGACCTCTTGTCCCAGACGGCTAGTACAGGTGTGGCAGTGTTCCATAGGGTCAGTACAGGTGTGACCTAGTGTCCCAGACAGTTAGTACAGGTGTGGCCGAGTGCTCCATAAGGTCAGTACAGGTGTGACCTAGTGTCCCAAATTAGTACAGGTGTGACCTAGTGTCCCAGACGGTTAGTACAGGTGTGACCTAGTGTCCCAGATGGTTAGTACAGGTGTGGCCGAGTGTTCCATAAGGTCAGTACAGGTGTGACCTAGTGTCCCAGAAGGTTAGTACAGGTGTGGTCTTTAGTCCTAGATGGTCAGCAATAGTGTGACCTAGTATTTCAGATGGTCAGCATAGAAGTTATGTCTAAAACGGTCAGTGCAGATGTGACCTTAGTGTATTTGATGCAATAAATACATCCTAGTCCCTGGTTGGAATGTGTATACCCTGGTACATATGTTGTGTTGATGTATATAAAAGTGTGTTACAAGGGGTTTTCTATTTTACGTGAGATTTTATGAAATAGCCCTGTCCTTTTGGGTTTTATTTTTTCATTTTTATGAGCCTTGGTGAGCAAAAATCAAAACTCGAAGACAAGTTTCATAAAATGATGTATGAAAACAAATTTGAATAACTCAGAATAAATAAAGTTTGTCAGGTTTTAAAGTCAAAATATGGCGGATAAAATCAAAAGGAGGAATCAATTTTGTTGCATCATTTTCATTTCATAATGTAACATCATTGTCCATATCATGACATAACAATCAATTTCTGACTGGTGCAGCCACTGAAAAAATGTTCCAAGGTATATTACGCTAATAACATAAGATATTAAATGGGAGAATTCACTAGATAAGAGGGAGATTGTGTGGTAAATGTGAAAATCTAAGATTTTGGTAATAAAAACAAAATAGGGTTATTATAACAAAGACTGGAATTTGACAAGATGTTTTATTTCGTTCACATGGTGAGGTAACTATTAATGTTCCTTTGAGGGCAGTTTGGCAAGGTAAATGCTCACTATCAACCTTAACAACATCAATTAATGATTTTCTGCTGGATTAATATTGTAAAAGCTCTTCAAAATGTAACATGTAATAGGCAAAGAGGATTTGTTTTTGTAGTATTAAACAGTCATTTTCTGTCATTCTATTTTCAAGGTATTATTGTATACCTGATCAACAATATCACAGGCTTTTCTTGCCAGTCTATATTTCTTATTATTTTGACCATAAGATTGCACGGCAAATGTTGAATTGACAAATTTTAAATGAGAAAAATCTGCAGCATGTGATTTTACTTCCTGCTCATCAATAGTAAAATTATAACATGGCTGGAATTACAAATTCTAGTTTTGATACCAATGGCAAAATTCAAGGTATTATATCCACAAAAAAAGGTGAGAAATTATCAATGTTAACAGTGTTGTCTGTAGTGACAATAGCCTTTGTCCAGATTGAAAAGTTACCGTATGTGTACAATTGTAAACGTAAAACATATGCACACTATGTCAAGTAGAACAATAACTTTGTAACCATAAATTTTATATTTTGATAAATGTTTGTTAAGCAGATTAAAATTCAGCTCAATCCACACAAAATGTAAGGTGCTTTTCAGACCAAGTAAGATTTTCTACAAACATTTTGTCACTCAACACTGAAACCACATGGAAACACAGATGGACAGTTACCTCCCCTTGGGTACTATAAATCTTTTCATGAAAACAATTAATTTCAATCACAGAGATTTAATATATCATGGCATCTACAACTTGCACCTACATCAAATTATATATGCAACATAGTTAAATTATATTGATTTCCTGACCATGATGAACCGGGTACTTGATTGCTAAATTTGTGTTCATCCATATATATATAATAATTGTAAATTAGGTTTCCAATTTTAAGTGACACCAGATGAAAAATATGATTTTGTAATGCTTGTATTGTGGGAATGATTATTCTGTAGATATAAATTTGAAGGGTGTCACATCATTATGTAGAATGCTTTTAATGAAATGGAGATCAGAAATCTTGGGTAGTAACATGGCAATAGTTTCCATACATTTTCTTTCACCTAAGATGAAACAACAATACACAATTTCCTTTCTCACAATCTTTAACTCTCCCTTTCACACCTATTCAGCTTTCTTTTACTCCATCTTAGATACTAACAGTAACTGTTGTTGCAATTTTGTGGTCAGACTGTTCAGAAAAGTCTGGCAGTATACATTCAAGACATATACATGTTTTATACACACAATCTAATCGTTGTTTGAATAAGAACTCTATTATCTTTTGTAAAGGATTTTGACAGGACACAATTATATAACTAGCTTTACAATCCATTACTATGATCCATGAGATAACTTTTCCAACATGCTTATTTGTTTACCATGAACACAGCTGATATTAGCAGTAACAGTAATGCTGTATATGGAAGGTGTCAGATTGGACAGGTTATACCTACAGTCTCCTAATTCATATATCTAACATGTACTCTTTTCTGTTGATGTTCTGCTAATTAATTCAAAGACTTCTGGCCAACATAACAACTGGAATATTACTACATTAACATGGGTAGATAAGTCTTGATTTTGATCATGATGGACCAGTTACAACAACTTTTTTCTTGGCTTTTGACTTTTGGAGATCTGCACTGTTGCCTCTGCTGCTCTCCTTCGCTGTGGTCGAGTCACTGGGCATGGCCATACGAGCAACATCCTCCCGCTCCACTACATGATCCTGTGTAAATATCATGGTTACAAGTATATAAACATTCTGGTTGCAATGAGAATTATACCTAATATATAGTTCCTTTTCTGTAATGGTGAGTAACTTGCTATGTATTTTGTCAATATCACATTTATATGTTTGTGATTTAATCATTCTACCAATAAGTCTCAGTTTTATCAAGTAGATTTCTTGATTATAAACCTTACCCCAATTTTTTTGAGTTTTTGTTCCAAAGTGAGGCCCTCCACCGATGTGTCGAGGGCCTTTAGACACTTCTCTGTGATGTTGTCTATAGCCATCATGATCACTCCAAATTCTGTTCGCTGTAAAAGAAAGTCTTTGTGACTAAGAATATCATTGTAACTACAAAATATGTAACTGAAAACAGTGTAACTAGTAACAATTGAAAGTAACTAGAAAGATTTGAATATCCCCTACTCCTGTGCAAGCCAGAATGTGATGTAGAACTTGATCATGATACTAAAGGATAAATATGAACCAAATCTGTTGAGAGCCTAGATAAAGCAAGGGAACACTCAATTTATTTTACAAAGAGTTCCAAATATATGAGAAAAAGAACCTCACCTTTGACCTCATATTTCCTTTGTTAGCAGCGAAGTGTTGCTCACTCTGCTTGTTGCTTTCTTCTTTATGTTCATGTTCATGTTGTAATCGAGCCAATTGACCGTTGATTGACATTTTCATGTTTGTGTGCTCCCCCTTTATTTCATCCAAGTCATGTCTTAGTTCTTTCATCTGTAAAAATGAATAACAGACTTATTTATGAAGCATTGATGAGTATGTACAAAACATAGAGAGCTCTACCATAACACTCACACTTCAGTTTCACTATGATAATCTTTACTATGGAAAATGTGTAAAAGTGGTGACCTAGAATACAACATTGAGATATGTACTGCCAAGTATCTATGGTGACATAGCAGACTCCTGCCTATCCATAGCGACCTGATCTATCTTTGAGATCTCTACTATTTTGTATCCATTGTGGCCTAGCTAGTAGACTGCAGCCTATCAGAGAGACCTGTACTACCCTGTATCTATGGTAACCAAGCAGATTCCAGCCTATCAACGTGAACTGTTCAATCCTTATTTGTTGTGACCTAACATAAAACAGCCTATCTATGAGATCTTTACTACCCTGTAACCATGGAAACCTAGCAGACTCCAGCCCCTCAAAGGAAGTTTTACAGGTGAGAACATATTTCCATAGTGACCTACCTCATCACCAGCTGACTCCAGCTTATCTATGAGAGCTTTACTGGACTCGCTCAATGTCCGATGCCTCATCATAAGACCTTTCACCTTGTCATCGGTGGTAGGAATATAATCTACAAACAAATCAATGATAAGTAACTCATCACATCATATCATTAATACCTGAGTGTATATATATATATAGATTTAGAGGCTTTAGCTGAAGATAACTTACAATTCCAAGTATAATTGTGAAGTTGGTAAATTTTAAGATTTGACTCTCTGTAAACTAAAGTGTATACTTACCTTCAGGCATTATGTCTATCACCCTCATCAGGAAATCTGAAAACTTCTTGTATCTAATCACAGATCTTTCTAAATGTTTTTGCCTGAAACCAGAATAATGCTTCACATCAAAACACAATCATCATTAATATATAAACTATACTTGTTGGTGGTATGTTTTTTGTTTATTTTTTCATACGCTACTTCCTGCTCCTTTCACAAAATCACAATGAGTGATAATGATGAATTTCACCTTGTCACTGGTCGTAGATTTTTTATAAATCGTGACCTTTCTTCCACTTAAGAAACTTCCTTCCTCTTTAACTCTTTGTCTCCTCTTTAGATCCTCCTCTATTGATCAAATCCCTACCTCCTCTTGAAACCACTGTTTCCTTTTCAGATCTTACTTCCTCTTTACTTTAAAACAATACATCCTCTTTAGTTATTTACCTCCCCTATAGATCCTTACCTTCTCTTTAGACCTTTACCTCCATTAAATATCCTTGCCTCCTCTTTTAACCTCCACTAAAGATCTTTCCCTCTTATTTAGTTATCTCCTATGTGACCCTTACTTCCTGTTTAGTTCTTCACCTCCTCATGTCCTTAATTCTGTAGATCCTGACCTCTTTAGTTCTTTACCTCCCCTATAGATCCTCACCTCCTCATGTCCTTAATTCTATAGATCCTGACCTCTTTAGTTCTTTACCTCCCCTATAGATCCTCACCTCCTCATGTCCTTAATTCTATAGATCCTGACCTCTTTAGGTCTTTACCTCCCCTTTAGATCCTTACCTTCTCTTTAGATCTTCCATTTGTTGTAGTAACATTTCTAGCTCCTTCGTTTTCTGTTCCTTGAGTTTAAGTTCTGTCTGGTACTTCTGTATAGCTCGCCTCCTCTTGGCATCATAGTCTTTGATGTATTTTTCACAATTAGTAAATTCATCTTTCATCTGAAATGAATACAACAAAATTGATTGTACAAAGTATAGCAGAGCAACTCATTACCAAAGGATTTGGTAGTAGAAATTGTAAGAACTCAAATTCTGATTACACATAATGTAATACAATATGATCAGGTTAGTAGGTATTGACTCCTACTCATCTAGATATCTTGTTTGTTAAACACCCTGCATGCATACCTTCAAGCAAGCAAACGAGGCGTCATCTCTGAAGATGACACATCTTGTCTCTACCCTTGCCTCGCCCACCTCCATGTATACATGCATATATAAATGAAGTCTACCAATCCTTATATTTATGAAAAGTAATTAGAGATACATACGACATCTAATGCATGCTAGCAATATGTAGTTACCCAAATGTGAATTTTAAAAATCTGAAATGGTCCTTCATATTTGTGTACATTTGCAATTGAACTTGGTTCACAAATTTGTTGCATTTCCATGATACGGTTTTTAAAAACCTTTATCTCATCATTAGATCATGGGCTATTTTAGTTACAAAATTCGGCTTGAGTTAGATACATTGGAAAAACATACTGAGAAGTTATTATGAACTGCATTTTATTTGAAAACCTGTGTATAGTTACCAAGGTAACCAAACTTTTTTTAAAAAGATTGTATTCACATCTAGATATTATCCTGTTTGTTCCTGTATTGTTTCATAGAAATCAGTGTGCATATTTAGGAGGCGTTGTCAAAAGAAAGAAATAATGCGCTTTGTTCATAGGATGAAAAATTAACAAGCCAAATATTTTTATTAATGGTTTTAAACTAAGCAATCCAATTCTAGTAGACTGAACAAAATCAGAAATGTGGATATTTCATTTGAAACCTCAAACATCCAGAAATCTTAAATAGATAGTAGTGTCTTTCTACTAAAAATATGTGTATAATATACGTGCAGACCTTCTGAAATATGTAATGAAGAAGTTCTTTCAAATGAACACTACATTCAAAAGCTTTTGTAATTCAGTAGGACATCAATATAGTAAACTAAACCTGCAGTAAATTCTATACAAACACCTGGTAGTACACAACCACTAACTGCTGTCAAATGTACAAAAGTACAACTTCTACCAAATATTATCTAGACATTCAATTAACTATTTGTTCTCTGTCAGTATAGTTTGGGACTGTGCCAGAGTGTTTTAACACATTAAATGTTGATTGTGAGGGTGACAGTCACATAATACCTTACAAACAATAGCTATAGAAGTAAGGTGGAGAGCACCACCTGGTATTCTGTTCTTCAAGGTATTAATTCAATTACCTTACAAGGAAATTAAAAATTAAAGACATATTACTTCAATATTAACTGAGTTGAAGTAATGTTAATTTAAGAGATACCTATATTTATAGGACCTTTATTTGCAAAAATACCCTTAGAAAAAATATAGAAAACGACCTTATTAGACAATTAACAGATAAAGACAACATACCCATATTTTGTAAGCTGGTTTAATAATGTAGATATAGAAAACCTACACTTTTCTGGTGGTACAAGATTTCCTTGTCACATTTTAGAGTTGATAATCAAAGGATGTCATTTCAAAAATCCATGTTTATAATAGATCAGGTGATGCAGTGATAATACACTTGCCCCTCATCTAGGAGTCCTGGGTTCGATTACCTGATTGAAATTGACAAGGTATACAATCTCCTTCCTCATGGATTTTTCTCCACCTACTCCAGTTTCCCCTCCCCACATCAATCACTCAATCCTTAACAGGCAAACCCTGCTGCTTCCAATTCAGAAACTTTGTTTAAACCACTAACTTTAAAATGCACCAATACAATTTATTTTAGTTGAAAATGCTGAAATTATGTTGACTGAAATTCTAAAACATATCAATTCAACATTATTCCAACAGACCTGCCTGATATAAGTACAAGTATCATCAACTACTCATTTTGATAATCATTTAAGCACCTGTCCCTGGAGACATAGAAACAACCAAATTTAATAAATCTTCAGATGATGCTTTACAGTACACCAATTTCAACTTTATCAAAATTGTTCGTTGTACATTAACAAGAAAAATCATCATACTACCTTATTTGTAACATTAGTGTCATATTTTATTGTAGCATAACTAAAAAGTAGAGCAAAAACCATAATTAATTTATCATTATGTTGGATTGGTGAGATAAAAATTTTCCTGACATGTAAACAACAAGATTTTCATTTAGCACCTTTTAGGAGCAGGAGCTGAAATGTTCAATATTGCTGCTTATTCTCATATCCAATCCATGCATCAGGAGAATAGTATCTCACTGCTGTACCAAATTAATGAACTACACCACATACTTCAGCACTAAGAAAGATAACTGCCAAACCAAAAATCAGCATGGCTCTATATATGTGTCCCTATATCTATGTATTGTCAAATGTCAACGAACCTGTTGCTGCCTCTTCTGGATGTCAATCTGACGCTGTGCACACTGCTCCATTTTACGTTTGAACTCTTGTCGTTTTTTGTACAGCTCAATGTCAACTGCTTCCACCTCCACCTGTTTCTTGAGCAATAACGTTTTCTGAAGTGTGTTGATCCCCGTTTCAATGAGCTTGTCACCAGACTCCTTGACAACGGGGAACGCTGTGATTTCGTCCTCATCGTCTCTGTAATATCAATGAAATCCAGTTACATTTGTTTCTCTTGAATCTTTTTCTCTCTTTTTTTCTGTTAAAACAAGCAACTGGTCTTATCTGTTTGGATTAAATATTTTCTTAACTTCATTTAGGAAAGGGAAATATGATAATAAGACACCTAACATGAGCTTGTAATATCTAGATCTAAGTCCCTGGTAATTCTGAAAAATTACTCAACCACACAAAACGGTTCTTTAATTGAATAACTAAAGTTTGCAATCACAGTTGTGCTGCATTTCATTTTCTAGCTAATATCAAAAGTCTTATCTTACTTTTCTGTGTATATATTAATACATATCCAGCATTATAGAATGATAACAGAACATGTATAATCCAACTCATGAAATATATCAATATATCAATTCAAAACAAGAAACACAAGTCGATAACTGAGTTCTAACAATTAAAAAGTTACAAGCATATTAGTCACAGTAATATTCATCATGCTGGTTTTATTAATGAAACTGATTACAAAGACAATCACCTGGAGACAAATGTTATCAAATGACAGTTAATCAATGCCTGTTCAGCATCATGGCAGTTAAAATACCATATTTGGTGTATATATAAAATACCATGCAATACGTTCTATGAGCTAGCACAGTAAAATACAGTAAAGTATATATTTCAAGACATATGTTAATGTGTACCAATAAAAAAGATTGAGTGCACTTTAATACATCTGCTATTGAGAAAACAGTGTATTATTCTTTATTTTCCTAATGATTTTGACAAATTAATACAAATTATCCACTAAACTTTATTTTTCTGGGATTTTCAATTTGTATGGTTATAGACATACATGTCTGTCCTGTTATTTACTCATTGTCCTGTGTATCAAATGTCATCAAAAATATTTGCTTCAATTCCTCCACTAGGGATCGAACCCAGAGCCTCTGGTTAATTTGTCACCCAGTCAATTAAAGAGATCTCTCTAGCAGAGCTGTATACCGTTGTTAGTGTTTATCGGATGGTTACAATTTAATACCACTGAATCAGCAACTAAACCATTTTTTCGTGTTTTGATATGTCATCTGTGTGATTAATGAGGAATTTATTGATACATGTATGTATCCATTACTTCTATGTAATTTAACAAACGTGTATCACCTTAATCTATTCTCTCTGTATCAGTAATGTCAAGGGAACATCTAAGCCTTCCCGTGCGTGACGAGTAACTTTAACATGATGGCCTGTAATAGACTCCATCTATAATTCACGCACTTGTTATCACTAGTGGAATCACGACATTACACATGGAATGGATCTTACCTTTCGTTGAGTTGCGTGACGAACACATTGCGTTTCTGGTTGTCAAGGTCCAGGTTGTATCCCCCAGTGTCAGCCATTTTGACAAATAATATCCTTTGCTGATTTTACAAACTCGCTATATGCTTTCAATCGTTCACAGCCACACTGTCCGCCATTACTAAACAACTTTATGCAAATGAGGGTACCTAGGAGATGATCACGTGGCCATGTTGACAATCGTGTCCGCATACACTGTGGACTGACAATTTTGCTATAGCTGACGTTAAAAGTAGGGGATTGGAAAGTGGGGGAACTTGGGCATGCATGCATTTTATATAGGTAAAAAATATTTCACTGCCGCGTCATCATGAACGGTGGGCACCAGACTGTGCGTCAAAATAATTTGACCTCGGACGACAGGAAAATCACTGATACCACTTTAAGATATTGCTCTCTCTCTCTCTTTAAATAAATAGGCCTACATGTTCTAGGTAGAGATACCTCAATCACACATGTTTGTCTAGTCTGTTGAATGTTTAGATACATATGTGTACCTAGTTCTTCACGATAGATTTCTTGTTCTATAAAATGTTTAATTTGAACAGCTTCACTGTTCTGTATTCGATTTTAATTAAGTATTCATTACATACATCAGAGACGTATCTGGATGGAACAAACCAAAGGGCACTACGATATTATATATATTACTGATAAATATTGTTTCGATATCATATAAGGAGGCTTTCAGGTTGGCTACACCTCATCAAGTACCACAATTCCCCGACAGGAATCGAACCTAGATCTGTACCTGATGCTATTTAACACAACAATCTATACAATTACATTATTCTGTTCTTCCCCAGACTTAGATCTATAGTAATGTCCGTGGTTCTACCTTCTAATACTCCAAATCATATCTTTTCGAGGGGTCCAAATTTTATCACTGGCTTTTACAACAAAAATTACTGATTCGTGGACAATTGATTCCGTGGATAAATATCGCTCTCTTAAGATCCTTCTATTTGTATAAGATCGTGGACGTGTCCGAATTCGTAGATTAAGAATACTTACGAATTCAACGAACATAAATAATCCACGAAAATTGCACCACAGTACAACAGTATCTAATCCAATGGGGTTTACATTTGAAAAAAATGAGTATTCACGCGAGTGATGGAAATTCCAATACCATTTTATTCATTTTTTTACTTGGATATTGGTGCAAATCCTGGAAAGATAGCTGAAGGTCTCATCTGACCAAAGTCGCTCGAACTCGTGATTTCCAATTGTTCTTTGCTTTTGCAGGCTATAGTCGTATATGTGCTAAGGAGGAGATGAAGAGGAAGTTTCGTTTGCCGCTGTAGATTAGTGAAGAACTAGTGTACAAACAAACCAGTCGTTGCCAACAAGGAAAGGAAAAGGAAATCAGATATCAAACGATCTTAACGCTGGAGAGAGAAAAGAAAAAAACGAAATCGCCATTTAACGCCAGTTCAGTTTATCCTTCAAAGTTTATTACAAATACCGTACATTGGCAATATTTTCACCAGAATAGGAGAGGGATTATAAGGAAGCCAGTGATTTGACGGGAAAGCATCAAAGCCAATCGCCGAAATTGATCCTGGCAATATTTATGTTCTGTTAATTTCAGCAATGGATGTATAACTTTATCCCAAACTATATTAGATAAAATTACCAATATAAAACGGATGATACAGTAACCGCGTCGTCCATGGAAACACTATGAATAGAAATTGTCATCGAAACACGTCCCCCGATGTTTGATGTTTTCCTCCTGAAAAGTCACGTCCTTATTGAATAACATAACCAGCGCACTGCAATTTTATTGTCCAAGCATCACTTCTCTGACATCGTTGTCGTTTGATGTCGATACACGTCCAATGTTACTTACTGGGACTCTTGGTAAAGAAAGCATATTACGAACTGGTCCCACTTGGCGGGAGAAGAGACGACAACATTCACGGCGGAAGTTTCTATTAAAGATGCTATATATTATAGGATTGGTAGCGTTATTTAGGCAGAAAGACTTCGACGCCACTTCTATCAGCTGTTGTACATGGATGTTCTGCTTCCGGAAGTCCATTTCGCTATATTTGAGGATAATCTCAATGACAAGATACGGAATATAGCTGAACATAAAACTGACCGTCACTGCTATGAATATAATGGCAGTTTTTGAGATTTGGAACCGTCTTTTGATATCTAAATCTTTTATCTGTTCGATATTCGCTTGTGGAACTTGTTCGGTCGGCGTCATACATTCATTTGCAATATTTAACGTATTTCTGCTTTTCCTTTTCAATTCATTATCATCCATGCTATCTAAGCATTTTGAATATTTGGTTTCCGATAAGTGCTCGTTTTCAACGTGTTGTGAGAACCGCTCCGAACACTTTAATACAAATACATCACGAGTATTTTGGTTAGCTTTGGACTGAAGGTCGTAAGACCTTACGTTCTTCTTTGCAAACTTAACTTTCATGGCCTCCCCGATGTTATTTCTAGATCGATTATAGACGACACGGATAATGCGTGTATAGACGAACACTAGAAAGAAGAAACTCCCAATGACGATAACAGCATAAAAACCATAATATAATTTAATAAGTAACTGATTGCGTGAATCGTCGATGGAACAGGTTGTTGTCACGATCCCTGGTATGGCCATTTCGATCGTCTTGGTACCGTATAGGAAGGAGGTCGGCCACGAGATGAAGAGTGCAAGAATGAATGTGCAGAAGATGTTTTTGTGTGGAGAACGAACAGCAAAGGTCTTCAAAGGATGACAGATTTTATAGTACCGATCTCGGGATATACATAACAACAGGAGACACTGCGACACGTATGCCACCGTGGTTACCGTACTGAAGAACTTACACGAGATGATATCTTCGTACAAAAGGGGAAAACGGATCTCAAATATCTCGAACGGAATACAAACCGTACAACACACTAAGTCAAACACAGACAACCAGTATATGTAAACACTGGCACACGTCTTCTTGAATCGGTATCCGTACACATAGAACACAAATCCATTGCCCACCAGCCCGAGAATCATCATGGAACTGGCAAAGAATATCGCTGGTATGTAGATTTCTACCTCTTTTTCATTGGCAAGCCACAGTAACGTACTGGTGGCGATTCTTGTGGTGTCATTTGTCATCATGAAGCATTACAGTCTGAGACAGGGTCTGCAGGTATTCAGAGACTTTTACGGTAGCCGTACTTTCAAATTAAGAAGCGATCTGAAAGAACATGCAAGTTTCTTTGTATAACATGGTGATAAAAACCAGGACGTTCACGTACCAGTTTCACGATCATATTTGAAGAATTCGAAATGTCACACATTTTCCAAGGTTAAAAAGATTTATTGGAAATTAGTGATAATTTCCTGTAGACAATAACACCATTGGTAAACTAACCAACATTTTTTATATATCCATGAAGTCACTTGAAGTTTGACAAGTCTTCATATCTCCGGTGGTTTTAGTTTTTGAAGATGTTAATTGTTTATATTATTTCAACAGATCCTTTCAATATTGCTGATTTTGATACTATATTCGCAGACCTTTTCAATACTGAAAATCATTGGCACTTTTTCACAGACCTCTTCAATACCGATAGTTGTTTTAACAGCATTTTCACAAGCCTTTTTTCTCTGGTGATACCGATTAACTGTTGGCCAGTTGTGATGGATGGAATGCCGTTCATGTACTGTAGTTTCTGTAAACACAGTGTACATTTTCTGTCGATATGACTTTGTTTTAGTTAATGGGTTTAATCACTAATGATACCGACAGATAAACGATGATTGTTTGCAGTGATGTTATCCTTCTGAAAAGTCACGTCCTTATTGAATAACGTAACCAGCGCACTGCAATTTTATTGTCCAAGCTTCACTTCTCTGACATCACTGTCGTTTGATGTCGATACACGTCCAATGTTACTTACTGGGACTCTTGGTAAAGAAAGCATATTACGAACTGGTCCCACTTGGCGGGAGAAGAGACGACAACATTCACGGCGGAAGTTTCTATTAAAGATGCTATATATTATAGGATTGGTAGCGTTGTTTAGGCAGAAAGACTTCGACGCCACTTCTATCAGCTGTTGTACATGGATGTTCTGCTTCCGGAAGTCCATTTCGCTATATTTGAGGATAATCTCAATGACAAGATACGGAATATAGCTGAACATAAAACTGACCGTCACTGCTATGAATATAATGGCAGTTTTTGAGATTTGAAACCGTCTTTTGATATCTAATTCTTTTATCTGTTCGATATTCGCTTGTGGAACTTGTTCGGTCGGCGTCATAAAATCATTTGAAATATTTAACGTATTTCTGCTTTTCCTTTTTAATTCATTATCATCTAAGCATTTTGAATATTTGGTTTCCGATAAGTGCTCGTTTTCAACGTGTTGTGAGAACCGCTCCGAACACTTTAATACAAATACATCACGAGTATTTTGGTTAGCTTTGGACTGAAGGTCGTAAGACCTTACGTTCTTCTTTGCAAACTTAACTTTCATGGCCTCCCCGATGTTATTTCTAGATCGATTATAGACGACACGGATAATGCGTGTATAGACGAACACTAGAAAGAAGAAACTCCCAATGACGATAACAGCATAAAAACCATAATATAATTTAATAAGTAACTGATTGCGTGAGTCGTCGATGGAACAGGTTGTTGTCACGATCCCTGGTATGGCCATTTCGATCGTCTTGGTACCGTAGAGGAAGGAGGTCGGCCACGAGATAAAGAGTGCAAGAATGAATGTGTAGAAGATGTTTTTGTGTGGAGAACGAACAGCAAAGGTCTTCAAAGGATGACAGATTTTATAGTACCGATCTCGGGATATACATAACAACAGGAGACACTGCGACACGTATGCCACCGTGGCTACCGTACTGAAGAACTTGCACGAGATGATATCTTCGTACAAAAAGGGAAAACGGATCTCAAATATCTCGAACGGAATGCAAACCGTACAACACACTAGGTCAAACACAGACAACCAGTATATGTAAACACTGGCACACGTCTTCTTGAATCGGTATCCGTACACATAGAACACAAATCCATTGCCCACCAGCCCGAGAATCATCATGGAACTGGCAAAGAATATCGCTGGTATGTAGATTTCTACCTCTTTTTCATTGGCAAACCACAGTAATGTACTGGCGGCGATTCTTGTGGTGTCATTTGCCATCATGACAGCCTGAGACAGAGTCTGCAGGTATTCAAAGACTTTTACGGTAGACCTGCTTTCAAATTAAGAAGCGATCTGAAAGAACATGCAATTTTTTTTTATAACATGGTGATAAAAACAAAGACGTTCAAGTACCAGATTCACGATCATATTTGAAGAATATGAAATGTCACACATTTCCAAAGGTTAAAAAGATTTATTGGAAATTAGTAATAATTTCCTGTAGACAATAACACATTGGTAAACTTACCAACATTTTTTATATATCCATGCAGTCACTGGAAGTTTGACAAGTCTTCATATCTCCAGTGGTTTTAGTTTTTGAAGTTAATTGTTTATACTATTTCAACAGATCCTTTCAATATTGCTAATTTTGATACTATATTCGCAGACCTTTTCAATACTGAAAATCATTGGCACTTTTTCACAGACCTCTTCAATATCGATAGTTGTTTTAACAGCATTTTCACAAGCCTTTTGTCTGGTGATACCGATTAACTGTTGGCCAGTTGTGCTGGATGGAATGCCGTTCATGTACTGTAGTTTCTGTAAACGCAGTGTACATTTTCTGTCTATATGACTTTGTATTGATTTAATCACTAATGATATTGATAGATAAACGATGATTGTTTGCAGTGATGGTCATTATTAACGGAGCGGAACACGGACATATATTAGTTTACAAGTTTACTCAGAGAAGGCAAATACTATTTTGAACAACGTTCGATTGTTATTACTTTTTTCTGGGTAACTCAAAGTTTGATAAATCGGGGAATGCACACAAGATATAAACCCGATCTTGTCATTATCAGTCATTTTCCCATGAAAATAAGCAATTTGGAAAAAGACCATTTCGTCCGGAGAGTCGTTAAAACAGACTGCAGTTGAAGCATATGAATTAACATGTTAAGTGATGCACTGAAATATATCTTATGTAGTACACTTAAATACATGTCTTGTGGTACACTTAAATACATGTTTTGTGGTACACTTAAATACATGTTTTGTGATACACTTAAATACATGTTATGTGGTACACTTAAATACATGTTTTGTGGTACACTTAAACATGTTATATGGTACAATTAAAGAGATGTTGTATGGTACACTTAAATATATGTTTTGTGATACACTTAAATATGTTTTGTGATACACTTAAATACATGTTATAGTGTGATACACTTAAATACATTTTTGTGGTACACTTTAACACGTGTTATGTAATAAACATACACTTGTGTTTGTTTTATCGTATCGGACAATAGATTGAATACCATATCAATAACAAGTTTTCAATACTGAAATTATAGATTTTACCATAAACATCACGAAATGTCACATATCGATCAATATTATAAGAACAAATACATTACAGACATGTTAGTTATAACACGTTTATTTTCCAAAAACAGTGACAAGGGAATGGAGTTTCCTATTCTCTTGTTTTTCACCAAGATGATCAGAAAAGAGTCTGGGGCTGGTGCAGTGGTAAATCCGCCTCTTCTCTTGGAGTGGCCAGTCAACGTACCTTAATCTGAAGATGTTGTGTATGGTTCCGCCTACTGCTTGTGGGTTGAGATTTGAAGGGTGCCTGACCCACTGTGGTTCATGGATGCTTGTTTTCATCAACATTTCTTCAATCTCTATTTCCTCAATTGGTCAGGTTTTAGTAAAGTTATCAGGTAAGACTGCTGTATACCCGCCGGGTAAGGCCAACGCGTTTGCATGCACCGGCCTCTGCCTTTTGAAGGATAATTTCGCTTCAACCCCATAAATGAAGACGTCATCTAACAGATATTTTTCCAAAAAAGGTAAATCTTCGAATCAGAGAAAAAAATGAAATTTTCACATGAAGATGTCTAAATTATATAAATTCATAATTAAATAGAATTTTAAGAGGAACATATAATATGCATATCTGGTGCCTCCTCCCCTCACTTTATACGAAAGTGTCTCTCTCAATTGAATGCTAGCTAAAATGGCGTCCATGGACACATCGAGATCCACATCATCAAATGATTATTCTTTAACCATGGATGACTTCAAGTCGCAGCCACTTGGATCTAGTGATTATAAATCAAACGAACCTGCAGTTTATAATCCATCAAGCGACGAGTTTCAATTTGTACAACAATCACCAAATTTTGGTAAACCTATGACACTGACTTTTCTCTCTCACTCTCTTTCGCAGTTTCGGCTTGCAGTCAGTTGACATTCACAGGATTTTGAGTAACGTATAACATTAGTTAATAACCACAACACTAGAAATCCAGTATTTGTATCTTATGAAGTTTATAAAACATTTGGGCATCGATATATAAATATATGCATGCCCCAATTTGTATAAGGTTTCAGATGGTGTGTATTTGTACCCTTAGACGTTTCGTTTAGACATCGGTTTCTGTCCGCTAGATATATCGGTGTTGCCATGTTGTTGCACATTATTACGTGAAATGTTGACCTACGTAACCTACAACCCGAGTGATTTTGGTCACTGTAACATGTGACGCTTCAGAAGAGAGACAAAAACTGGGATTAAATCCATTTATCATCAAATATTATGAGTATTCGTTTCAGTGGCAAATTTGTGTATTTTTCTTTATACATATTTTTACATGTCAAACATCCTCCTAGATATGATAAAATAGCTAATCAATCTGTTCCCATAAATCAGTATTTTGTTGTCTGTTTGTAATCAAAATCGACTATGAATAATAGGCTATGCCTCCTTGCATTTTTCTTTGCCACGGAAGTCCAAACATGCACATATGATATTGGAAAATCAGGATTTTGAAATTATCACTTTTAATGACTGCTTTCTGCTTTAAAGTTACAAGTGAGTTGTAGTATGGCACGTGAAAAGTTTGTGGTAAGGAAAAAAATAAGTAAGAAACATGGCTTAATATGATTTTATTTAAATTTTTTCCAGTGAAATGTCATTCTCATTCTGTTGATTTTATGTAAAATTTGTGCACTTCTGGGTAACTGATAGACTAACTCAAGCATCTCTGTGATTCAGGGATTTCATCAGAAGCAATAGCGTAGACACATTTCCGATACACATGTGTCATTTGAGGTGGTATTTGTGGATATCTTTCAGAAAAAAATACTGGTATTTCTCTGATTACTTTATTGAATAAATTTCTTAGTATGAACACATTTCAATACATTTGTGTATTTGTTTGTTTGCAAATCATTAACATAGTATTGATATGGAGATACAATGTATAAGGGGCCTGAAACCAATTCGCCAAGGATGTATGAAGTATCAGTCTGCCTGATTGCATCGGCATTGTCACATGAGTTTTTCACTGTTTTGAACCTCAAACATTTTTGGAGTAAGTTTGTAAAAATACTGGATTTATACTATTGTGATTATTAACAGGTTTCATAAATTACCCACATTCCCAAAAGTGAATTCTTGCACTGGTAGTAATAGGCACTGAAAGACCACAGTCTCAACGACCTGTTTAAAATCAGGATATATATATTGGATGATTGATTTTCATACTGGTTATTAATACATTTCAGTTCCAGTGAAATCTAGCAGAAGCCATAACAGCATAAGGCATGCAGCTGCTCAGTAACATTGCTCCAAATTTTCTCTAGTCCCGTCATGAACACAATTTGACATTCTTTAGAGATGTTCACAGGTGCTTGTGTGGTATGACCATGCATCTTTCTGCCTAAATGCGTATGACCAATGTCTAATATTAGGGTCATTATGGGAAGGAAAGATGCATGAAGTCTTTTCCACTGAAAGCCTATAATAGCAGACGTAAAACCTGTTAATTAAATGAATAGATACAATGTGGAAAGGATTCAATAGGTTGGGAATAAGACACATACATGAATTTATCATGAGAGGTTCAACAGTTTTCTTAATGATACAACTTGGTGTTGGAGCCAGAGGATTCTTGGGGAAGGGTGAGGGTACAGTTTGGGATTTAATGGATGACCAATATCCTTATTCTGAGGGTCCCAAAGTTTAGAAAAAAAATCTTTAAAATGTAAATCGAAAAATGTATGGGAATATCTTATATTTTCTGTCAGATGTTTCAAGTACTCAGCATTATCTTGAAAGGTTACAGACTTATTTGTAAAGTTGAGAATACAGACTAATGGGAATTTCCCTTTATTCAGGCAGTAGAGTGTCTGTCTAGAGACTGAAGGGTGGCTAGTTCGAACCTTAGCAGTGGTAGGGCATTTTCATTAGTCCTCTTATTACATATTTATCAATGACAGGTGAGTGATTAAAACACATCTTCTTTGTTGAAATAGAAATACATGTGCACAAGATATTTCAATACTTACCCATTTACTGCTTAAAAAATACTGCTGTTGTTACTGATTGTAGGGGGTAACAAAATTGAGGGCACAATGGATATGGCTGCTGAATTGACACCATCAGATTCTGCTGCATATGGAGTGAGGCCTCGAGGTGCAGCATCTCAGTTTCTAGATAAAAAAGGGTTCTCCTGGCTGTTGGAGGAGGAAGATTTGGATGAGGAAGATAAACAACCATTGTTGTAAGTTGAACAGCTATTATTAGTTAATGTTGCCATGAAATTTGGGAAGTATGTCTGTTTATGTTGTGAATACAGTGGACTCACAACCCAGACAGAAATGTTGGGGTATGGATTTCTGTAATGTTAATTGTGCTTACTAGTGCAGAAAATCTAAATTTTGGTTCCATAAATACCTTTTTGGAATGGAATGGAATTTTCATATTAATATTTCAGCAATAGTCATGACATTTTTTGTAAGACCAGTATTGGGTAATTGGAGAGCTTTACCCAACTCCAGTTTGAATTGCACGAAACAAAGAAGAAAAGAATAAAATCTGCATGCAGAAATTCAATTTTAATTCAGATTCTTTAATTCTGCAAGCAGATTAGTTGGTTTGCATATTTAATGTTTGCCTTCACTGATATTTATCAGTGTTCAGCAATGACCAAATGGATTAACCTTTTCCAGCCACCTCTGGTGAATCTGAGGCCCTATCCTTTTGACATGTTGTCAAGGGTGGGGCTAAAGTTTCTTGAACAGACTGGAACACAGTATAATGTTAGGGGTCTCTGAGGTTCTATCAAGACAGTCTACATCTGTTTGAGACCGCCTCTGGAATGTCTGCACACAGGACTTCAGTTGTATTTCAGGAGTCATGAGTCTCTACTTAGCAAAGCAAATAACAAGTTCCAAATTTTCCATGAGGTTGCCAATATGGGCATTTGTGTTGCTCTGACACAGCTTGTTTTAAGCAAAAACAGATAAAACATATATGTAACAGTTACATGAATGAAATGGCAGTTGTAATGAGGTTAAGAGTAAAAAAAACAAAATAATAGAGGTGTGATTGTTATGTTGTGTGTATTGTATGCAAAAGGTCTTCAGTTTTCTTTTTTCTTCCTTTTTGTAGAGAGGCACTTGATATAGATCTGAAAGACATTTACTATAAACTCCGTTGTGTGCTGTTTCCTCTGCCTCAGCTTGGCTTCAACAGACATGTAGTGAGAGAAAGTCCAGACTTTTGGGGACCTCTGGTGGTCATCCTCCTGTACTCACTAGTATCACTGTATGGACAATTCCGGGTAAGGTCTGAGTCATTTCAGCTTACCATCTAATTAAAGAAAAATGCATATGGGTTAATCTAGAATTGGTGGGATACATGTACTACTCGTTGTGGAAAAAAGGGAATTTTCGGCCTACTGTGAGAACTAAAGAAATTTTGGACAACTTGTTTGGTTAGAATTCAAAATAGGGATAGGCTTAAAATAATTGACAGGCATGACGGTTACATGAAGGAAATATGACAATTTTGAGGTTAAAATGATATTTCTTGTTCAAAATTGAACATCATTCAAAACAAATATTAATCCATTTTTGGTTGAAGTTACAAACAAATATCTGCAATAAGTACTCCTTACAGGTAATAAAATGTATATATTTGATTAGATTATTATTTTATGGGTGGTTGATGCACTGACTGGTATGTTATTGATAGTTTATGTAAATGACCGGTAATTATTGGATGGTTTATGTAAATGACCGGTAATTATTGGGTGGTTTATGTAAATGACCGGTAATTATTGAGTGGTTTATGTAAATGACTGGTAATTATTGGGTGGTTTATGTAAATGACTGGTAATTATTGGGTGGTTTATGTAAATGACTGGTAATTATTGGGTGGTTTATGTAAATGACTGGTAATTATTGGGTGGTTTATGTAAATGACTGGTAATTATTGGGTGGTTTATGTAAATGACTGGTAATTATTGGGTGGTTTATGTAAATGACCAGTAATTATTGGGTGGTTTATGTAAATGACTTGTAATTATTGGGTGGTTTATGTTAATGACTGGTAATTATTGGGTGTTTATGTAAATGACTGGTAATTATTGGGTGGTTGATGTAAATTAGTAATTATTGGGTGGTTTATGTAAATGACTGGTAATTATTGGGTGGTTTATGTAAATGACTGGTAATTATTGGGTGGTTTATGTAAATGACCGGTAATTATTGGGTGGTTTATGTAAATGACCGGTAATAATTGGGTGGTTTATGTAAATGACTGGTAATTATTGGATGGTTTATGTAAATGACTGGTAATTATTGGGTGGTTGATGTAAATGACCGGTAATTATTGGGTGGTTTATGTAAATGACTGGTAATTATTGGGTGGTTTATGTAAATGACCAGTAATTATTGGGTGGTTTATGTAAATGACTGGTAATTATTGGGTGGTTTATGTAAATGACTGGTAATTATTGGGTGTTTATGTAAATGACTGGTAATTATTGGGTGTTTATGTAAATGACTGGTAATTATTGGGTGGTTTATGTAAATGACCGGTAATTATTGGGTGGTTATGTAAATGACTGGTAATTATTGGGTGGTTTATGTAAATGACCGGTAATAATTGGGTGGTTTATGTAAATGACTGGTAATTATTGGATGGTTTATGTAAATGACTGGTAATTATTGGGTGGTTTATGTAATGTAAATGACTGGTAATTATTGGGTGGTTTATGTAAATGACCAGTAATTATTGGGTGGTTTATGTAAATGACAGGTAATTATTGGGTGGTTTATGTAAATGACCAGTAATTATTGGGTGGTTTATGTAAATGACCAGTAATTATTGGGTGGTTTATGTGATTGACTGGTATGTTATTGGGTGGTTTATGTAAATGACCAGTAATTATTGGGTGGTTTATGTAAATGACCAGTAATTATTGGGTGGTTTATGTGATTGACTGGTATGTTATTGGGTGGTTTATGTAAATGACCTGTAATTATCGGGTGAGTTATGTGACTTGTGATAGGTAACGGGTTGTTTATATAACTGACCAGTGTTTTATCGGTAGTTTATATAAATGACCAGTATTTTGTGGATGGTTTATGTGATTTGTTTATGTGAATTACTGATTGATAGTTGGTAACTTATAAAATTGACTAGTATTTTATGTAATTAACTGGTATTTCATTGGTAGTTTATGTAATTAAGTGGTATTTTATTGGTAGTTTATGTAATTAACTGGTATTCTCTGTTACTACTGTAGGTGGTATCTTGGATCATCACCATTTGGATATTTGGCTCCCTCATTATATTTCTGTTAGCCAGGATGCTTGGAGGTGAAGTAAGTACTTATATCCTGATCTGGTACAATTGAAGAGGTGGTTGTCAGTGAATTGTTAGCTTTGATGATGTGATGCTATGGCTGTCAATTTTTAACACTTAATGAAACATTGATAAGAATAAATTGAAATGTGTAAAAAACTTAATTGATTGTAGGAAACAGAACAGCTGGTATATGTTGTGTTAACTCCCTGCTTCTGATTTATAGCTTCTATTATCGGAATGGACACTCTGTATAACTTTGTAGTATTCTTTTACCAGTAAAGAACCACTCAATAATGGCACCAATGTTAACTCAACCTTTTTTAAACCAAAAGGTAATGTCAGAAAAATTTGGAACCTATGTTTTACTGAACAGTATTGTGTGTTTACAGGTAAGCTACTCACAGTGTCTGGGTGTGATTGGCTACTCCGTCCTTCCATTGGTTATCACAGCTTCTGTCCTTCCCCTGTTTAGATCTCTGCACTATCTCGGCTTGCTAATAAAGGTATGTGTTAATGTAGGATGAACAAAAATATTTTGATAGATATTTTCTTACATATCATGAAATATTTGATTAAATTTGGTTGGTATAATATATTTGTAATATTTCGATATCCACATTCTGTCACCTTCATCAGACAATGGACGAGTGAATTGTGTGTACACTGAGGTGTATAATATGAGATAATTTGTCTATACATAACGTTAAACCTGTTTCCCCTTTGTGTACTTACATGACTGGTAATTCTGTTATGTGCCGTAGTTAATGCTTGTATTATATCGGTGCAAAAGTTTCTGTGTGAAACAAGATCCAAAGGAACACTTCGACTGAACTGTAGAAAATAATACCATATTTGTCTTCAGAAAGTTACTAACAAAATTGGTTCCAACATATTAATGTGTGTTAGTCTTTTACAGCTGTGTGGTGTCAGCAAAGGCCACACAGTGTTGCATGTTACTGTGTGTCTCTATAAGTAAGCCATCTGTATGGTGTGGAGGACACACAACGCTGACATGTTATTGTATGTTAGTAAGAATGCTGTGAGGTGTGGAGGACACACAGCGCTGACATGTCACTGTGTGTCAGTAAGAAAGATGTGCGGTGTGGAGGACACACAACGCTGACATGTTATTGTATGTTAGTAAGAAAGCTGTGAGGTGTGGAGGACACACAGTGCTGACATGTTACTGTATGTTAGTAAGAAAGCTGTGATGTGTTGAGGACGTACAGTGCAGGCATGTTACTGTATGTCAGTAAGAAAGCTGTGAGGTGAGGAGGACACAAAGCACTGACATGTGACTGTGTGTCAGTAAGATAACTGTATGGTGTGGAGGACACACAGTGCTGACATGTTTCTGTGTGTCAGTAAGATAACTGTATGGTGTGGAGGACACACAGTGCTGACATGCTTCTGTGTGTCAGTAAGATAACTGTATGTTGTGGAGGACACACAGTGCTGACATATTACTGTAAGTCAGTAAGAAAGCTGTGAGGTGTGGAGGACACACAGTGCTGACATGTTTCTGTGTGTCAGTAAGATAACTGTATGGTGTGGAGGACACACAGCACTGACATGTGACTGTATGTCAGTAAGATAACTGTATGGTGTGGAGGACACACAGCGCTGACATGTTACTGTGTGTCAGTAAGAAAACTGTGAGGTGTGGAGGACACACAGTGCTGACATGTTACTGTAAGTCAGTAAGAAAGCTGTGATGTGTGGAGGACACACAGTGCTGACATATTACTGTAAGTCAGTAAGAAAGCTGTGAGGTGTGGAGGACACACAGCGCTGACATGTTACTGTGTCAGTAAGAATGCTGTGAGGTGTGGAGGACATACAGTACTGACATGTGACTGTGTGTCAGTAAGAAAGCTGTGATGTGTGGAGGACATATAGTGCTGGCATGTCACTGTATGTCAGTAAGAAAGCTGTAATGTGTGGAGGACACACAGCGCTGACATGTTACTGTATGTCAGTAAGAAAGCTGTGAGGTTTGGAGGACACACAGTGCTGACATGTTACTGTGTGTCAGTAAGAAAGCTGTGAGGTGTGGAGGACACACAGCGCTGACATGTTACTGTATGTCAGTAAGAATGCTGTGAGGTTTGGAGGACACACAGCGCTGACATGTTACTGTATGTCAGTAAGAAAGATGTGAGGTTTGGAGGACACACAGTGCTGACATGTTACTGTGTGTCAGTAAGAAAGCTGTGAGGTGTGGAGGACACACAGCGCTGACATGTTACTGTATGTCAGTAAGAATGCTGTGAGGTTTGGAGGACACACAGTGCTGACATGTTACTGTGTGTCAGTAAGAAAGCTGTGAGGTGTGGAGGACACACAGCGCTGACATGTTACTGTATGTCAGTAAGAATGCTGTGAGGTGTGGAGGACACACAGTGCTGATATGTTACTGTGTGTCAGTAAGAAAGCTGTGAAGTGTGGAGGACATACAGTGCTGACATGTCACTATGTGTCAGTGTCAATAAGAAAGCTGTGCAATGTGTTTACTATGCATTAATATCACGAAAAAGCTGTGGGTTTGAAAAGGCATACAGTTGTGTTGCAGTGCATTGCTATTTGTCAGTTACATGATTAGTATGGGCATATTGATGCACCGTCACCTTACTCTACATAATGAAATTATTTTGTGTGTGTTACACCTTTTGTGTTGTATGTTGTAGGTAGCCTATATAATAATTCATCACTATTTCATTATATCTGTTTTTTTTGTTACAGCTGTGTGGTGTGGTTTGGGCAGCATATAGTGCAGGTACATTATTATGTGTCCAGGAACTCCAACACAAACGACCTCTACTTCTGTACCCTGTATTCCTCCTCTACATCTACTTCCTGTCACTCTACACTGGAGCCTGAACCTTTCATCAGGATCAGAGTTGTTGTTTCCTCCTTGTTTGAAACAAATAGGAACTAAAAATATGGAGAACATGATTCCCGGCATAAAATTAGTGTGACACTGAGGCAGGTCCAAGGTCACCATAAGATGTGTGATAAAACTATTAACGACTATCAAAATCTCATGTCAGAATGATATGATGGTGATAAGTTATAATATGTTGATATTATCTGGTTACATTGTATGTATTTGACCAAACGCGTCACACTGTGTGTTACTCTAAAATTGTTACATGTACCTAATATTTTTACCTGATATCATGGGATGATCCTAATGATGTAGAAAAAACCATGCAAGAAGGAAATGTTGAGGGCTAAGTTCATGTACTACATCATGAAAGTAATTTTGGTGTAGAAAAACTTTCCCCAAACACCTCCTGAAGGATTAACTAGATCACCAGATTTAAACTTGTCACTAATTCAACATATTTGGTCTTGTTCCAAATGCTAAACAGATCAACTGCTTAACAGATAAACATAATGTTTCTTGTTCCAATATACTGGTCAGAATAACTGAATTTATGGGAGGTGGTGAGTTCTGCAAATATCTGTGATATCAAGTTTGCAAGCGTACTTAGTAGAAAAACATAAATGATGTGCATATTACATTAAATTACATTGTATGTATAGGTACTGTTTAGATTCACGACTGCATGATGTGCTTACAAATATATAAGTGCATGTAGTTTAAAGTTTGACTGTGTGAATGATGTGTGTAGAGAATAAGAGCCTTTCTGTATAAAGATTCGTTTGTATTTAATGATAGGTAGCTTTTAAAATAATCAAACTGTGTGTAAATTAATCTAGAAATTGAAATTTGGTTCTAGATTGTCCCTGTGTCAAATAAATAAAACAGTTCTTGCAGGGGCAGTGTGCTATAAAATTTCAAACATATTGTAGTTTTAAAATAATTTTGTACGAAACAACCACATGTAAAGCTTCTTATTCCCAGGCTTGGTGTCAGAAAAAGGGTGAATAATTCTGGTGTATTAATGGTTCTACTGACAGGTGTTAGTTGGCTATGGGCTCCTTATATTTACACAATATCAATAATGGTGCACTGATTCAAAAATACAACATCTTAAGTTATGGAAATCACTAAAACATGAAAAACAATGTTTTAATTATTCTAATTAGTTCAAAAACAAGATCGTATCACTTAAATACTGTCATTAACTTTTGCTATTACATATATGTAATGTTACCATTCTTATCCTTCCACTTCTTCATTAGCTGCCATCTTGGATGTTGCTATTCTTGTCTTTCCAGACTCGCAGATTAGTGGTTAAATAATTACATACATTAGTATTGCAAATAACTATGAAATGAATTTGGCATGTTATTTATATGACATATATGATGTACATAGTATAAGATGTTATATGATACCTGTACACAAGAACTTTTTTTAAGAAAATAATTATGTATCATTTATCATACATTGATATGCGAATGATGTATTACATCTAGTTACTGATGGACAAATAGTACATATTATGAATGTATGTATTACATATATATGAATACAATTTGTTGCCATCAAATATTGTTTTTGTCAGTTATTATAATGAAAATAAATGTGTACATAATTATGTATGACATTATTTTTGTACAATACTATTAATATTACATGGTACATGTATAAAGTTTGGGACAGACATCAATACTTTTGTCTTGTTTTTACTGTATGAGCATTAGATGTAAATTTGTAATAGAGTTACCGAAGGGAGAGCACATAGTCACTGCTTTGTCCATCTGAATTTGTCTGGAGCATTACATAAAAACTATGTGAGATGTCAGTATCAACATAAACTATATATATATCATAGATATATCTCAACAAGGAGAAGTGTAGTGTACAAGAACCATCACTCTTTTCTACATACCAGGGTAATTTATGAGTTAATACCCATGTTATTTTCACTTCTTAAATTTGATTCCATTTGAGGAACATAGGTGTCTCTGACAGCCCTTGCTTGTGGAGGTTGGAAACTTCCATATTTGAAAAGTATCCTGTTGTTTTGTAGCTAGAATAAAAGTAAAATACCCTATAGCTGTTTAGATAGGACAATCATACTGTGTATTGCTAAAACAGTACAGTTGTCCCTTACCAACCCCTTACAAGCTATTACACTGTAATTATTTGTAAAGATAGACGTTTGATGAAACTCAGACTTGTTTGAGTATTTTAGTACTTTTAAAAGTGCGAGATGTTTGGTGACAATCCCAGAAGAAGTAAATGATTTTCTAGTGATGACAAGTAACCTTGACTCAACAAATCTGAAACCCAAATTTTATGAAAATACCACAAGGAATGTAGCCATTAGAGTGCTGCCAATGATTTGCTTAATTACAAGTGACCTTGATCTCTAGTCAAAATCCTATAAGGAATGAAGCCGCTAGAGTGCTGACAAAAATCTTGTAAAAATAGTAACAGAGACCTTGACCCTACAACCTTGAAACTTGAGCTTTTACAAGATGTTTTTTGTGCTAAATAAGTGTGTGAAGTTTGATGAGAATTTTGAAGGAATGAAGCAGCTCAAGGGCTGACAGACTCACAGATACAGTGACAGATTAACATTGGGACAGAAGCTATAGTCCCTCTCACCTCCTTTACCTTGTTTGTGTGTTGGGAAGCACCCAGTAGCTATCTAGCTAGAGTAGATAGGATAAAGGGGAAACATTTTGAATAGAACAAATACATCTACATTAGAGAGAATAATCAAAACATGATTGAAATGTCATCCATTACTTTTTTATCCTTGACATGTATATCCACACTTTTCATCTGTGTAAGATTTCCATGTTTCACAGTAGGATTGAAAGAGGACAGATCAAAGCATTAGCTGTCCTCTCTCAAACATGTTGCACAATTTGGAGCTTATAAATACTGACAGAAAGAATAATAAGTTCTGGCTGAGAGAAGAATATATATTCTGAGAGAGTGAATGACATCAATACTGGTAGGGGGCTCAAGAACAATATCACAGGCAGGGAACTTGACAACAGCAATACTGGTAGGGAGCTCAGCAGTAGCATCAATACCGTAAGGAGTTCAAGAATAACATCACTGCAGGCAGGGAGCTTGAGAACAAGTTCAGCACTGGCAGGGAGCTCAAGAATGACATCAGTCGGGAGCTAAAGAAAAACTTCATTACTGGTAGGGAGCTTGAGAATAACATCAATACAGGTAGGGACCTCAGGAACAACATCACTACAGGCAGGGAGCTCGAGAATAAGTTCAGCAGTAGCAGGGAGCTCAAGAATGATTTTAGCCAGGAGCTCAAGAATAACATCAATACTTGCAAAAGGATGAACATCTATACCGACATAAGAAATGTAAATACTGACAGATGATTAACAATTTATAAATCAACATAGTTCTTAAAAGATTGACAAGAAACAAATGTATGTAAATCAAAATGTTTTATTTTTTCATATATGAGACATGTTTGTGGAATGTGTTTTACATACAGTAACAAATATTTAGAGCCAAGGACAAAACATAATATGGCATTGATAATTGTTCTTTTTTTTGAAAAGAGAACCTATTCAATAACTCTACATTATATATTTTTAAAAAACAAGAGTGCTTTGAGTATACACAATATATATTTTTGATAAAAAAATACATCTTATCCCTTGGTTGTTACATAATCATGTCAATTTTACATATAAAACTTTATACAACATTAGTTTACATGCCTCTGGGTGATACAAAGGATTGTAAAAAAACATCACTCATATTGTAAGTAGGTACAAATATACAAATACATAAAAGTTGATTAACCATAAATTAAAAACAAATATTAGTGACAACAGACAACTTTCATACTCAACATGCTTTGGTGTTCAATATGTCTTAAATTCTTAAATATATACAATCTAACTTCATGATAAAAGATTTCCAGCTATCTCCTGCTTTCTATTCAACAGTGAATCAGGCATTTCACAAACTTGTCTGGCCATATTCATTGCTTTTTTTCCTTCATCATTCTAAACTTCACTGACAGTTTATACAAAAAAAATAATAAACACTTCTGTGATCAATTATCTAAAGTCCTAAATTTCAGTTTGGGTAGTTAGTTAGGTCTATGTAGGAAAATCCATATCTTTAACATTTCCAGATCTATGTTCACTCAAAAATATTTCATACATTTGTATACAGAAAAACAAAATATCTCATATGATAGGCATAGTTTCAAAACTGTATTGTTTTCAAGTATTGTCTCTAGTCCTCATCTTTACCCTGTATGATATATAAAAGTGAAATTCATATTCCTCATGTATATGACAACAAAAATATCTCTCAAGGATATGATCTCTGTATGTGCAGAAGTATGATAAATAAAGTATCTTATAGCACTGTTTTTATTTACAGCAAAGAGCAGCCATAAATTGAAATTTAAGTGAATGTTACACAACTGTTGTACAGTATACAAAGTATATTTCATCCTACAAAAATGTATCAATAGAGACACTGCATTCATATCTCAGATTATGGTCCCTTATGACTCGGGCTGATTAGAGGAGACACAAACGTGTAGATCTTAATATAACAGGATTTACCATAACCAAATTCTGCTACATACAAACCTTTATCATATAAAGGTAATTCAGTACTGTCAGTTATTTGATGAGTGTGGAGGACAATTAAGTTCTGGTCCAATCTACACAGGAATAGTGAAGTATTCAGGACCCTGTATCAAAGGAACAACCCTTGTAAATATTAGCCATAATATACTTCTAAGCTAGAGAGATCGTTTCTTCATCAGTGGAGCATAAGCCAGAGGTTATGGGTTTCATTGCTATCAAATGATGACCACTGTTACAATATCTCTTACATCTTTAATATGTAGTGATTACCACATGTCTACACAATCACAATGGTACTACATGGTTACAGAAATTATCTGGAAATTTCTTGAATAGTCATGATTTATGATCATAACATTTCATTTATTCGATCAGTTTTAACTCAAAAAGAAATGGTGGGGTCAAAACTTAACTATTTTGCAGAGCTGATTGGCTGATGCTATTTAGTACTTAAAAGTTTTTCACCACAAAACAAAAAAGAAGTTTATGAATCAATTTTAATATGTTATGAAATGTTTTGAATTTGGTACATAGAAAGAGGATGTCCATACAATTTGCATTTTATTTATTTCCATATAAATTTCCATATAAAATAAAACTTAAAGACAAAATTCAATTTTGAGCTTTGCTTGTTATATCAGCCTTCTGTTACTACAGATGTTTGTTGTGGTATATTTTTTCTTTGCCACCCAAAGAATTTCACCAGAATCCTGGGAGTAACCTACAGGTTTAGTATCAAACTAATGTAATTGATGATTAAAACCTGGCTATGTATCTACCTCAGGACGGAACACCTGTGACAGCTTCCTAGTATGGAGCTTGGCTGCAATACAATTGTAGTTCCTGGTATCACAAAGGGTTTGTTCTATAATGTCCCACTGACCACGGCTAAAGTCGAGCCGACACACAATGTTGCGATATGTTGGGTGTGTAAGCCGTGCACTTTCTGTCATACCACATGCATACAATGCCATATTTACAACAGCAAGCCCCACATTGTATATTGCCTTTTTTTTTTTTTTGTGTGTGTGTGTGTGTGTGTGTGTGTGTGTGTGTGTGTGTGTGTGTGTGTGTGTGTGTGTGTGTGTGTGTGTGTGTGTGTGTGTGTGTGTGTGTGTGTGTGTGTGTGTGTGTGTGCAGGAAGTTCTGGGCCTGGACGCCACTGATTGTTTGCCACACTAAATATCTCAACAGACTTGAGAGCTTGTCTGTTAATAGTGTGAGAACTTTGGGAATAGATCTGACCGCCAGCAATATAGATCTCATCATCAACAATGCATGCACCGAAATTAAACCTGGGAGTGAGCATTCCAGCCCTTGTGATCCACTGGCCTTTGACAGGGTGGTACATGACAACTAAGTTATGTGCACCAACACCTGTACGTCCCCCTAGTAGGAATATGTGCTCCTCATGAACAACACAGGCCAGATCTACCAGTGAGGTAGGGAGCATGCCTTGATAACTCCATCGATTCTTGTCAATGTCATACACCTCAATGATTTCAGTAGGATGCTGATTCTCTGTCAGACCCCCAAAACAATATATTTTTCCACCTAAAGAAGCCAGAGAAAAGTTTGATTTGGGAAATAACATTGGAGACAAGGCCATCCACTTGTTGTGATCGTTGTCATAGCGATAGAAATCTTTACTTACAACCCTTTCTTCAAATTCATCTAAGGAATCATCGGAGTCAAAGTGCTCACCACTGTCAGAATGATAAATATAGTTTCCACCTCCAGCAAACAAGGTGTTTTTGTCAGTAACAACACCAGCCAGACTTTCCACATCAAAATCACCATATCTTCGAGAAACAGGGAAATCATTCATAAAAAAGGCCTCTCTTGTTAAAGGGTTGTAACAATTAATGTAAGGTCGACGGTTCTCTGTTCCTCCCAGTAGTAACATACAGTGCTCAGGTTTAATCATACCAGAACGCAAAGACAAGCTAAAGGTGCTCTGTCCCTGATAGGAATGAGGATTACTTTCAAACTCCTTCAGATCTTGTAGAAGAGATACACAACTCTGGTCACTAAGCATTGAATTGCTTTTCATCACCCTTTCTTGCATGAATCGTAAAGAAATGAGACCAAATCGAACCTGTGTCATCAACTGTCCAAGAAAACCAGTTCGCCCATCCTGTGCTCCAACCCAAGCTAATACAGCTTCAAAGACAATGTCCTCTTTGTCAACGTTTAGTTCATCACTGCCAACAATTTCCTTAACTTTATCCACAGGAAGTCGTAAGAATTCCTCACACTGGTAAACATCCATAAAGTTTTTTTCGATATGTTCCCTTGCTTTAACTTGCAGTGAAAGACAGCTATGAGCCTGGGCAAAGCAGTATATGCCAACACAATTATTATTGTCAAGCTGGGTTTCCAAAAATCTTGCACAGGCCTTTTGAACTGGAATGATCTGAAATAATGAAGCTGCTGCCAGCAAATTCTGAACATTCTCTTGACAAATTTCCAGAGTCCCTGTGTAAGCGTAAGTCACAACCTGGCTCACTGATTCAAAGTCCACCTCAAACAGCTCCACTACATCTTGCCTACTCTCATTCAGATCCAGTGTAAACATGGCTTTGAAGTAGGGGCTTGCAGCTGCCAGTACCACACGATGAGCAGGCAGTTTGTGTCCATCCACACTCAGGGTCACATCTGTCAACAGGCCGTCATCATAAAGCACCTTCATTTCCTTCAGGAACTGTGAACTATGCACATCATTATGGAACACCATGGAGTCCATGCTATTGTAGAAGACATTGTAATCCACACTGTCGCGCTCAGACAGCCAGGAGTCTGGACTGCCTGGTCCGAAGTTGTCACATCCAGACATTAGGCATGTCTAACCTACAAAATGGAAACAATAAAAAATAGACATTAGGATAAGATATGGAATATAATATCTTCTGACATCTATAGGCATGCGATACATATTGCTGTTGAACCTGTTTAGAAAGACAACTGAATGAAGCAGAGAAAAGTGGCCACAATAGGCAAACAACAATTATTATAGAGTTCCTAAATGTATTTTGTACTATGAATGTATTACAGTAGCCTTTATAGACAGGTATTCATTTTATGCTGGGGCTTTTTAAAGAAAATTTTACCTTTTATATCATACAGCATAGTGTTATTCCTCACATCTTAGATTTATACAATTCATAATATATTATATTGGCAATATTAGTTGTAGTCTAAAAGTAAAATCAATATACATGTATGGGTAATGACTTTTTACAAAACACCATGTACCTACCAAGTATGGACGTCATCATTCTATTAAGACATCCTCATAATATGATAAATAAACACCTGATGTCTAAAGAGGCAACTTATAGCCCTTAAAGATATGTATACATACAGGTTGCTAGAGTAAAGCATATCATATCTACATCAGCAGATAAAACTGAGATGTGAGATCTATAACCCATGTACTTGTCTGATAAAGATGTTGTCATTAATTTTCATGTAAGGACATTTAAATGGCAGATGTTTGATAAATGATAGAAGATATAACAGCAAGATCATTTAGAATATTAGAATAATTCTAACAATGCTAATGTTATACTGTATAAAATGTGTGCGACGAAATACCCAAAACTTACCAAAAACTGCCAAAATGCTTACAATATATTTAAAGATGACAGATGACACTAAAATTTATAACATTTGTGTTTAGTTTACGTTGTTCTCATGTCAGCCTTGGGTGTGTAATGCTTATCTCCAATACATCAGGGCACAGAAGGAACAAAAACTAGCATATCTGCCTTGATTTCAATAGATCAACATTGTTAGGGACACAATTAACGAGGATATGTTAATTAATATGATAAATTATGTCCATCAATTACAATATGACTCAACTCTATATGAACAATTTGTAAGAAGTCGTTAATATAACAACAAAGGTAAGTATCAATATATGTATCGCTGAAATTAAAAAATACATAAAAATCAAATAAATATATTGATTAATACATATCAATTTCACATTTATTTTCACAAGATTTCTGCTTAATTCACATATTTACATATAAAAACGACATAAACACAGCATAAATATTGCAGATTTTTGAAGTATGTATTTGGATATATATATATGAGTTTTTGGTAGTTCTGCATAAGTTATGAGTCGTTCTGAGTATTTCGTTGCGCTGTATATTAACAGGAGAAATATATATATGACCTTAAAGTACTGATAGTTGCACTGTTGGTTGGTTGAACTGGTGGTTGGAAACACTATAAATTTACAAGCTGTAATGTGGTTATACTCAATACCGTGTTTTAGTACTACATTAAGATGTAATCTAAAGAGAAAGAGTCTATGTCAGTTCAGAGAGTATTTGTTAATCAGTGGGGTGCTACACATTGGGTATGGATACTGAAAGGCATGCAAGGCAATAAAATAAAATATGAAAATTAATTCAAGTAATTTCACTTGCAACATACCCAAGTGTCAAAAGTAAGTGGGCTATTTATTGCCCAACCAGTTTCATGCTTATATGCAAGGCTTCATCAGGATGAGGCCTCACTTACTGGAACTACCTGGATTAATTTGAGATGCAAATTACCGACTTACTGAAACTACCTGGATTAATTTGAGATGTAAATTACCGACTTACTGAAACTACCTGGATTAATTTGAGATGTAAATTACCGACTTACTGAAACTACCTGGATTAATTTGAGATGTAAATTACCGGTTTACTGAAACTACCTGGATTCATTTGAGATGTTAATTACCGACTTATTGAAACTACCTAGATTAATTTGAGATGTAAATTACCGACTTAATGAAACTACCTGTATTAATTTGAGATGTAAATTACCGGTTTACTGAAACTACCTAGATTCATTTGAGATGTTAATTACCGACTTATTGAAACTACCTGGATTAATTTGAGATGTAAATTACCGACTTAATGAAACTACCTGTATTAATTTGAGATGTAAATTACCGACTTACTGAAACTACCTGGATTAATTTGAGATGTAAATTACCGACTTACTGAAACTACCTGGATTAATTTGAGATGTAAATTACCAGTTTACTGAAACTACCTGGATTAGTTTGAGATATGATCTCGTTACATAACGCTAAACTACATTTTTTTTTATCAAAGGGGCTGAATTTGTTAACGTAAGATCAGAATAAGGTCAGAATACATACATCTGACCATCCAATCATTCAAAATGTAATTATCAGCAACCCCCTCCCTCCCCCCATCGCGTGTGATTTTCTATGTATGATTCCTGTTATTTAGTAATGAAATATCTATATTCCACATACAGAACGTCATATTAAAGTTTTTTTGTACCGCTGATGTTGACCCATTTGTAATTATGCCTACTCATCCTGGATATATTTTTTTCGCAAAAGCTCTTGCAACAGAGTTGCATTACCATGCCTTTATACGTGTATATTGTGACTCTAACGTGAATACAGGTACTTCTGTACTCAATTTCATTAGAACTTAAGATAAAAAAAACCAACACACAACAACCTTTTAAAAACTGAAACTCAGTCCACAAGTACCTGTGAACGTGAAATGAGGACTTGCAATTGTTTACAAGGAATCCGTTGTCACCACGACTGGTGCAATGTGTTGGACATATTCACATATGATCCGCTAGGCTATAAAATCAAATACGAAACAATACAAATAGTTCAATGCTAAACAATGCTTACATCGCTCCAGAGCGTAGAAACTTGAATGGACTCCTTCTTGTTTACGAGAATATCAGAAAATGTCAACATACGCAAGGACGATAACTCTTAATCTTCCGTGGCCGGATGTGAAAAAAATTAAGGTGTTTTATCCCGTACTTTATGACATAGTGCATCCTAGAGTGGGCTTCTTGTAGTTCGATTTCGTGACTCTTTTGGAAGAGTTATTTTCTCCCTTCAAACAATTTAAGTATTGTGTAATTAATATCTAACAGTCAAAATCCAAGATGGTAACCTGTCAGCCATGTTATGTTTTGATCAGTCCCATGATCAAAAGGTACCACTGGGGATCAATGGGAATCCACATCTACATTGTATAAAGTTAAATCTGGTGTTTCTCTAGACATCAAGATAACAATCTTTCATTGTCATTATGATACAATGACGGCAGTAGTAGTAGTGGAAATAGTTATTGAATAATTAAAACAGTTTGAATATTTCAGCAGATAAGGCAAACTTGAAACACTCTTCGTTTCAGTTTCTCAAAATCAGATTCCATCAAATTTCCGTGCAATGGCTTTATTGGAACTTGCGAAGAAGTTGAAGCTTTGTATTTCAAGATGGGTGTTCATGATTGCCATGTTGAACTTTTGACAAAGCTGAAAAATAACAACTCTCTCAGCTTTCTTTCCTTAACATCCCTATCAATTTGCTTAGTGGCATTGGTGGAAATTGAGAGGTTTCAAATGTGCAGACATGCCATGATGGTCACATTGGATGTCTGACTGACCCAAAATATTACAAAACTTGGTCAGAATGATCTCTGGATAATTTCAGACAAATTTCAGCTGAATCCAAACTGTGGAACATAAGAAGTTGAAGAGAGGCATTGCTCAAGGAAACCATGACTGCGCAACCATGTTACAAAATGGCTGCTACATTGGACTTTTGTTAAATTGATGTTACACAAAATTCAGATAAATATTGTAGGTGGAGTTATCCAGACAAGATTCAGTGTTGCAATAAAAATAGATACCAGTAGACTTATAAAACTTTGTCAGGTGCACATTTGTGTTTGATGACCACATCAGTGATGTGTCACAAGATTTGAACAAAAACTGTAGTAGGAGTTTTGACAAGATTCATTCTTCACAGTTCCTAAAAACAGGGGCAAAACTGAATTTAGGAAGTTTGATAAAAAATATCTGAAGTTCCAAAGCTTGTGTTTGATAGTGTCTGAAGAGTGTCAGGACATTTAAAAAAAAAAAAACTTAAGTGTTGTCCAGACAAGTCTGTCTTTAAAAAATCATTGTAAAAGGGACAAAACTGCAATATTAAAGTCAAGTCCTAAAGTAAGGACAAGCTTACAACTTCAGTATATGATGACTGCATACCAGGGTATGTAGTTATACAAAGTTTGGGGGGGGGGGGGAAACCTGCAGGAGGAATTGTCTGGACAAGATTCCGACATAGATGGGCAACCTGATTCCAGTATAACACTCTCCCTACCAATAACTATATAAGTTGGATATTTTCTCTTCTTTGCACCTAATCACTTCTACATGTATTTACAGGTGCCAACATTATTTACAAATGAAACTTTAAGGAATTGGAGCTAAACATTTAAACCACTTTCCAACAAATATCAAGATCAATCTTCAGAGTTGTAAACACTCAAAATGACCACTATTGGACCAACTTATTTATTTTTTTGTTTTGATAATCAGCTTTAACATTTTAATGTGAGAAAAGGAGGAATTCCCACATGAAAATTGGTAATAATTTTTATAATTTGTGACTGGCCCATTCTGTACTCCTGAAGAATCAGATAACAACATTTCACAGTCACAATTCTTGACGTGTGGGGCCGTTTTTATTACATTTGTTAAAAAAAGTTATTTCTTTGAGGCATTTTTTGAAAGTTCAACTTGCATGAACTAATGATGATCATGTATAAAATTTAAGCAAATAAAACTGCTTTGTTTCTTGGTGGCAAACTAAAATGTTATTTAATCGGAACTTTTTTCCAGAAGTGAAATTTGATCATGCATAAGGTAATAAGAACCAATTCTACCCCTACTTCCCTATGGCCACACCCTTTCTCTCTAAATGTATAACTTGAATCTTCACCACATTTTAATATATATTTCCAGTCAAATTTGGTAAAAGTTCATCCTGAAATTAAGAAAGAAGAAATTGTCAATTTGTCAACAGACGATATACACTATGTCATAATCTCAACATGTCAAAATATTAATGACTTATTCCAATCATTTAATAATAACAAACATTGTCTTACATTTTAAATACATTTATTTGTTCAATTTCATACATATCCATTTACATAAAAGGTATATAACATACCATAAATACACTACAACCAATAATGTCTGAATGAAAAAAATTGTAACAAAATACAAATTGCCAATAGTAAAAGGCATCATACAGACGAGTATATGGACTTCAAAGAAAGCACACAAAACACCTATCTCATAAAAAGCATAAAAAAGTATGTTATATGTTATGAAGACAGAATCTTTTCTAGAGTTGCCTAGATTATCCATGCTGTGCTCATGACTGCGAAACAGTTTGGTTTGTGCATATCGGCCTTGGAGTTCTGACACATATCAGGGGAAGGTTTAGTGTATAGTACTTTATATTTCAGACTTAATGTACTTTTCCCAATAGGACAGGTTTTACTAGGGATGATCGTTTACTGCCCAAGTCGGTCTGCAGATATCTGGCATCGAGGACTAGACCAAATGAATCAATTGGCATCACAGAGGACCTGCACTGACAGATGTGGTATGACTATTGATGAGAATGTACTTGTTAACAGCTGGTCACATATCAGACAGAGGACTAGTTCTAACAAAATATTTGGTCCCATAGAAAACCTGTCATGATGAGGAATTTACACTCTATGACAGTTGATCTTTATAAATATGTATTAGACTCGGAGGACCTGTGCTGACAGATGTGGTAAGACTGATGACGAGTTTGTATTCTTTGACAGCTGGTCTGTTTGTATCACAAGTCGGCAGTATGTGCCCCCACTTTGTCCTTTTGAGAGCCGTCCTGGGTTTATACAACAACATCCTTGAATGTCCTGAAATAAAAGCAGAGTATCATGCATATTGCAGATTAAATAATGGCATGTCACTGACACAAGTAACTCAAACCACTAACTTCTATACTTCTTAATTATGTCAGATTTACAGGAAACTGCATGTAATTCCATGTATCCTTTTGTTGATGGCTTACTGGACCAGTTACCATATAAATGAAATTCAAATTCTAAATCATAAAATTTCATACCAGTTGTGGTTTATGAACTACTATTCTATGCAGAGTTAACTGGTGAATAAATTGTCTTGAAGATGAAACATTTGTCTTGAAATATTTTGTTGTGGTTCCAGCAAAATGGAAATCTTATCATTATTCTTATATATTGCTCAAGATATGGTCAGATTACAAATGGAGCTACTCTGACAAATGTTTCAAACATTTTTATAAGATACTGCAGTTACCTTCACAAACTGTTTCAGATCAGATGGTACAATAAGCACATGTGGAGTAACTGGTATCCTCCCTTTGTCCTCAAAGTATTTGTAGTCAATGTTGACTTCATCAGCAGGAGGACAGAGTGGGTAGTAGTTCCTCTGGGTAAGAAGATGTTGTGTTAGTCGTCCTAGACGATCTGTTGATCCAGGGATGTTGCTGCAATATTCAATATTAAATATCTGTGATATTACGTTTCATACACATGAACTTTATACTTAATAAAATAGTATCTAAATTTTCTAAATTACAACTTGTAACAACAGATAATGAGGAACCCTAAGAGTCCATCATTGTGAAATAGCTGTACATTCTATAATCTATGTTAGACTGACTAGCCAAATGTATATGAACCAGATTGATCAGACCTTAATAGAAACCCCTAATTCCCCTTTATTTTGTTACTTATTCACTGTAATGTGTATCCCTGTACCTACTTCCCCAAAATTGTTAGTGTAATTTGAGCTCTTTTATTTTTTTACCGGTTCACTGTAATGTGTGCCCTAGTGCATTCTTCTCTTTTTTTGTTACCTGTTCACTGTAATTTGTCTCAGTACTCCTGGGATTACGATCACTTTTGTTAACTGCACCCATGGAACTTGTCATGGCAAAATTGAAGGCACAAACTAAGTAGATTTGATTGGTTCAAGGAGAAAAAACTGACCAATCACAGGCTGATATGCTTCTTATGCAAATTACAAAGGAGTGATACCAAACATCAAAGCTATACCAAACATCAAAGCTAGTAATGTGACCGTATTTTTCCAAATCATAAGCTTCATGCAAAAAAAAATAAGTGTTGCAAACAAAACAAAAAAATCAACAAAAAACATGATTGTGGTATCATGTTATAAAATGACCTCCCTGGTTGCGGTATAAAAGTTTTGACAAGGTAGAAAAATTAACACTTTGTTGGCTACCTTTCCTTTACATTCCTACTATATTTTTTTTAGATCAATGGCACCAGTGAAACTTTACTTTGGAAGTTTGAAATATTTTTTTCAAGATGGCAGCTATGGTGGCCATCTTGGATTTCAGACATAATTGCAAAATAAAAACACAGGGGTAAGACCATCTTGGAATCATTTCATGCAAGTTTGAGCTCAATCCCACCGAAGTTATGTAGAAGAAGTTTAAAATGTCAAACGTTTATTCAAGGCAGACAATAACGGACGAAGCACAATGGCTATTGGTCACCATGACCTAAAAACAGAAAGCGTACAAGTTCACCAGTACGAGAGAGTATTGGGGTTTTTTAAATGAGTACCTGCCCATCACGTGTTTGTGACTGAAATTGATCATCTAGAACTGTCATTTACAATCGTATACAGGATGATTTGAAGATTGAAATAGAAATAACATTCTTGTGGATTTTTTAATATAAATCACAATAATATCTTCTGGACTTTTAACAGTTACTTTGAAGCCATAGCAGAAGTTTACAATAGCCCTTTGTGTTCTGGGATCGATAGGTCATCGGGGTATAGGTCATATTCTAGAACGATTGCAGTTTTGTTTACAATAGGAATGGCTTCATGTAACTTACAAGAAGAAATAACATGGGACTATAAGAATTTGGTCAGCATGCAAGGGTTTTCAATAAAAGGTGTGGCTTACATGTGGATTAAATAGAAAAAATCAGTAAAAATTGGCCCTGCAGCTTATAACCTGAAAAATACGATAGTCTTGTTGTCTTGTCCACAAGGTGTTGCACAGGGAACCTTCGATTTTGTTTAATGTTCCAGGGGTGCAGAAAGTGAAAGTGATTGTAATCCCTAGAGTATCCAGGATGTGTGCCTACTTCTCCTTTACTTTGTTACTTTCATTTGTACCCATTTTCTCACAGCAGCTACTAAGTTTTCACTGATGAGAATTTTGCTTAACTTTGCTTATTGTTGTGACACTGACATTCCTGTGAGATTACGTACCAAGAGATTTCCTCTGCACCTAGCTGCATAAGGATGTCTGTGGAAGTGATTCCAAATACTACATTGTCAACACACACAGTACACGGGTCAGGCATGAAGTGCAGGTTCTTGGACAACTGCAATGAGCAACATAATAAAGTTAGGGCAATAGCATTTTGAAGAAGATGCCAATAAAAATCTATAAAAACAGCCAATTAAGCTAAAAATAGAGAGAAATGTTTATTAAACAAAATTGTGTGTACGTGTGCAGAGAAAGGAACGCATTTATAAGTATATGTCTTTTGGGCAGATTGTAGAAAGAGGAGAGAAAATTCAGGTGGGAAAGACAGTGAAGTAGAAAGGATGTAATATGATAAGGTTTTCAAGAAACCTAGAGTACATTAGTAAAAATAAATTTTCACTATCAGATATCTGCCAGCATTCACCATATTCTTCTAGGGGTCAGTGATTCTGAACTCAGATGTTGCTATAGCATCTTCCAATCAAAGTAGACATTTCTCTCACCATGTGCGTGAAATGCCACAAGTCTTTACAAAACCAATGGAAATGCTTTACCTGTTTTAAAAGACCAGGAGACCGGGACAGGAACTTACAAAACAAATTATCAATTTAAGTATTTCTAAAGAAAATTTGTAAGACAAAAGAAATCTGCATCCAACCTATTCATAAGACAGAATTTACTCTTTCAGTACATTGGAGTTTGCTTTGAAGACTTTCAAAGCATGCTACAATATGCTGTCAAAGGGAAGCACCAACATATATATGATGAATGCATGCTCCTTAATTCAATTTACAGTATTTACTCTCCAACAAATGAATAGCAATCCTTTTATTCATCTTTTTACCAACTTACATTTGGCTTGAGGTTCTTTGGATCAAATGGAGGTTGAGGATATACATAATCATGGTGGATATCTCTGTAAGAAGGCACCACTATGAACTTGCATCCCGAGCTGTAATATGAATGAGCAGTTACACATATTATCAAGATGTTTTTGATTGGATAGCAGTTTTTACAAACATCTACTGAGTAAAATTTAGAGAACCATTTTTATTATTAACCATTTTACAATAATTCTGCAACTTGGCCTAAACAATTAATGTCATTCTTATCTAGACCCAAGCAGTAATTTGCAAAATAACCAGGCAAGTCCCTGGTCTTGTGAAAGATAAAAAACTTCCATTGTAAAAATAAAATAAAAGCCCCCTATCAGCCAGTTTGTTTTTCTTATCAGTCCAAAAATCAAAAAGTATTTTCTTATGAAATATGAGAATGATCCAAAAAATACTTCTCCATAAAAAACAGACAAACCATGGCTGCAGTTCCAACAGCCAACCCCATCTGATGATGGTGGAATAAAAATATAGCTCATACTACATCTGCTAACAGCTGTCTTGGGATAGAATACGTATGATAAAATGTTACATCATCATAACTCACTTGTCTGCAATGTCACTGAGACTTTTCATTTGCATCCAGAAAAGTTCATCATATGAGGTTGTGCAATTTCCTTTCTGAAAGTACAATCAGATACCATATGTCCTGTATTTTGAATTGATGCACTGTTCTGAGCACAGTATACCTAGTATGTTGAAACATGTCAACATTAAAACCAGGTCATCTATACTAATTGTTTATATGTTACTAGAACCGGACTTGTGTATTAGGAATCCATCCTAGGAAGTTTACTGAAAATTAATGAAACTGCCCACAAGGACACTGGATCCCATTTTCTTTGTATTATAAAACTTAAGTTCTCTGTTAGCACGCTCTCGGTTGTAAAATATTTTACAGAAAGTCTTCACATCATGTTCCAAAATCGACATTAAGTTGTCTTTCCTATCACTTTTTCAAATTTTCATGGCAATCCATTGACACTCCTACAGTTATCTATTGATTATTATTAGATACTAAAAAACAAGGTAACAATCACATCTTACCTCAATCTGATCGTTTTTTACATCAACGAATGGACCAAGCTACAAAGAAAATGAACGATTAGATCAATGCTTTAATGTATAATCATGAAGAAAAATATTGAGACTTTGAGCGATAACACTCTAAATAATTTCTGTTGTAATGATATACAGTGGAACTTCTCCAAACTGACCATGCATGAGACATGAATATTTGACCAGCTGAGGAATTTTTGGTTTGCAGCAGTGAACCAACTTAACTGGTCCAGACTTGGATATAATTAAAGCGATTCCATTTTATATCAACCAGTCTGTTCTCTGTTTGCCAGTTCTGTTCTGTATATCACATTAACCATTCCGTTCTCTATCAGCATTTACATGCCCTCCATATGCTGCATATTTTATTGATTAAAAATATTTATATTTGTAAGTGTCAAAATAACATTATAACTTAGATGCAAAACTACATGGTGGGAAAGTTGCACTGTACATGATTTACAAAGATCAGTGTTTTGTATATAATAATCAATTATGAAGAGTTCCCCAATCTGGAGCTACAGTCTGATTTGGTCCAGTGGCAAGAAAGAGTAGTACATCTCACCAATATACAGACATCTGGGGAGTCTCGGTTGATGTATTTACACAGGTCTGTCAGAGGTTCGTAAGCCAAATTATCCGAAGTTGTAAATGGTCCTGTCGCAACTATTACACTTAGTTTTCCTGAAAACAAAATACTGTACAGATTCCAGACAAAGAGATCAAATTACATAATTACATTCAAGAAAAATACTGATACAATTGCAGTACACATCTCTTACCACTTTTAATATGGAAAAATGTGAGGCTTTAAAATTTTTATTTAATTCAGTATTTCAGCTTCCTAACAAAATTTCAGTCATCAGAAGTTCAAATGAGTAAAATACTGATATCTTAATGCTTACTGAGTTGTCATGGTTTCAAAACAGTTGGTTCTATTTCTGGTCTATCTGTAATTATCACCAGATTTCCCAACAATAAACTTTAGTAGACATCAGATACTTCCATGGAATCAACTCCGGCAATTTTTATAAGGAGTGTAAAAGTGATGAATTTGTTATGTTGACAAAATCAATAGCAGATCTGTGTAGCTTTGTTACCATGAAGTAGATTTAAATGTACGGATGACAGAGGCAGCTGGCCAATATGCCCTGTAAATGATTCCTAGATATCATAGTAAATTTTCACTTCTTAATTACTGATTGAAATATACTGTGACTCTAAATATATTGGTATCCGTCGGTTGTAAGTCTGGAGTACTCTTAAATCCTCTTGTAGTTAGTTCTCCACGAGTAGCAGGTTATGATTATTTTTGTGACACAATATGGTAATAGTTACAGTTGTAGTAATGGTGGTTCGAATAATGAAGATTGACAGGTATCTGTTAATATGTGACAATTCATGGAAACTGCTCGAGGGCGGAGCTCAGTGTGAGAACACCCCCAGCAGTGACAACCTCACCCCTCGGCTCAGGGCTGGGGGTAAACTAAAGATGAGGATGAATTTTTACACAAGGCCGGCATAAGGGACAGGCATCATGTGCTCTCCGTAGAAGTGAACCCATGTGCTGAACCACGACGCATCCCTGAATCCATAATTGTTACGAAATAAATAATCAAATAACGACAGTTATTAATACAAATAAACGTAACAAAAATAAATGGAGTGAAAAAACACAACTCCAACAAACAAATACGAACGAAAGCAAAAGCTAACGAAACGTAAAAAAGCAAAGCAAAATATACGGTCGAATAAATAATACGACCGATAAAAAGCGAAAAAAAAAACTTCACGAAAAAACCGAACAGCGCAAAACACGTAGATACGCGCTCGGTGCGTGGAGTATAGCAAAATGGCCGAACAAAGGCCGAACAAAGGCCGGCCGATTGAGGCCTAAAAGCAATATATTAACTAAATAAACGTCTGCAAAAGACTGTTATAGTTAAGGATGGGTTTAAAGCAATAAACCGATATATAAATAATAGGCTATAAGGTAGACTTAAGCTAAAAGGAAAAGGAAGGCACTCAGCTGAATATAGCACGTCCGCCCGCTCTGGTAGCCATAAAGATAAGAGGAAGGGAAATAACTCTATGTTCATGACGTGAAGGCTCATGGTCGTAGGGAGGGCGGGATTTTTGAATCTTTTGTTTTTGGGATACAAAGATGGGTGTAGGTACCATATTTGCATACTAAAGTTATGGTAATTATTACTGAAATGAAAACTAATTTTTACACAGAATGAAACAGTTATTCGCAATGGTACAAACTTGGATATCAATCTGTTTGTGAAATGATAAATAAACTTATCATAAACTTATAAGTAGAAGGAACTTATCATGTTCCTTACAGTGATTTGTAACAAAATTCCTTCAGTTTTGTTATAATATTTCCATGTCTTTGTTCAGATCCAAATACTGTGATAAGGTGAATAACTGTATAATACTTTATTGTAGGTGAAGCATGACTTCACCTTGCTGAGGTATCACAAACTTCACATCTAAAAAAATCAAGTTTTACCTGCTTCTGACTTCACAGCTACATCTGGTAGAGGAAGACTGACACCCTTCAAATGAAGCAAAAAAGCATCAAGTAGATATCACAGTTTTGGACAGACAACTGAAATCCAAGAGGATTCTTGGCGCCCACCATTGTTTGAACTTCATGTTCTTTAAAAATTGGATCTTTTCACTTCTTAACTTTTATTTGCTCTTAATTGTATGGAATTTACAAATTCCTCATAAGAAATAATAATAATCTTTAACTATCAATTAAAACATGGTCACCTGTTAGAAATTAACAAACCTTCATCCTACTTTAAGCTATTGTTATGTCCCTTCAATGTGAGTTATATACTTTCCAAATATACTAAAATATATCTTAAATTTCTCCACTAACCTCCTCCCCGTATGAATCTCCTATTAAATAAAAAATTTCCTAAATGTATTTTTAACTGTCAAATACAAAATGGAAATAATAACAGACTTCAACCATTGGTTCCTTGATCAGTTTCAAAATTAAAATGGTGCAACTAAAGTGCCAGCATATGAAGTTTGAGAAAAATCCTTCAGTTCTTCTCAAGAAATATTGATAACAAGAATGGCTTACAGAGGGACTATGGACAAAAAGTGATTTGAATAGAAATTAATATAAGCACTCTAAGATGCCTGATCACAACTACGAACAAAAGTAAAACAAGATACTGGCTAATCAAATGACCAATCGGAACCTTCATACAATATACTTAAAAAAAAATCATGAAGACTTATATATCTACAGAAATATCAATGAGGAACAACAGATAATGCATTTGTATATTCAATGTCCCAAAACAATGACAGGTGCTAGACATTTACCTGATGTAACTTCTTTGCAACAAACTTTTGCCCAGTAATGTTTATTCCATCCAAAGCAACAATCTGAAATGGACCAGTGACATTTTGATAGAAGTACAGATATAATTTAAGCTGTTTTGATTGTAGTAGATCTGCAAGTAGACAGTGTTCACTTAATGACATATTATCATTCCTATATATCAAAACTTGCAAAAAATACAGTAAAAACATCAATGTGACATTAAAAACATACTGTACGAGGGCCAGCAGTGACAGGTTATGCTCCCCGATTGGGACAAAATTCAAGAATGAAATATAATTAAGGGCATAAGAAAGTTATGATTCTTGTGCACTACCCCCTATCTCCGAAGGAAGTTTCATGTCATTACCTCTTATAGTTTTTAATGCACAAAATTTAACTATGCAAAATTATAAAGGGCAATAACTCCTAAATTATGCAAAAGTGAATAATGGTTCTTAGGCACTGTACTTCTTGCTCTGATCTATCTACCTATGAAGTTTATGCTGATACCTCTTATAGTTTTTGGGTTATGCCTCAGACAGAATTAAGATGGATGGACAGACAAAGCAGTGACTAAATGCTTTCCCTTCATAATGAGTGCAGGTACTTTTTGGGGTTGAAAATAACGACAAAATGCTTCCACTTGCATAATGTGCATACCCAAAAATTCAGTCTAAAAAAATCTCTGAAGCCAAGAAATCAATCACAGAATGTTCAACTAACATTGGTTGATTCCTTACTATCACATACACTACCTATGTCAGCGCTTGTAAACTCAACACTGGTCATCTGATGAAGATGACTGTGTAGTAATTGAAACTGTTTGTCTTATAAGAACTCCTATTCTATTGACATAACCAACCTGAAGTAAATGTTCCAAAATAAATGTGCATACCGCCCCTCCCACCCGCCACCCAACTTTGGACCTGTTTTTTTCTCAAAAGAAAACTGCACACATTTAGTGGGTTTTTATGGAAATGCTGTCATGCAGTGAATTCAATCATGTGACATTTCTGCATATCAACGAATGTTACAAGTGTAGTATAACCTGGAACATTTGTCATAAGTTGCATCATTCTGAAATTAATTGTGATGACTTAATAAGGACATAATGTCATACCAAATTGAAAACTGACTGCCTTTGTTTGATTTTGTCTTCCACATTTCGACTTTGAAACCAGTCAAGACTTACGAAAATAAAAATTTCCAAAATTTGTTTCATAAAATCTCATATGAAATGAACATTGATTTAAGGTAATACTTGAAAAATATCATTTTCATAATAAAAAACAATTTGCTATCTTGATGTCAGTGATATCCAAAATAAGAAATGAGAATAACAAAAGACCTCCAAATTACACAGTTAAAATGTCTGGATGCTGTATTAGCAACAGGGCTACTTGGTCACTAGTGATGACAGCAGTGATAACATACCTGTCCTGGGAAAAGTGAAAACTCTTGGAGCTCAGTCAGATCAACAGGGATACACCTGCCAGCAGATGTTTCCTGGGAGCCCTCCAATATCACAGACTTTGCGTTCAGCTTGCCAATACTGTCACAGCCAATCCGTCCCACAACGGTGACAGGCTCCTGGACAGGTAAAGCTACATGGGACAAGTCCTCTATCTTGTGCTGCTCTTGGAGCTGTTCCGCAAGGTCTTCAATCATATCATTGAGAACTGGAATGGTGAATGACATAGATACATATACCGGCAATAATGAATAACAGATCTTGTGTCCAAGTTAAAGGCAAATGCGACCTGCACCTTTTTTTCCAAAACAATTTGATGCGACTAAAATGTTATTTATGTTTGAAAGGTATGATTTCCTGCATAACTACATTTTAGATAGATTTCTGAGTATTGAGCAGTGTCCTTTTAATTTTTATCTTTAAAGTCCCTCATTAATTGTGAACTTATATGCCAAGAATGTACTGTAAGTGAATCCATACCTGAAACAAAAAACCAGTGACTAGTAGTGTAGGAAATAAAGCCTAGATTAACTTTTTTTTCTCTGATGTAGGCCATTGATCAAAATGTTTGTAAAAGTGACTTACTTTGGATACACAACACACTACCTTATTAAGATGAACCCATATCCTAACTATTAAGTTCCAGTGACTTATAGCATAGGAGATAGCACCTGGACAGTTTTTTTCTTTGATAAGGATCAATTATAAAAATGGAAGTCAGTGACCTACCTTTGATACATGAAAACTGCCGCTCTAAGGTGAACCCATATATTAAATAGAAAGTTCTAGTTACAAGTAGTATATAGGAGAAAGAGCCTGAACATGACAGTGAAAGGACATACACAATGCCAAAACTATAGTCCCCATGTTTCTGATGGGGGACTAAGGTGTTATACTCAAAACGAACAGGATGAGGGACACCTACAGGTACTTATCTGCCTGATATATAAAACATTTAAGCCCACTTAGATTAACCTTGTTATTTCAAACAAACAAAAAAGAGGATAAATTTGAAGTACCTACCATTAGCTTTTTCAGTTAACTTTTGAAACATGTACTTGAAATGTGGTTCCATTGCATTTCTAGAATCATAATATGCTATGTGTACATCATGACCTTGACCCTTCCAGTTAGTGTTGTCATTGATCCCCAGTGAAGCAACATTTTCTCCAGCATTTGACCTTGAGCTGAACTTCTTTGAGGGAGTTATCCTAAAACCAAACATATTTTTAATCAAACTTCTTCAGGTTCTGTAAGAAATCTTGATACTATAAACAAGGATTTAAGTATAAAATATCAGTTTCAAACATTCATTACTTAAATTTCAAGTTCAATATCATTTAAAATATGATAACAAAGTCAAATGGTTAGTACCCTGGTGAGAAGCTGGCAGGGGAGAACGGAACCATTGGACTGCGGACACTGTTTGTAAATCGTTTGACTGGTGGATTATCAGGAGTCAGCTGGCGCTTCTGTGATGCTGCAATTTTTTTGGAATTTGATGGTGTGGAAGCTCCTGAGTAAGCATTGTAAAGTTCAACAGCCTCATTCTCATCAATGCTGGGTGTTATCAAGGATGAATACAGCAAAACTTATGATTTAGCATGTAAAATGTACTTACCAGTGGTACATTTGATTGACAACACAAATGTGTGTAAATATTTCACATGTCTACATAAAGTAAAGGATACCCATTTTGAACAGTGTTGACATCATACACAGTTGGGCCAGACTTTTTAACTTGTGGTGTGCGAGGAGTTTTCTTGTTGAGTCTCTGCAAGCATGAATCAAACAAATTAGATGTCTTTTTAAAGACTTATAGATAACATTGTCTGTTTTAATATTAGAGGTCCCTTCAACAAGTGCAACCCTATAACAATAATGATTAAGAAACACTGTTATTTATACCGCTATTTTAAAAGAGGAAACTTAATTTATTTTTAAGATTATACAAAACTGAAGAGGTCCATGGATCTCATTCATCTGACAATTAAACATCCAGAAGAATTAGTACCCAAATGGAGTATCTAGTTGAAAGAAACAAGAGGCCAAATGGGCCTGTATTGCTCATCTGGATACTTCCACTCTGAACTTAAAACTAATTTTGTTCACAATTACATTGTTACATTTTTTCCTCAAAAAGATAAGGAATTGTAAAAAATTTGACCAAATACCAACAGAACATCATAATCTTAAACTCTTACCTTAAATTTTCCATATTGGGTCCTGCTCCACTGCAGAGAGCATGATTTGTTAATACAAAAATAAGTCCCTTTCACCCACAGATATTTGAAGCAGTAAGGCAAAAAATAGTTACAATTTTGTCCCTTGCATTATTGCATCATAATTATACAAAGCAAGCATTGGTATTGTAATTCACCAGTGTAAATAAAGCTTTGCAATACAGTCAAACTCCATTAACTCCCAAGTTGTCTGGGTTGTGAAGGCTTTGAGAAAAATGAATATTGGAGTTCTAGTTTCAAAGTTTTCTATAAGATTTTGTATTATATATAGCTATTTTAGGTTATTTGGGGCATATATATCTGCCATTTGGGGCGGAAATGCAAAATAGTATCTTTTTTTGTTAACCCCAATTTAGAAAGTTTTCCCAATTCTGAGGTTATTTGGGGCATTGAAAATTATGGTGTGAGAGCCCTAAACAGGCATTCCAATTTCTAGCAACAGAAAGAGGAAAACAATTCAGCAATTTATTCAAGACTTATATGTAGTTTATGAAGGGGATTTAAAGGGATGTCAATTAGATAAAAATTACTATCTGAATATCTGTCTGATTAGATATTAAAATATTTGTTTTTATGTTAATTCCATATGGTATGCATGGTTCACTCTAAATGGGCAGTCGTTACAGCCTAAGTCTACTGTACAATAACAATGTTTTGCCAATACAGAACAGAATGGAACCTATAGTGACTTGATGTTTTCAATATGATGACTATTACACACAACTAGTTATACTGAAAATGTTAAGCTTTAAGAAATAAGATCAATTTCTAGTCCAATGAATTATTTAAACATATAAGTGACTTATTTATCAATATAATAATCATTTAAGTAAGTCATAGCATAACTTGTTTCACTGTTCATGTACTTACGAAAATAACGCTAAATCTACATCTGGCACAATGGTGGACTTTATTTAGCTACAAGTATTAGGCCCAGAACAATGTCATTGCAAACTAAAGGTTAACAAAAGCTAATATTGAAAAGCTCTGTCATACTACACTTCTTATTGAAATTGGCAAGGATAATTTCTCTCATAATGATCAACATGTTCATCATTATTCACGAAGCTCTCAACGTCAACGTAGCAATCTAATGAGCACTACAGACCATACAAAAGCAATAAACATCGGTAAAACGTCACACTTGAAATTTGCTTGTCTTTTATTTTTTCACTTTATGGTAACTGATGTAGTGTTCTTCGGCTTTCTCTATTGATATTTAAGTCTTTTGAACACATTAGTCTGAGTACCAGACTAAGGGTGTGATTTCAGCTGTGCAGGGACATTTACATTGAGTGCTAATAAATGACTTCCTGTAAGCACTGTTTCTTATATGAACATGTTTTTATTGTGACAGACTGATTTTCTTTTCACAAACTAAGTGGTAATGGGGCATAGGGAGTTTGACCAGGAGTTTTATATAAGACAACAAAAGGACCCCAATGGAAATAAGCGTATATTATTACGCTTTTTGGGCTATTCTTGGATAGATTTGTTCAACATATATCAGCTGTCTTTATTGTGATTTAATGTTCCGGTGTTGCATGTTTTATTTATGTCAATTTTTCACCTTATGCACTATGTAACATGTATTTTATTTATCATGCTTTGTATACATTTGTGCAAATCTTTCCTGAATAAATTTATTATTATTATTATTATTATTATTATTATTATAAACCAACAAAGTACTTTGAGTTAAACAAGGTTTTCAAGTTTGAAGTAACAAAGTTTGACTGTATATGATAAGCAATGTTGTCCATATATGGCAATCCTTCAACACAAACCTCTCTGTCAAACTGATCCAACACTTCACAGCTAAGAGTCATGTTTCCTTTGGATTTCTTTGTATTAAAGAAAGCTATCCATTCTGTGCTGATTTGGGATGCATCTAGTCGGTACAGGACACACAACTCTTTTACTGAATAAAATATCGAAAATTATCATTGAATAGAAACTGCCGGGTATTAGGAACCTATGTATATTAAAGTCATACTATAGATTATAAGCTACTGACAAATTATGATATCTTTACATCAGTAACATTCCAACACATCAATGCAAGCTAACAATGCTTGAATGCCACGGGATGCCATGGTTATACCGTATTGTCGTGATTGTCATACACGATTTTTGCAATAAATCGCGTATGCTTTGGGAAATCGAAAGTATTCGACAACAGTTCCGTGTGGTTTCATTGAGCATCAATGTGCAGAATTGGATGCTAGATGCTTTTTTAACCATATTGATACCGCAATGTACCGCGGACTTACCAAAAGTGCAACTTATACAAACTAACATTGATAATGTTCATATAAATACGTTTTCACTTACATTTGTCTATCACATCTTGATTTTCAAGATCTACGCCAAAAATTGAAAATTCGTCCTTCAAGTCTTCGTCTGATGCCATTTCTTCACACAGATACCACAAGCCTTGTCAAAATTTATTCTTTCCCGCGTAATATTTTGTATACATCCGGTTGCCGCTTGTTTTGTTAATCTTTTAAAAACAAAGCAATGTATTCATGTATTTAAATGAGAACATTTTATATCATTTTACATTTCTTTTCACAATAAAAAAGATATTTTGGGACGAAGTTTTTGAAATTATTATTCTTAATTTATAGGTCCGCACTGAAGCTTCCTAAGTTTCAAGATGGACGACTGCAATCTAGAAAAGTTAGCTGTCAAACCTGGAAAATTGACCCCAGTATTCAACAAGGATACTACAGAATATGCTGTGACCGTTGCAAGCAATGTGGAAAAAATCCGAATTGATCCGCTCACAAGTGACACCGGTGCATCTTATTCTATATCTGTACGATTATTTTTCTCACGTCGGTCAGCAAACGGTAGAACAATTAAGCAAACATGACCCTGACCTACACTGAACATGTATGAATTAATACTTTCGATTCCTGTCGTACAAAACTAAGCTCTTCTCACATGAAACAAAGTTTTTAAGGTCTGTTAATTAAAAAATAAGCAGCTCCAACTTATATGTACACTTTCAGCTGCCAAATATGTAGCTGTAAAATCACTCAAACAATGATAGAATATATACATAAATGTTCAAGGCAAGAAACTTGCGACAAATTTGCCAATAGCAACAGGCGGATGGTGATCTCTTATATGTATAAGATTATTGTAGAATTTTCTTTTGCTGTACTGCAGAGTTGTCAGATCTTTAGATTTCCCCAAGCTTCAATGATTTATTTATCATGAAAAACATGAAAATTTGAAAATGTATATTGTGATCAGATGGTGTCTTATTAAGTACATCTTTGAAGAATGGTCATTAATCAGAAGGAGATGCCTACTTTGTAGGGCACTGAGGAGAAAAGATTGTGCTTTAATACTAACTTGTTCAGGTGTTTACTTAATTTGTAGGGAAGTGGAGGAGAGAAGGAGGTTGGTCTACCAGAAGGAGTTGTAACTGATATCAAAATAGAAGTCACTTCAGAAGATGGCACTGTGAAAAACTATTTCCTCCATGTGAAACGCCTCTCGGCTAAAGATGCTGTACTTAGTGACCTTAAGTTTTCTCAAGGATGTCTCATGCCTGAGTTTGATTCTGCAGTTACCACTTACTCTTGTAAGTTACATATGGCAATATATATAGCCTCAGCAGTAATACAGTTATGTTGAGAGTGACAAAAATATCCTGATTTCCATTAACTCTGTCATGGCAAGGATCTGTTGATTTCAGTTGACCTTGACATTGTTCTGGTGTAAAGATTATTGATTACTGTTACATGATTATAACATGGTTAAGATTAGAGATTATCATTAGCTGTTGATTCAGCTATGGCTACAGTCACAAGATTCTGAGGTGGTTTGTTGGGGCCCGATAAGACAATGATCTGTAGTGATGTGTTGACCCTGACATAGCTAGGATCTTTAGCAACCAAATGACCCTGACATGACTATGATCTGTAGTGGTCTGATGACCATGACATGACTAGGTTTTTTGTTGATCCAGGCATAGCTATATAATCTATATTGTTTTGTTGACCCTGACATGGCTCTAAGATCTTTAGTGGTGTGTTGTGACTGACATGACATGGATCTGCAGTGCTCTGTTGACCCTAACATGGTTGTAGGTCTGTAGTGTTCAGCAAACCCTGATTTGGTGGTCTGATGAACTGTCATGACATGGATCTGCAGAATTCTGTTGACCCTGATTTGACTTTAGGATCTTTATTGGTCTAACGACCCTGACATTGTTATAGGATATGTAGTAATCTGATGACCTTGACATTGCTAAAGAGTCCTAAGTGTTCTCTTGACCCTGACATTGCTATAGAGTCTATAGTATTCACTGGACTCTGACATTGCTATAAGATCTGTAGTGGTTTGATGATTCTGACATTGCTATAGAGTCTGTAGTGTTCTCTGAACTCTGACATTGCTATAGAGTCTGTTGTGTTCTCTGGACCCTGACATTGCTATAGAGTCTGTAGTGTTTTCTGGACCCTGACATTGCTATAGAGTTTATAGTGTTCTCTGGACCCTGTCATTGCTTTAGGATCTGTAGTGGTTTGATGACCCTGACATTGCTATAGATTCTGTAGGGTTCTCTGGACCCTGACATTGCTATAGAGTCCATAGTATTCACTGGACCCTGACATTGCTATAGAGTCTGTAGTGGTTTGATGACCATGACATTGCTATAGAGTCTGTAGTGCTATAGAGCTAGGATCTTTATTGGTCTGTTGAAACTGACATGACATGGATCTGTAGTGTTGAGCCTGACATGACTGTGATCTGTCGTGGTCTGGTGACCATGATGAACACTAGGATCTGGAATGGTGTGGTTACCATGACATGCATTTGTAGTAATCTGTTGAGACGACATGACATAGATCTGCAGTGTTCATTTGACCCTGACATGGCTGTAAGTTTGAATCGTCTGATGATCCTAACATGGTTGTAGGATCTTTAATGCTCTGCTGACCCTTACATTAGACTTGATTCTGTAGTGTTCTGTTGACTGTGACAATGCCTGGATACTTAAAATTTTGCTCACCATAGCTGTTGTACATTATGTCACTTTCAACTAATAAAGCTATGTTGAAAGTGACATAAACCAATGGAATCTATAGATTTCTGTTGACCCTTGCTGATATAGCCTGGATGAGTAGATTTTTGTTGACCCTCGCTGACATAACTAGGCTTAGCAGAGTTCTGTTGATGCTCACTGACATGGTGAGTTTTGATTGATTTCTGTTGGTCCTCACTGACATGGCTAGGATTAGTAGATTTCTATTAACCCTCCAGACACAGTGAGGATGAGAAGATTTAAGTTGACCCTTGCTGACATGGCCAGCATTAGCAGATTTCTGTTGACTGTCACTAACATGGCTAAGTTTAGTTGATTTCTGTTGACTGTCACTAACATGGCTAAGTTTAGTTGATTTCTGTTGACTGTCACTAACATGGCTAAGTTTAGTTGATTTCTGTTGACTGTCACTAACATGGCTAAGTTTAGTTGATTTCTGTTGACTGTCACTAACATGGCTAAGTTTAGTTGATTTCTGTTGACTGTCACTAACATGGCTAAGTTTAGTTGATTTCTGTTGACTGTCACTAACATGGCTAAGTTTAGTTGATTTCTGTTGACTGTCACTAACATGGCTAAGTTTAGTTGATTTCTGTTGACTGTCACTAACATGGCTAAGTTTAGTTGATTTCTGTTGACTGTCACTAACATGGCTAAGTTTAGTTGATTTCTGTTGACCCTTGCTGACTGGACTGGTTTAGTTCAGAGTAGGTATTGAATCCATGTGTCTGTCTTCTAACATGATATTGATTTCTGTACTGACAGTTTTTTGTCTGTTGACTGTCACATAAGTTTAGTTGATTTCAATGGCTAAGTTTAGTTGATTTCTGTAACACAACCAGTAGAAGATTGGAGTGTGACATTTCTGTAGTCATCAAAATATCATGCTCAAATTTTTTACCGGTTATGTTATAAGAACTTTTATACAATGAAAGGTCTAGAAGATTGGAGTGTGACATTTCTGTAGTCATCAAAATATCATGCTGTTACCTTTTATTCTACTGACATTACCAACCTGAAGATGTTTTGAAATAATTTTTTGTCTTTAAAATTTATGTTATTATTCAGCAATAATCTATTCCATATAGGTGTATTACCATGCAATGTGGCCAGTGTCACTGCTAAACCAGTTGCACCAGACCCCAAAAATGTCGTTTTGGTATGTGGGGAGAAGCCTGGAACAGCCTACCCACTAAATGTGGGAGAGACCAACATCCAGATAGAAGTGACGTCTGCTGATGGTTCTAACAAACAGGTAACAATGGCAGCTATTGTTTACTTTAAATGGAACAACAATTGATAGGTAATATTTGTATTTATTCACCATTGATCAAATATTGCTGTAAAAAAAATTTTTAAGCTATATTTTGTATTGAGTTTTTCCAAGCAAGTACACATGGCAATGTTTGGTAGACTATAACATACTTTAAAGTTTACTCATTCTAATCATTTCATACACAGGATACTCAGTCATCTTAACTACACTCAGTTCATACACACCAAGTTATGTATGGGAGTTGCTATGATGGTTTAACATGCCTCTGTATCATGTAATATCACAAATTTCTGTGTCTTTTTCAAACACAAGACCTACAGTATTGACATACTGAGGAAGCCTATGCCCAGATATGCCAAGTTTACAGACCCTGAATTGGCACAGAAGTATGAGTGTCCCATATCACTCTCACCTCTCTACCGACCCATCTCCATTCGGGGGAGTGAGCCAAAACACACCTACTCTGCTCCAAACATTGATGCCATGACTCGCACTTCTAAAGTGGATCCCATCAGTGGTATGACACTTATGGGTGATTGGAGGATAGTCGACATTGCCATGGAGAAACAAATGGCTGCTGCACTAACAAACATCCCACTGACATATGGAGGTATATCACAATATTATTTTTCTGATTAAAAGTCACAGTATTTATTAATCAATTGTGTATTGACCTTAAATTCTTGAATGCTCGATAAAAAACTTACTTGTTCAACATGTATTTTTTTATATAAATACTCACTGTAAATTTATGGTGAGAAATTATTTTGTGAAATTGTGTGTTGATATTAAATCAATACTATTTGTTCCCTGTGTTTAAGGTACATCAGATGCTCTTAAGTTTGGAGAACTAGCTGCAAGTATTGAAAAGTGTAATGTGGAACCTAAAGTTGAGGTAAACATTTTTTTTCAAACTGTAGTATAATTGGGCATGGTAAACACACCTTTATACAGCAGTACAGTGTAACACTTAAAGTCAAGGTAAACACACCTGTATACAGTAGTACAGTGTGTCACCTAAAGTCAAGGTAAACACACCTGTATACAGTAGTACAGTGTAACACCTAGTCAAGGTAAACACACCTGTATACAGTAGTACAGTGTGACACCTAAAGTCAAGGTGAACACACCTGTATACAGTAGTACAGTGTGTCACCTAAAGTCAAGGTAAACACACCTGTATACAGTAGTACAGTGTAACACCTAAAGTCAAGGTGAGCACACCTGTATACAGTAGTACAGTGTGACACCTAAAGTCAAGGTAAACACACCTGTAACAGTAGTACAGTGAGACACCTAAAGTCAGGGTAAACACACCTGTATACAGTAGTACAGTGTGACGCCTGAAGTCAAAGTAAACACTTACAGAGACATAATGAAAGAAACAGTCAATTACATTTTTTGAAAATTTGTATTTGTGTCATTGCAGGATTTAAAGGATAAATTTAAGGACTCTTCAGCAACATTAGCACACTCTGTCAAGGTATGTATTACAAGAAACATAATTTTAGGTGTGTATAGAACTGAATAAGAAAATCTCACATAGGAAAATTTCTTTTGTGGACACAGAATCTGTAACATACTCTGAAGTGTGGTGAAACTTGTGGTTTGGATGTCATGGAATCTTGGCCTGAGAAACAGGTTTTCATCTTATTTTCTCCTGCTTTGCTAATATCAAAAATACATAATATTACCACAGTTGGTTTTTCAGCCAATAGGGCCTCTCTACTACTACTTAATAATATAGTCTAAAAAGGGGGTATCAAATATGTTTCAATACTGACCTAAAGTTAAAAATGAGGAGCATTTAATATGTTTCAGCACTGATGTTTACATTGCTTAGTGAAATTAAGTGTCAGGTGTCTGGTAAAGGTGCTAGACAATTCAGACAAGGATCTAACACCAGATATCACAAGGGATATCCTTGTCTTAGTTTACACTATATATACATGTTACATCTGTCTGTACATTTCCTATTGTTTTTGCTTAATGAAAAGGTACGTGGATGGGAGAAGAATTTACAACAGATTTTCGGAGAGAACAAAGTTGATAAATTAGTTGGACAAGCAAAAGATGAAATCAAGACCTATTTCACAATTCTACCAAAACCAGGTTAGTAATTCTTTTTCATAACCAACAGTTATTTTCATATACTTTACAAATTTCGATGTTTCATAGTGTGTTGATATATGTTTGCTTGTGTATACTCTATGAAGTAGATATGATATTTATAAAACTTTCCATCAACAAGTAAATGTCCACTTTTTACAGTGAATGATATATCACATGTATTATAATAAGAGCATACAATAATTTCATAAAATTAGAGTTATATGTAATAATCACATTTATCATTTTATTACAGCAGAATATGTAATAATCTGAATAGTAATAAGTAATTACAGAAACATATATGATTTTATTACAGTAGAACATGTAATAATCTTATATGTAATAATCACATTTATCATTTTATTGCTGTAGAACATGAAATTATCTTATATCAAAACATGTGATAATTACAATAGGACATATATTGTGTTATAGTAGGACATATACTGTAGTTATTTGGCAGTAAGCCCAGACCCAGTAGTAATTAGCCCCCACACACATTCTGCAGTCTCATCACAAATGTCAGCCAATGCTCTATCATTATGTCCAGATTTTTGTGTCCCCAACAGGTCAGTCTAAACAGTGGTCAGAGGGACAGGGGCCTCTAGATTGTCTCCTCAGGGCTGCACATTGTTATGCTGTAGCCATCTCAAACAAGCCTAAAGATGCCAATCTGCACTTACAGCTAGGCATGGTTCTTGAGGAGCGGTATTATGCCGAGGATATGTTTGGTCTTAAAAAGGAGGTGAGTAGGAGGATTAAAGCTACTTATCTAGGATTTCACCTTTAAAGTGTGCATGATAACCTTGACTTGGGTTATATACCTGTTATTGATGCAGTTACAGGTACCTAATCATTAATTCATGCACATATAACTGTAAAGTAAATTGTTCTCAATATCATCTATCTCAGTCATTTGATGCTCGCCACCTGTGGCAGTTTGTGAGAAACAGACCTGTCTGTGATATTGTGGTTGTGTCCTTGGGCTAGACATTTTTTCTCCAATTGCTCAGGTTGGCATGTGACAGGCTCCCTGTATGTTTTTTTTTGTGAGGAAGCAACCAGTCACTACACAGAGACCCACCACAAAATGACCCTGACTGTTCATGGGATTTAAACCCAGCAAATATATCACCATCCAGTACACAACTTACAAATATTACCTGTATCTGATAAATAAAAACTGATTTAATTGTTTAAATAAAATTGATTTTTTTGTTCTCTAGGAGTCTGATTCTCTGCCATCCATGAACTTAGATGCAAAAGAGAGTTCGAAATCAGAGGAGTGTGCTGCTATTTGTAAGCTTCATGGTGTTGATGCGGACACAGCTCCTCTAGCCCTCCAATTGAAGGCTATAGATGAAGAATACCAGCAGCTCAACCAGAATGGCCAGAGTTCGAAGGCTGACCATGTCATGGGACTGTTTGTCTGGAAGTCAAAACAAGCCAAACCGGTGAGTGATACATGGCAGTGATGTAAGGGCATTAGTTAAACTTAACATTATCATTAATCACAAATAACAGGGGTCAAGTTTCTTAAGAGGAGAAAGTAAAAGAAGTAGAGCTACATGAATCAGTTTAATAAAGTACATTTTTATTCCCCAGGAAGGTGCTGCAGCCCAGAAGGCTGAGGATGAGGAGTCACCACTAGGACAGGCCTACCTTAAGTATATGGATGCACTTGTCCTGGATGAGCCCAAAGCTGTGTACAATTTCCATGTGGGACGTATGCTTGTCATACAGGGAAAATATACTGATGCCATCTCACGATTGGAGGTCACCTTAAACTGGAATCCTCAGTATCAGTTAGCCAGGTATATATACTGTCCTACATAGGATTAAACAGGACAGCATCACATAGTTACAACTCCTAGCTAGCTAGGTATATATACTGTCCTACATAGGATTAAACAGGACAGTATCACATAGTTACAACTCCTGGCTAGCAAGATATATATACTGTCCTACATAGGATTAAACAGGACAGCATCACATAGTTACAACTCCTAGCTAGCTAGGTATATATACTGTCCTACATAAGATTAAACAGGACAGTATCACATAGTTACAACTCCTGGCTAGCAAGATATATATACTGTCCTACATAGGATTAAACAGGACAGCATCACTTAGTTACAACTCCTAGCTACCAAGGTATATATACTGTCCTACATAGGATTAAACAGGACAGTATCACATAGTTACAACTCCTGGCTAGCAAGATATATATACTGTCCTACATAGGATTAAACAGGATAGTATCACATAGTTACAACTCCTGGCTAGCAAGGTATATATACTGTCCTACATCGGATTAAACAGGACAGCTTCACATAGTTATAACTCCTGGCTACCAAGGTATATATACTGTCCTACATAGGATTAAACAGGACAGCTTCACATAGTTACAACTCCTGACTAGCTGGGTATATATACTGTCCTACATAGGATTAAATAGGACAGCATCACTTGGTTACAACTCCTGACTAGCAAGGTATATATACTGTCCTACATAGGATTAAACAGGACAGCATCACTTGGTTACAGCTACTGGCTAGCCAGTTACATATACTGTCTTATGTAGGATTAAACAGGACGTCATCACACAGTTAGAACTCCTGGCTAGTCAGTTATATATTTAAAAAAATATATTCTGTGTAACCATTAAAAAACTGAAAATTTGTTTCTCTGCTTAACTTCTTTGTAATTGTTAATCTAGTACAAAATGTACTATATTTAGTCTACAATAAAATTGTACAATATGATATTATTTATCACATCAATACCCAATTACGGATGTAATAAGACCCATGACTTAAACTTTCGTTATTACGTATGTGTCATATGTGTAATATGACCTAGCGAGCTCCTATTGTCTGAAGGTTTCCGTTCTTTCTATTGTGACAGCATAGCTTCATGGTGCATGTCATATGCATTGTGATGACATAAAGAAGATTTAAAGTTAGAATATTGCTAGTTTAGATTTTGTTTCAATCTGGTAACATGACATTTTCTCAAATATTTGGAAAAATATGCAAGTTATGTGATAAATAAAATCTTTATTTTTGTTTCCATTTCACTTGACATTGATGATCTTCATTTTACCTCACCTGAAATAAAAATTCAAAGATACATTTCATAAATCTGAATAGAAACTAATGTATATACTTCTATATCTGTTTCTCTTAAACAGGTTTTACCTTGGCTTGGCCTTAGCCTTCCAGCCTGGAGGTCCAGGAGCCCGTACCAAGGAGACTGTAGGGTATCTGTTGGAAATCATGGAATCTCTGCTTCAAGCAAACACCAAAGACTCACTGTCTGCCGAGCAAGCATGGTAAATTATTCATTCATTGTAACACATTGGTTTATGTTGCAAAAATGATCGGCGACTTTGGATGGTATAAATATATCAAATAGATAATTCTATATAAAACAGGAAAGGCAATTAAAAGAAAATAGAGAAGAAATTTTTAAATCAAGAAAATCAGTGTTATTACCAAGCCATTGATGAGATAAAGGAAAAAATCCATTGAATATTGAAACAATATTTGAGGAAGCTATTGGAGGGGGACCATACCCTTTGACATCTTTACTGGTAAACTGCCATGGTATGAGGTAAAAATAATGCTGTTCTGTTCAAATGTTCTTATCGTTTTCAGGGAATTAAATCCTATCCTACATGCTGAAAACATTGTACGGTCTAGTAATGTGCATCTCCTACGTGGCATCATCAGTCTAGGGGTCCTACTCGCACAGAACCCTGACATTAAGGATTGTATGGCTGCACAAGATGTATTTCACACGTAAGTTTATCTTTACTTATCTAAACGACATGAATATCTTTATGTCAAACTTTGTTTTAATTTTAATAGTTGTTTTTCCATTTCCGATTAAACAAATTGTAAGATGACTGCAGAGATTAAGTGTGCATGTTTGAGGAATGTAGAGATTAACTATGACATGACTGTAGAGATTAACTGTGAGACTACTGTAGAGATTAACTGTGAGACTACTGTAGGGATTAACTGTGAGATGACTGTAGAGATTAACTGTGAGACTACTGTAGGGATTAACTGTGAGATGACTGTAGAGATTAACTGTGAGACTACTGTAGAGATTAACTGTGAGACTACTGTAGGGATTAACTGTGAGACTACTGTAGAGATTAACTGTGAGACTACTGTAGGGATTAACTGTGAGACTACTGTAGGTATTAACTGTGAGATGACTGTAGAGATTAACTGTGAGATGACTGTAGAGATTAACTGTGAGATGACTGTAGAGATTAACTGTGAGACTACTGTAGAGATTAACTGTGAGACTACTGTAGGGATTAACTGTGAGACTACTGTAGAGATTAACTGTGAGATGACTGTAGAGATTAACTGTGAGACTACTGTAGAGATTAACTGTGAGATTGACTGTAGACTGTAGAGATTAACTGTGAGACTACTGTAGAGATTAACTGTGAGACTACTGTAGAGATTAACTGTGAGATGACTGTAGAGATTAACTGTGAGACTACTGTAGGGATTAACTGTGAGATGACTGTAGGGATTAACTGTGAGATGACTGTAGAGATTAACTGTGAGATGACTGTAGAGATTAACTGTGAGATGACTGTAGAGATTAACTGTGAGATGACTGTAGAGATTAACTGTGAGATGACTGTAGAGATTAACTGTGAGATGACTGTAGAGATTAACTGTGAGATGACTGTAGAGATTAACTGTGAGATGACTGTAGAGATTAACTGTGAGATGACTGTAGAGTATTAACTGTGAGATGACTGAGATGACTGTAGAGATTAACTGTAGAGATTAACTGTGAGATGACTGTAGAGATTAACTGTGAGATGACTGTAGAGATTAACTGTGAGATGACTGTAGAGATTAACTGTGAGATGACTGTAGAGATTAACTGTGAGATGACTGTAGAGATTAACTGTGACATGACTGTAGAGATTAACTGTGACATGACTGTAGAGATTAACTGTGAGATGACTGTAGAGATTAACTGTGAGATGACTGTAGGGATTAACTGTGAGATGACTGTAGGACTTAAGATTAACTGTGAGATGACTGTAGAGATTAACTGTGAGATGACTGTAGAGATTAACTGTGAGATGACTGTAGAGATTAACTGTGAGATGACTGTAGAGATTAACTGTGAGATGACTGTAGCGATTAACTGTGAGATGACTGTAGAGATTAACTGTGAGATGACTGTAGAGATTAACTGTGAGATGACTGTAGAGATTAACTGTGAGATGACTGTAGAGATTAACTGTGAGATGACTGTAGAGATTAACTGTGAGATGACTGTAGAGATTAACTGTGAGATGACTGTAGAGATTAACTGTGAGATGACTGTTGAGATTAACTGTGAGACTACTGTAGGGATTAACTGTGAGATGACAGTAGAGATTAACTGTGAGATGACTGTAGGGATTAAGTCTTGGTTTATCTGTTAGACTACTGTAGAGATTAACTGTGAGATGACTGTAGAGATTAACTGTGAGATGACTGTAGTGAGATTAACTGTAGATGACTGTAGATGACTGTATTAACTGTGAGATGACTGTAGATTAACTGTGAGATGACTGTATTAGACTGTAGAGATTAACTGTGAGATGAGGGTGAGACTTAACTGTGAGATGACTGTAGAGATTAACTATGACATGACTGTAGGGATTAACTGTGAGATGACTGTAGGGATTAACTGTGAGATGACTGTAGAGATTAACTGTGAGATGACTGTTGAGATTAACTGTAAGACTACTGTAGGGATTAACTGTGAGATGATGGTAGGGATTAACTGTGAGATGACTGTAGGGATTAACTGTGAGATGACTGTAGGGATTAACTGTGAGATGACTGTAGGGATTAACTGTGAGATGACTGTAGAGATTAACTGTGAGATGACTGTAGAGATTAACTGTGAGAATACTGTAGGGATTAACTGTGAGATGACTGTAGGGATTAACTGTGAGATGGGATTAACTGTGAGATGACTGTAGAGTAGGGATTAACTGTGAGATGAGATGACTGTAGGGATTAACTGTGTAGGGATTAACTGTGAGATGACTGTAGAGATTAACTGTGAGATGACTGTAGAGATTAACTGTGAGATGACTGTAGAGATTAACTGTGAGATGACTGTAGGGATTAACTGTGAGATGACTGTAGGGATTAACTGTGAGATGACTGTAGGGATTAACTGTGAGATGACTGTAGGGATTAACTGTGAGACTACTGTAGGGATTAACTGTGAGATGACTGTAGGGATTAACTGTGAGATGACTGTAGGGATTAACTGTGAGATGACTGTAGGGATTAACTGTGAGACGACTGTAGGGATTAACTGTGAGATGACTGTAGGGATTAACTGTGAGATGATTAACTGTGAGATGACTGTAGGAGATTAACTGTGAGATGACTGCAGAGATTAACTGTGAGATGACTGTAGGGATTAACTGTGAGATGTGACTGTGAGATAGTAGGATTAACTGTGAGATGAGGGATTAACTGTGAGATGATTAACTGTGAGATGACTGTAGGGATTAACTGTGAGATGACTGTAGGGATTAACTGAGACTGTAGGACTGTAGGGATTAACTGTGAGATGACTGTAGGGATTAACTGTGAGATGACTGTAGGGATTAACTGTGAGATGAGATTAACTGTGAGATGACTGTAGGATATTAACTGTGAGATGACTGTAGGGATTAACTGTGAGAGATGACTGTGAGATGACTAGGGATTAACTGTGAGATGACTGTATTAACTGTGAGATGACTGTAGAGATTAACTGTGAGATGACTGTAGGGATTAACTGTAGAGATTGTGAGATACTGTAGATTAACTGTGAGATGACTGTAGGGATTAACTGTGAGATGACTGTAGGTATTAACTAGTGAGATTAACTGTGAGATGTGAGATGACTGTAGGGATTAACTGTGAGATGACTGTAGAGATTAACTGTGAGACTACTGTAGAGATTAACTGTGAGATGACTGTAGGTATTAACTGTGAGATGACTGTAGGTATTAACTGTGAGACTACTGTAGAGATTAACTGTGAGATGACTGCAGAGATTAACTGTGAGATGACTGTAGGGATTAACTGTGAGACTACTATAGGGATTAACTATGAGATTAGTGTAGGGAATAACTGTGAGATGACTGTGAGATGTGAGATGACTGTAGGGATTAACTGTGAGACTATAGAGATTAACTGTGAGATGACTGTAGGTGAGATGACTGTATTAACTGTGAGATGACTTAGTGTAGATGACTGTAAGAATTAATTGTGAGATGTCTGTAGGGATTAACTGTGAGACTATTGTAGGGATTAACTGTGAGATGACTGTAGGGATTAACTGTGAGACGACTGTAGGGATTAACTGTGAGATGACTGTAGGGATTAACTGTGAGACTACTGTAGGGATTAACTATGAGATTAGTGTAGGGAATAACTGTGAGATGACTGTGGAGATTAACTGTGAGATGACTGTAGGTATTAACTGTGAGACTACTGTAGGGATTAACTGTGAGACTACTGTAGGAATTAACTGTGAGATGACTGTAGAGATTAACTGTGAGATGACTGTAGGAATTAACTGTGAGATGATGTAGATGATTAGGGATTAACTGTGAGATGACAGTAGTGATTAACTATGACATGACTGTAGTGATTAACTGTGAGATGACTGTAGAGATTAACTGTGAGATGACTGTAGGGATTAACTGTGAGATGACTGTAGGGATTAACTGTGAGACTATTGTAGGGATTAGCTGTGAGATGACTGTAAGAATTAATTGTGAGATATCTGTATGGATTAACTGTGAGATGACTGTGGAGATTAACTGTGAGATGACTGTAGGTATTAACTGTGAGATGACTGTAGGCATTAACTGTGGGATGACTGTAAGGATTAACTGTGATAATACTGTAGGTATTAACTGTGAGATGAGTGTAGGGATTAACTGTGAGACTATTGTAGGGATTTCCTATGAGATTAGTGTAGGGAATAACTATGAGATGACTGTGGAGATTAACTGTGAGATGACTGTAGGGATTAACTGTGAGACTATTCTAGGAATTAGCTGTGAGATGACTGTAAGAATTAATTGTGAGATGTCTGTAGGGATTAATTGTGAGATGACTGTGGAGATTAACTGTGAGATGACTGTAGGTATTAACTGTGAGATGAGTGTAGGGATTAACTGTGAGACTACTGTAGGGATTAATTATGAGATTAGTGTAGGGAATAACTATGAGATGACTGTGGAGATTAACTGTGAGATGACTGTAGGTATTAACTGTGAGATGACTGTAGGCATTAACTGTGAGATGACTGTAGGGATTAACTGTGAGACTACTGTAGGGATTAACTGTGAGATGATGGTAGGGATTAACTGTGAGATGACAGTAGAGATTAACTATGACATGACTGTAGAGATTAACTGTGAGATGACTGTAGAGATTAACTGTGAGATGACTGTAGGGATTAACTGTGAGATGACTGTAGGAATTAACTGTGAGACTATTGTAGGGATTAGCTGTGAGATGACTGTAAGAATTAATTGTGAGATATCTGTATGGATTAACTGTGAGATGACTGTGGAGATTAACTGTGAGATGACTGTAGGTATTAACTGTGAGATGACTGTAGGCATTAACTGTGAGATGACTGTAAGGATTAACTGTGATAATACTGTAGGTATTAACTGTGAGATGAGTGTAGGGATTAACTGTGAGACTATTGTAGGGATTTCCTATGAGATTAGTGTAGGGAATAACTATGAGATGACTGTGGAGATTAACTGTGAGATGACTGTAGGGATTAACTGTGAGACTACTGTAGGGATTAACTGTGAGATGACTGTAGAGATTAACTGTGAGACTACTGTAGGGATTAACTGTGAGATGACTGTAGGGATTAACTGTGAGATGTCTGTAGGGATTAACTGTGAGATGTCTGTAGGGATTAACTGTGAGATGTCTGTAGGGATTAACTGTGAGATGTCTGTAGGGATTAACTGTGAGACTACTGTAGGGATTAACTTTGAGATGACTGTAGGGAATAACTGTGAGATGACTGTAGGGATAAACTGGGAGATGTCTGTAGGGATTAACTGTGAGATGTCTGTAGGGATTAACTGTCAGATGACTGTAGAGATAAATGTTAGATGATCATGACTGTAGAGAACAACTGAAAGAAGATTGCAGAGATTAACTGTGAGAGAAGTGTAGAGAATAGCATAGTCATTTGACAATAAGCCCATGGATGGTAATAAGCCTACCTATACGTATTATTATTCATTGGAATTACAACAAATGGTATTTCACTGTCCTGTCCAGCCTTTAACTTTTGATCAGAATTTGTATGTCCACCTCCTGAACTTATAGGATAGACACAGCAAGTGTATGATGACAGCAGAAAGTTACTGTTAAAAACCTTCAGAGCTTAAATGTAAGATAATTCATATAACATCTTTGTTTTGTTAAAAACAGGGCTGGCCTACTGGCCTCTCAGATCCTGCCTAACATCAGTAAAGGGGACACATTTAAACAAGTTGAGTGGGTCCTGCTGGATGCTCACTCTTATCTACTCAATATGCTGTCCTGTAACCAGAGTGGTCAGGAAAAAATCATTGCCCAGCGATGTATGCGGCTATCAGCTCTCATATTTAATTCCTCAATCCCAATGAATGAACAGCTTTTACAACTACAGGAAAAGGTCAGTGGTACATGTATTTTAATTTCAATGTACTGCAAAGTGATTATGGTATTATATAATTGATACATAGATGATGTAACACTTTATAATCAGAATCTGACCTGTAAATTATAGCCAGCATCAAATATTTTCTGCATATATAGATAGGGTCAAAGTGTATTGTAAATATCTTAATGATTTTGTTCGCAGACATGTCAACAACTGGTACAGATACAGCCATGCAGTAGCCATGCACTTTACCTCCTGGGTGCAGCCCAGTTTGCACAGTACGAAAACACGACACCTGGGGATTTAGCAAACACCCATCTTCAACACAGCATTTCTTCATATGAGGTTTCCATTGATCTGGAGGGCAAGCCAATGGCAGGAAATCCCCCAGAAAAACTAACAGGTAAAAGACCCCCTTGGACATAATTTAAGGTATAATGATAGACTATGAACTATCAGATACAACAACCAGCATCCATCAGACAAGCTCTCAGGTATAATGATAGCCTTCAGTCTATCAGATATAACTACAAATACCCATCAGACAAGATCTCTGGTGTAATGATAACCTTGGAACTATCAGATACAACTACAGGTATCCTTCAGACATGATCTTCAATATGATGATAGCCTTCAAACTATCAGATATATCCGGTACAAAGAGAGCTTTCTATCTATCAGAATCAGCTACAAGTATCTGTCCGACAAGATCTCCAGTATGAAGATAACCTTCAATCTATTAGATACAATTACAAGTATTCCTTAAACTTTTGTAATGGTATGTTGTGCAACAGAAAAACATTGTTTCAATCATTACAATTTTTTTTATTTCATCTGCTTCATTATGTGTCTGTTTCTCTGTGGTCAACCTGTCTAGGCCAGGAATGGTGGCAGAAGAAAATTAAGGAAGAGGAAGAGAAGAAAGCTGAAGAAGCTAAAAAGAAAGCAGCTGCAGAGGCAGCAGCTAAACCAGCAGGGAGGGGTGCACCAGCTGCACGAGGTGGAGCAGCTGCTAGAGGGGCTGCAAGGGGGGCACCTGCTGCCAGAGGAAGGGGCGCGCCCCCAGCTAGAGGAGGTAAATAGGTTACTAATTCAAATTTTGACATTTCATACAACATATGTTTGAAAGGGATGGATAAATAAATGTATTCAGCTTAATATACCCCTACTTGAAGTAATTAAAGATGGTTTATAGTAAATCATTATTATTTTCTGCACCCTCTCTTAAGTATCAGGGTATACCAGAATCAAATTGACTGCTAGTATGGCTTTCTAAATATCTTGAGATTATTTAAATATCTTGACAACTTGTATCATAAATATTTGAGATAAGACCTTTTACAAGACTGCTTTTTGTTGTCTCCATTACCTGTTTACAATAGGCCTCTAAATTTGGGATCTTCAAAAATTACCAAATTAGATACAGGCTTTCCTTATTAAGTTGTATTTCTTACTGGTTGTATTCATTTGCCCAGGTGTAGCTGCTCGGGGAGCTGCACGAGGAGGTGCCGCAGCCAAGGTATGTGTAGATGTTCTATTGAGTGCCTGCAAGATTTTGTAATGCCTATATATCTTACTGAGACCCCTACAATAATCCATGTTATGAAAACATTTTCACAAAATGTAATCAATTACCAGGTATGACTGATTGTTGATAATCCTTCAAAGATAATGATCGATTGGTCTTAAATGAGTCTCAAGTTCCTTTGTGTAATTGAAAACTACTGATATTATAACATCATGTCATGTACATAAGTACAGTGTATATATATGACTTGTGTGACAAAGAGATGAAGATACTGAATGGGTATTCTGCAATAAATTGTAAATAATGTTAACTCTCTACCTATTCTATTGTCAGTAGGAATTTCTGACTGATAATTGAGCATCCCGATAAACTATTACAGACTCCAGCAGGTAAAGCTGCCCCTGTCCCTACTAAAGCTGCTCCTGGAAAACCAGCGGCAAAGACACCTCACTGTGACCCCAAGGCGCCTACAAAACAGGAAGGTGCGTTTGTCAATGACACTGTAAATTTTGTTATGTTGATAATCTGATAAATATATATATATAAGGGTTCTTATCTAAAAATTGTCATGAAAGAAAAACCACCACCATGATGTGATTAGATTAACATTTCAAGTTTTTGTGAATTTTATCTACATATATGGTTGTTTATAACTGTAGATGTACCTGCTGCCAAGGCTCCAGCATCTACAGCCGCTCCGGCTCAGACCACAACCCAAGCTCCACCCCCTAAAGGAACCCCCATCAATAGAACATCCTACTACCCTCATCTTGGATTAGCAAGGGCCTTCAGAGCTGCTGGAAACATTCCAGATTCACAGAAAAACTACAATGATGTCATTGTCATGGCACCAGAGGTAGGAAAAATGTATACTGGACTTGTTATCAGGGACAGGGAAAAGCACTTGTCTGCTCGTCCAGAAGAGTGGATTTTACCATTATAAAGTGACGCCACTTTCCAGTCGAATGAATAGAAAATAGAGATGCAGTATAGCACCTTCTGAATACTACTGTAATGAATAAAAACACACAAAAAATGAACACATTACAATATATAACGCTTTGCTGCATAATTTCATTTTGTGCACACCTGTACTTACACATACAGGGTCATTCTAAATGAAATCGTTAGTATTGAAAAAGTCAGAAAACATCGAATGACAAAGAAAAGGTGAGGGGTACTTTAGAAAGGAATAGCACAAACAAAACTCAACCAGTTTTTTTACTAAACTGATAGTACTGCAGAAAGAAACTGAAAAAAAAACCCAACAAAATATGAAGGTTGGTGACACAAGTATTTCATAATACATTTGTATGGGTAGTTATTTCTGGGATGTTCTCACAAAAGTAATGATATATTGAAGTTTGAAGGGTGATATCGCGAACTGCCATTTGGTCAGAGTAACGATGCTACATCATTTTGAAACCTCTGTGATCATACGATGATCACAGATTATATGAATAATGATAAAAAAAACAAAGTGATTGGTTTGTTTAGCATAAATTGTTTTTATTAATTGTCACTGACAGCAATGTTCAATATACATTTTACGTGTCGGATTTACCAGGTATAATTAACTAACAAAGATAGCCTGCCGTCATAGAAATGTGTGCCGGAATACGGAACTGACGGTGACCAGAAATATCAGTGTTTTAATACATTGACAAATGACGCAATTTCACAGGAATACGGTACAGTGTCAGCTTTGACAGGATGTTGGAAAAATCAGGTGTCGGATTAGACAGGTTTCACCGTATTTTCAAAAAATGAAAAAAATTTGGAAACACAATTTGATTTCTGGGCAAGTGAGATCACCATCTAGACTAGTAGATTTTTGGAAGTCACGTGCCTGGTGGGCATGCACTTTCAAAAATTTTCCTGCTACTGTTTATGTATCATTTTAAAGGGGAAGCTACTCTTTATTATATATGGATTCATGTATGTTTTTTTTTATTGCTACCAAATACGAGTTTATCTTTGACATGTTAAATACTATTGTATATTGTAATGATGGAATTGTTTTAGGTACATGATGCCTACATTGAACTAGCAGAAATGCTGACAAAGACAGACCCAGCTGGTGCTGTGGATGTCTATTCCAAGTTCCCGATGCCTGAGGAGCCATCATTTGATGATGCCTTTATACTCGGAGAGTTAGTAAGACTTCTTATGAAGACAGAGAGTTTTGATGATCCACGTCTCCTGACCTATATGGTTTCCTATGGGCGTGTCCTAGGATTAGGTAAGGGCGTGGTTGAGTTCAGTTTGATCTGGTGACTAAATATTTTTTAATGCTAGGAATAAAAGCAAAACCTTGTGTATATTTTTATTTCTTTTTTTTTCTATAATCTGTCTGCCATTTTGTCACACTATTTTTGAGCTTTAAGTGTGCATATAATTATTGTACAGGCAAAACATTGGGTCGATTCTTTACCATCTTGTACATTAGGTACATCACTGCTAGAACGCTTCACTCTGGTCATTTACCTGATGAAGGTGACCATGTAGTCATCAAAATGTCACACTCAAATCTTTTACTGGTTGTGTTGTGAGAACCTTGATTCTATTGACATAACCAAACTGAAGAAAAATGTTCTAAAATAATGTAGATATTTTTGTCACTGGACATAGATGTTCCTAGTTGTCACCTAACATAGATGTTCCTACTTGTCACCTGACATAGATGTTCCTAGTTGTTACCGGACATAGATGTTCTTAGTTGTCACCTGACATAGATGATGTACCCGACATAGATGATGTAGTCACCTGACATAGATGATGTATTCACCTGACATAGGTAAGGTCACAATCTGACATAGATAATGTCCTACCCTGATGCAGATGCTGTCACCTGACATAGATTATGTTGTGACCGGACACAGATAATGTTCTCACCTGATGCAGATAATATTTAGCCCAAAATAGATGTTGTCACATGACATACATAATATCATCAGCTGACACAGTTAATGTTGTCATCTGACAGATATTGTATGCCATGACACAGATAATGTTGTGTGACCAGCCACAGGTAATGTTGTGTGACCTGACATAGATATTGTTGTGTCACCAGCCACAGATAATGTTGTGAGACCAGCCACAGATAATGTTGTGTTACCTGACATAGATAATGTTGTGTGACCTGACATATATAACAAATGTGACCTGAGATATTTTTTTCTTTGTTTGTTTCAGGTGTTTTAGAGAGGTATGTCAAAATCTTGGAAGACAAATTTAAAAATGACCTTCTGAAGAAAGTATATGCAGGTGTGAACAGGAAAGATGTGGATGATCCTGATTTAGAGGCATTCTTCAGGTTCAAATGCTGGCTGTAATCTTTGTCTCGTGTACACATGTACCTGTCTTCTCCATGACCACAGAAGGTACTGATGATGAAAGACATCCTACAATGACATTGTCACAATGTAACAAGTACATTACAATCAATGAACTTCAAATAGCTGAATTAAAGTGCCAATACTTCAACAAATTATCTATTCAACCTGCTGAGCATACAAGCCATTGAACCTGTTTGACTTAAGATATACTTTACTAGGTATTAAAGTTAAGTAATCAACTATAACACAACTTTGCTTGGTTGACACATTGATAGTTGGAAGCTGCCAATCAGTGTGATAAGCAGTGGGAAGGGCAGGTTGACAAACTGGATAAGTGTGGTGGGTCTGTTGGTAGACTTTGACATATTTGTTGGGAGGGGTCCATTGGCAGACTTTGAAGTACGTGGTGGGAGGAGAGCTGACATGTTTTACCTGCTTGTAACAGTGGTAAGGCAAAGGAGTCACTTGTGAGACAGGGGTTGTCCTAGTAGGTAATTAAGTCATGGATGATATCAACAGGCGGTGTCTACAGCAACAGGTCTGTTCTGGAGACAGTATGGTATAGGGCACAGTCTAAGCATAATGACAGATTTCACAAGGTGTTATGAATTTACTGTTAAAAACTCGATCACTCCATGGCAGTAATACTGTCTGTCCTGGTAATTAAGTACTCTGTCCAAACATTTATACACTTGGTCCAGGTAGTAAAACACTCCAACCAGGTAGTAATACGCTATGTCCACATAGGTTAGTAATACCCCATGTCTCTATAGTAATCCACACTGGAGATTAAACCCCATGTCTATATAGTAATCCACACTGGAGATTAAACCCCATGTCTATATAGTAATCCACACTGGAGATGAAACCCCATGTCTATATAGTAATCAACACTGTCCAGGTAATTAAACACTCTCTGTTTAATACCCCATGTCTATATAGTAATCCACACTGGAGTTTAAACCCCATGTCTATATAGTAATCCACACTGGAGATTAAACCCCATGTCTATATAGTAATCCACACTGGAGATTAAACCCCATGTCTATATAGTAATCCACACTGGAGATTAAACCCCATGTCTATATAATAATCCACACTGGAGATTAATCCCCATGTCTATATAGTAATCCACAGTGAAGATTAAACCCCATGTCTATATAGTAATCACTGTCCAGGTAATTAAACACTCTCTGTTTAATACCCCATGTCAATATAGTAATCCACACTGGAGTTTAAACCCCATGTCTATATAGTAATCCACACTGGAGTTTAAACCCCATGTCTATATAGTAATCCACACTGGAGATTAAACCCCATGTTTATACATTAATCCACACTGGAGATTAAACCCCATGTCTATATAGTAATCCACACTGTCCAGGTAATTAAACACTGTCCAGTAGTGATATACACTTTCCACATATTAAGTATGTTAAGAAAATTTAACACTTCCTATTCAGTTGAAAATAACTCCTGTCCAAATACAATTAATTTGTTGAGGTTAATGTAATGGCTGTAGTTTAGAGCATGTATAATCGGAGTAATAGGCAAGTACTGTACATGTTAAAATATTTTTCTTTTTGGGACCATCAGTTTTCAGGCCCATTTGTATGATAATTTAGTATAAATTAAAACTATCATGATATATGTATGTGGTGTTTTTTTCTGTGATATACTAGATATGCCAAAGGTATTTTGTCACTATACAACTTTTTTGTAGTATTTTATTTTTATGACAACAGCAGGGTAGATGCCTGATAACTTATATACCAGTGTGATATATATGTGTATGTAAAATCATTTGATTTGATTAAACATGGCATCTGATACTTCTGTGTTTGTGGTAATTATATTCCAAAGAATTGTGATCACTTCATATGAAACAGGACAAGGATGAAATGGTCAAGGAATATTGGAGTGTTTTTAGGTTTTCTAACCTGATGGGTCAAGATGACCTACATGTATAGCCATTGTGCTTTGTCCACTGTCTGCAGTGTGTAAATTTTTTCTTTAAAATCCTACTCCTCTTTCTTCCTTTGGTGGATTTTAACCAAATTTGGTCTGATACATTATTGGGTGAGGGTAATCATTTGATAGATTTAAAATTTTTATTTGACCCCTAGGGATTGTGGAATGAGGCCCCAAATGGGTGCTGAAATTAGCTCTTTAAAACCCTACTCCTCCTTTCTGCCTTGGTGGATTTCAACAAACTTTGGCCAGATTCATCAGTTAGGGTAGGCAATTATTTCTTGAATTCAGAAATTTGATTTGACCTCTATGGACTGGGGCCCCAAAAGGGATAAGTAGGCAATGTTTTGGTTCAAAACACTACTCCTTTTTAATGCCCGTGTAGATTTCAACCAAGATGGGACTTCAATATTATTGCAGGTGGGTTATCATTTCTTAGATTTAGAAAATTGATGTGACCCTTAGGGTCCTAGGGGCAGTGGGGCCCGAAATGGGGAAGTTAGACGATATCATGCTTCAAAATGCTACTCCTCCTTATTGCCTGGATAGATTTCAACCAAAACTGGGACCTGGTGGCAAAAGCTCAAATAGGAAAGTTAGTCAATGATTTTGCTTCAAAAAGCTATGCTTTCTTAATGTTTGAAGGAATTTAATGACAAAGTTGGTCAATATTTTGCTTCAAAACGCTGCTCTTCCTTAATGCTTAAATGGATTTCATTAAAATTTTGTCTAAAATATCATTGGAGTGGGCAATGAATGCCTAAATTTGGGAAGTTGTTATGACCCCTTGGAACTTAGGGGTGGGGCTCCAACAGAAGTTTGTCAATATTTTGCTTCAAATCGCTACTCTGCCTTAATGCCTTAATGCATGAATGGATTTCGATCAAATGTGGTCTGAAATATTATTGTGGGTAGGGAATCATTTCTCAAATTCAGAAATTAAATCCCTAGGGACTTAGGGCCGGGGCCCAATAGAGGGAAAGTTAGTCAACGATTTGCTTCAAACACTATTCTTCTTGAATGCATGAATTGATTTATACCAACTTTGGTCTGAAATATTATCATGGGGATTCATCAGATTTGTCAGACCACGATCTTCAAATTCTGTTGTTTGTCCATCCATTCATTGATCGTCAGATGACCGTTAAGGGCTGTGGCCCTCTTGTTCTAAAACCTTGTCATTGCACTCAAAATATGATATATGTGAGAATAAATAAAATTAGTGGACAAAACAGCAATGGCAGTGTAACAGCTCAGTTGGTAGATTGTTTGGCTATGTAACCTCAAGTGAAAATCCAAGGTGCTGGGTTTGACACTTCCTACCCATGGCACTTTTTTTTTCTCAGGATTTGAGAAATGAACTAATCTTTGTTGATGTGGTCATGACCTTGGGATAGACACTTTACCCTAAATACTCTAACTAGTATGTAATGGACCTCCCATATGTTGTTCAGTAAGGTAGTCACCAGCAACTACAAGGAAACCCAGCCTCAAAATGACACAGACTGATCTCAGCATGATGAAACCAAGAAAACAGAACAGAAAGGTTTTACTGAACATGTCATCAGTGTCCCTACTCTCACTGATAATACCAGTGTCCCTACTCTCATTGATAATACCAGTGTCCCTGCTATCATTGATAATACCAGTGTCCCTACTCTCATTGATAATACCAGTGTCCCTACTCTCATTGATAATACCAGTGTCCCTACTCTCACGGATAACACCAGTGTCCCTACTCTCATTGATAATACCAGTGTTTGCTGCTTTCACTGATAACACCAGTGTCCCTACTCTCATTGATAATACCAGTGTCCCTACTCTCACTAATAACACCAGTGTCCCTACTCTCATTGATAATACCAGTGTTTGCTGCTTTCACTGATAACACCAGTGTCCCTACTCTCACGGATAATACCAGTGTCCCTACTCTCATTGATAATACCAGTGTTTGCTGCTTTCACTGATAACACCAGTGTCCCTACTCTCATTGATAATACCAGTGTTTGCTGCTTTCACTGATAACACCAGTGTCCCTACTCTCACGGATAATACCAGTGTCCCTACTCTCATTGATAATACCAGTGTTTGCTGCTTTCACTGATAACACCAGTGTCCCTACTCTCATTGATAATACCAGTGTTTGCTGCTTTCACTGATAACACCAGTGTCCCTACTCTCATTGATAATACCAATGTTTGCTGCTTTCACTGATAACACCAGTGTCCCTACTCTCATTGATAATACCAGTGTTTGCTGCTTTCACTGATAACACCAGTGTCCCTGCTGTCATTGACAATTCCAACATTCCTGTTGTCATTGATAAATTATAATATAAGTGCCCCTGCTTCCTGTTATTGATGAAACAAGTATCCCTACAATTGTTTATGATACTGATGTTCCTGCTGTCTGTCATATTTGTTAAGATGATACCAGCCTCCCTGTTGTCTTTGATTATACCAGCCTCCCTTTGTCTTTGATTATACCGGCCTCCCTGTTGTCTTTGATTATACCAGCCTCCCTGTTGTCTTTGATTATACCAGCCTCCCTGTTCTCTTTGATGATACCAGCCTCCCTGTTGTCTTTGTTTATACCAGCCTCTCTGTTGTCTTTGATTATACCAGCCTCCTTGTTGTCTTTGGTCATACTAGCCTCCCTGTTGTCTTTGATTATACCAGCCTCCCTGTTGTCTTTGGTCATACTAGCCTCCCTGTTGTCTTTGATTATACCAGCCTCCCTGTTGTCTTTGATTATACCAGCCTCCCTGTTGTCTTTGATTATACCAGCCTCTCTGTTGTCTTTGATCATACCAGCCTCGCTGTTGTCTTTGATGATACCAGCCTCCCTGTTGTCTTTGGTCATACTAGCCTCCCTGTTGTCTTTGATTATACCAGCCTCCCTGTTGTCTTTGATTATACCAGCCTCCCTGTTGTCTTTGATTATACCAGCCTCCCTGTTGTCTTTGGTCATACTAGCCTCCCTGTTGTCTTTGATCATACCAGCCTCCCTGTTGTCTTTGATGATACCAGCCTCCTTGTTGTCTTTGGTCATACCAGCCTCCCTGTTGTCTTTGATTATACCAGCCTCCCTGTTGTCTTTGATTATACCAGCCTCCCTGTTGTCTTTGATTATACCAGCCTCCCTGTTGTCTTTGATTATACCAGCCTCTCTGTTGTCTTTGATTATACCAGCCTCCTTGTTGTCTTTGGTTATACCAGCCTCCCTGTTGTCTTTGATTATACCAGCCTCCCTGTTGTCTTTGGTCATACTAGCCTCCCTGTTGTCTTTGATTATACCAGCCTCCCTGTTGTCTTTGATTATACCAGCCTTCCTGTTGTCTTTGGTCATACTAGCCTCCCTGTCTTTCAGCTCAAGGACTTATATGGATGGAGGATTTACCACAATGACCTGAACCTGTATGAGATTACCAGACAGATCTGGACAAGAATATCTAGCACCTGCAATTTGCTCAATATCATTAGTTTTCATAATTTCTGCATAAAGTAGTGCCCACATATATTTCCAGAAATGTTTTGCTATCAAATATAAAGTTAAAATAGAACAATTACAAATGGATCATTGTTTTATTGTTTGAAAGGAAATTCCGAAAATGTTCATTTGGGCTTTACATATAATATATGCAACATCGTGTACAGGTGCGTTTGTTTATCATGGAATAATGCCTGCTTTCTGTACCGTTTTTACCTGATTACATGAAAGCAGTCCAAGCAGGACTAACTTACTAGCTGTAATACCACATCATACTTGATCACCTGCAGTAAAATTAGGTCAAACTGCTAGTAGTTCACATGCACCAAATCGGAGTTGTTTATCTATACTAGAACTAGGTCATGCTAATTTACCTGTAACTTTTAAAGATTATATCAGACTAGTTCACCAGCAATAAAATTATGTCTTAGCAGTTTAACTGTACTTAGTCTAGGTCTGACAAGCCTAGCTGAAGTGAAACATGTTTTTTAAATGGTTCTAAATTCCCTTCTTCCCTCTAATTAATGCATACTAGTAATATTTTGTTAATTTTTTTTTTTTTTTTAATCAAAATTGATATTTATTTTGTTTTTCAAACATTTTTGCATTACATAATAAGAATACCTTTCATACACCATTCACATTATATACATCTTTTCGGTCACATGTACATCTTTATTACCAACAGCATCTTCACCCACACACCACCCTTGTCATTTTCATACACAACATAACATAATATCAACATCTTCCACACAATCACCTTGAAATACTATCATCATCATCATCATCATCATCATCAGCATCATCATCATCATCATCATCATCATCATCATCATCATCATCATCATCATCATCATCATCATCATCATCATCATCATCATCATCATCATCATCACCACCATCATCATTATCATCATCATGTAATATTATGTTATAATGACAGGTAAGTTAACCACTTGGTAACATCAACCAAGGATCAAGAGAACCTGCATCTGATATTTGAAAATGATCCAGCTCTCAGCCATTCTTTCCTATCAGTTCCAACATGGAAAACAACCTATGAAATTTGAGAAAGATCTTTCCTTTTTTTCTCTACCTCTCAGGGAATAGCAATCACAAACTATGTTAATCAAAATTGAAGACAAATGCCTCCAGCCATTTTGTTTTTCTCGTCAATCTCAAATCTAAAAACATCTGTCAATTACATCTCAAGAAAAAGTGACAAACTTTCATATTCAAAATTCAACATGGCCGTATGTCAGCAATTTTGTTTTTCTGACCTATTTGAAAATGAACATTGTATTGCAGGAGTTCAAGAGGACCATGGAAAAGATCCGATACTTTTCCAGAACTAGAAATAATAATCTGTCATTTTCAAAATCAAAGAAGGCCACCTTATCTGTCCAAAAACCAAAAGGCCACAACAATGTGAACCAAGAGAATCCTTTATATGAAGAATCATCAATCAAATCCTTCTCAAAAAATTGTGATAACAAGAACAGTTTAAGGGTGGATTATAGATGGTGAGTGATCAATTAGTTAAAAAAAAAAAAAAATGGCTGGTTTCAATAGTAAAGCTTGGTCATGTCAGTCTACAGCATATTCACTAACTATGCATTAGGGATCTACATGTGATGTCTCATTACACTTGTAGGGTCCCTGAAAAATAAATGCAAATATGTTGGGTTTCCTTGTCCAAACTTCAGCATTTAATAGTTATCTTGATATACATATTGGTCATATACCGTATATTGAAACATGTTTAAAATAACAATGCACATATAAATATGATAAATATTAAGCAGAAAAAAATACTCACACACACAATAGCAATATAACAAAGCTGATTAATTTGGAAGGATTATTTAATTAAGTTGTTCATCAAAATCAGAAATCTAAATTCAAACCGAAAACATTATCAACCAGATCTTGGTCAAATATTTGTCATAGTTCACTGTTATGAGTAAGTTTAAAATAATAATATATAAATAATATTTAAACATGATATATATTCCTAGAACTGTGGTACAAGTACAATTTAATGTTAATCGTATCAAATAAACTCCGTCACCATTAATAATGGTAACAGTGAAGAAGTGTTGAGTGTCTCCTTCCTTTGCTTCTGGCTACTATGCTAATTCCCCGGGAAATTCACGCTGCTGAGGAGAGTGAGAGCAACACCAATCACATGATCGTTAGACTTCATTCGATTGGCTGGCTATGTCAACATAATACGGTAGTGAGTGAAAATGGCAGAACACGAATGCCTGTTCGAGTGAAATAAGAAGGATACCTAGAGCTTCACTTTGAATGTTTCGTAATTAAAGGTAAGTTGCATTTGTTTAGAAATGTCAGTCACTCATTGCTCCATCCATGATCCGCCGGAGTGATTTTAAATGCTTGGTCGAGGGCACTTCAAGGCCGGTTGGTGAGGAATGTTGCTGGGAAAACCATCACTTTCTCGGCTTTCTAAGACGGGGATATTTGTGCAGACAACACATGCGAGTCATGAACAGATCAAAAACGTATACTAAGTGTTGCAATATTTGATATATTTGCTGTGAACTCGTTAAATCCTGACGAACACACTGGACTTCGTTGATAGTTGTGTACTGTTACTTTACTATCGGCTAGTCATACCGTGTTAGGTAGACGGCAGTGGAGCGTGCAGTTCGAGTGTTTTTATTGACAAACAATGCATCGGTACACTAGTTTTTAGCCCATCTGTATCTGACCCTCTCCCTAAATCACACCTTAGGCATGTGGCATGTCGAGACGACCTGGAAATTTCGAGATATAACTGTTAGTTTGTAATTAATAGAGGTCAGCTCAGTTCCGATATCTGTTGCATTACATATGATCACTACAAGTACGAATTTTACTTTACACATGTTATATCTTATTTTACCTAGAAAATTAACGGTTGTTCAGTACCATGATTAAGAGACTTTAGTATACAATGTAGGTATTGTAGATAAAAAAGCAGGGTGGTACGTACTAGTGAATTAGAGATGAGCTGTACATTTAATTAACAGTATAAACGCTGTCATTTAATTCTCTCAGGTTGACAGTTATTGATCAATTTGATATGGTTCAGTGAACCCAACATCATCTAAGACTTTTTTTTAGAGGTTTAGGTCATATGCTACCGAAATACTACCTTCCACGATGGTGTAAATAGATTGTCATTTTGATTGGATCAAAACAATGCATGGTGCAAAGTAAAATATTTGAATGTCAAATCGATCACTTGAATTGCATACATACATACTTATCCAGCAATAAGCTCCATGTCTGATTATAAGCACCATCAATAGAATTAAAAGCAGATGCTATAACGTTTAGTTTAGATTTTGAATGTCCCCAGACTTTCTACAGTTATTTTGGCCCATGTGCATCACAGGTATAATTTTCAGATAGATGCTCACAATGAAGCAGAAAAGGCCCATAGTCTTTAAGAATATCTGGTCTTGTTTTCCTCATGCTTTTTCAGGAGTCTGTGTGTCGGTCTTTCTTTTATCTCTCTCAGAGTGCCTTGTGGTACCCCAATAATACCTCTGTAAATGGCTCTCGGCATTTCAAGATTCTTGAAAAACATTTGTGTCAAATAATAATGTATTTCATTATCTCCATGTTTTGTTTTATGTATTATTATTTTGAAAATAGAGGTTTGCTCATCTAGAACATTATTATATTAGTTTACATAGTTATGTACATTAACACGGAAGATTAATTTTGCCGAAACATCCACCAACCGTCAGGTTTACATTTTTTACTTTCACTTTTTGGCTACCGACATATTCTCTCAAGATAATGTTCATATACTGTGATGTCAGTGATAATTGATGGTAATTTGGCTGCGATATCTGTACATAACATCTCAAAAATCACAAATGCTATTTTTTACACTGATCCATGAAATACAAAACAGTCTACAGCTGAGTCCTAATTTGCTGGTATTGTCAGGGATGATGACATATTTTTTGCTGGATGTCAAACTTTGACCCTGACCGCCAGGTCAGCAATTGGTAGTCTGTGAGTTGTTTACAGAGGTGTATTGTGACTGTTAAGGATTGACAACTCTAGATCTGGTATATATTATTATTGTCATTTTGCCAGCTTCATCAATTTTTTGTGTTGTAATTAAGATTCTGTTAACATGTTAGTATTTTCTTTGTTGTTTTTGTAATTAAATTTATCCGTACATGCTTTACCAATAAAGTAGGTCATTAATTTAGAAAAAAGAAAATGTATTATGTATAATCTAGCTAATGTTGATGTCATTGTCATATTTGATTCATTAAACATGTTGATTAATTTGGTAGGATATTAGACACTGATTAGGTGAGTGTCGCTTAAAGGTTACTGGCAACACTATTTTGTAGATATCTAGATTTTGACATAGATATCACCTAGGTAGTACCCTGAATCAATTTTTACCTCTCGATATGGTTATAGCTGAGTGCTTTCGGCTACAGGTAGGTTTGATTACCTGTCTGCAATTCCACTTTCTCCAGTAGCTTTTTGGAAATCTTCAGCACCTAAAATCCGTGAAGTTAATTCCCCCAGACGGGACAATAGTGGAAGTGGGAGTCTCATATAATATGGTAGTTTTATAATTGATCTTTATTCAGGAGTGATTGTACACTGTGTTGTGTAGAGGTATTATAAAACTGACAAATCATAAATGCTTATGCAAACTTCTGAATACAAAATTATATGGAAAAATGCAAGACCTAACACAGCTGAGACGAAAAACAGGTAACAAACTAATTGAATGAAATCTTCAATATCTGTCCAACATGTTAATTGGAAGGCACATATTAATTTCAGCTGGTGCTGACATCCCTTTCATGTCAGAAAAATACCTGAGTGAACCCCTTGACACACCTGGACTCAGGTGTGTGTCCATGGTCACCATCTGGTCTCGTAACGTGTTCTTTACCTTTACATTTTCATACTTAGGCTAAGCAGACTTTCAGAGAGGCTATTGTATGATTATAAACCCTCATGTTTAGCTATCAGTTATATCAATATATAATGAGATAACATTGATTATTTAATCTTCAAATTCTGACAGAATAGGTTTATATTCTTCCAATTCCACATTTACGTATTTCATTATTATAGTATATCATATGAAGTTACTTATTGCAGGGATGGATAATAGGTATACATCAATCCTTGCTTATTGGCTGCATTTATTTAGTGTCCTAAGCTATCTATGAAAATATATTTAAAACAAATAAGTTGTTCACACGGTTAGTACTTGACTACATGGTAGCTATTGATTTAAGTCTTGTCCTAGGATGGCAACTGTCAAACACCAAATATATCAATTATACATGTATAATATGTTTATATTTGCACATTTGTTGTCCTTTGGGTGGAAGTTGATGGTATTGTATAGCATGTGTGCATGTTTGCAATTTGTACACTTCCCCTGGAGATATAGTCCTGCTCTTTGTTTTTCTGTTGTGACTTTTGTTCTGTATTTCCTACACAGAATGGAGTAGTAATGACGCGGAATACAAGATATAACATTTATCAGTTAATAATAAGTTAATTTCAACTTACCATTCATCAAAATACTTTACATATGCCTATAATTTTTGCCAGCATCGGTTAAGCCAGGATATGATTCTTTCGCTCATATTATCATTACTGGACATTGTTTAGCTACTTTGAAACTCAAAACTGTTATGGTCTAATAACAAACTTTCCTTCTGAGTCGTTTTATATTGCTGGACATGCTTATACATTCAAATATAGCCATTTGATGTGCACCGTCTTCATAAACGCTATTAATGAATATGTGTCTGGTGGCAAAATTGATGTCACAAAGGATAAACCAATGAGAATCCTTTTCAGAAGGGAAATAACTCTAGATATTTTAACTTTCTTTGTTGTTTACTGGTAGAAATATTGCTAGTTGTACAAGTCGCGATATACAGATCACTTTTTTAAAAGATTATCTAATGATTTTTCACAATAAACTAACTTTTTATTTTCATTGTGGGCGACCTTTACAATTATCGAATATGTTTATAAATTTAGTGCTTCAGTGGTAACATACTCGCCTTTCACCACAGAATGTGTGGTTTATTTCTTGGAATGGACGTAAAAAGGTTCGGGATCACCTGCCTGGCCATGTGGGTTTTCCCAGCATACTCTGATTTTCTCCTACAGTAAGATCCTACACGTTTCCATCCGAGCTAACAATAGTAATTAATATAAGTTTGAGTAGCTTATTTCACAATTGTTTTAAAATAAAGAAAGTTTTTTTTTTTTTCAATCCCTGCAGTAAATTAGTGATGTTCATGGTTGTTTTTTAAGTAAGTCTTACCACTTTAATTAAGTTATATATTAAAAATGTTTATGAAATAAGTAAATTAGTGATGTTTATTGTTGTTTTTAGGTCAATCTTACCACATTAATCAACTTTTACATCAAATACTAATTGGATAAGTAAATAAGTGATGTGTATTGTTGTTTTTTAGGTCAATCTTAACACATTAATTAACTTTTACATTAAATACTTACTACGGTAAATAAATTCAACCATAAAAGAAATTTCAATGATAGGAATGTCATGGTGATACTGATGGTGCTAATCTTAAGTATAATTGTAATATATGAGAGTCAATCTAGAAATTGATACTAGAAGTTCTTCCTCATCATGAAATTAAGTGAAAGTAAGAATTTGTTCATTGCATCTTATTCCAATGTAAATTTATGGCTGCCTATTGTTACAGCTGCTGAAGTATCACCCAGAGACACATAACTTGATGTGTTTAATATCCATACCAATCACCATCTGTATGACTGTATCCTACCAAGGCTTTTACTTGGAAGTTAAAGAGAAATGATAAAAGCTGTCCATTCAGTGAGAGCTTCAGGCTGGAATCTACTCGAACCTTGGCTGTATTGATGTTATATAGATAGGGACTCATTGACCAGTGTCAACTTCAATTCTTTGGTATAATATGCTTTAGCACTCAATCCAGCTGGCACCAGTGCCATTTCAATGGAACCCTGTTTTCCCGATGTTGCATTATATTACTCATATAGCCTCCTTTGTCAAATCGTTTGGTCCGGAGCATGTATTCATATTCTTTATCAAATATGTACAAGTGAAGTAGGGAGTACAGGTCATTCTGCTGGTCATGATTAGTAGGAATTACTCTTAGCCAAGTGGTAGTGTAGTGTAGTATAGTCTTGAGAGCAAGAGGGCATTAGTTAGAGCCCAGTGGGGTCAGGATATTTTTTCATTACCCTGGCACTCTTTCCTATTACTGATTTCTAACCATTGACCACTCCAAATGTA